GGGACTCTCAGTCTGAAGCTTCCTCTGCAGATCACGCATCTGCTGCACAATACCACGGCAACCAGGAAGCGCGAGGAACCAACTATCCTACGTCTGCGACGCCGACTTCTGATTACGGAGCTTTCCCGCATTCTGCGAGATCAACTGGTTCTTTTCCAGAGCATAGTCTCCGTCAGTACCATCCAGCGAGCAACCACGGCGGCAGCAGCGGAGGTATGGCGCAAACACCAACAAGTCCGTCTATGCCTATGCAAGATGGGCGCAACCATCAATCCCAGCAAGTCAAATCTGACAGCGATGTACCCATAGATCCTTCCATCGCGGCGCCCAGCCCTACGTACGCCCCCCCAAACCAATACTCGCCCTACGCGCCGCCCCCGCAAGACATGTCGCACAACTACCCTCAGAGCGCCGGCAGCCTCTACGCGCAGCCTCGACCCGACTGGGCAAACTACGGGCATCCAGGCGCGCCAGTCCCCCACCCCCATTCAGTATACCCTCATACTCCGACATCAGCGCCCCCGGGCCGACCAACTCAGGTAGGTAATCTCTCTTCCTTCATGATAACACCATGTGTGTAGACCGCGAGAAATCGTGCGAGCTGTACCGGATTCCACGAGGTGATCAGGTGGAAAGGATATCTCCGATGCGCGAGGGCGTTTCCGGAACATGCTAATCGAGACGGGCGTTTTATTGTTTCACCTTATTATATACATGTGGAGTAGCTGATTTGATTGACAGTATGGTGCGCAGCAGGTATACTCATTTGTACCAATTCCTGGAGCACAGCAACACAAGCGGCCTCGGCGACGATACGAAGAAATCGAGCGCATGTATAAATGTGGTTGGAATGGCTGTGAGAAGGCCTACGGTACTTTAAACCATCTAAACGCGCATGTTACCATGCAAAGTCATGGCCAAAAACGAACCCCGGAAGGTAAGGTTATAGCTAAATATTTCCCCTTTTTTCTTTTTGATTTTCTCCCTGGAGGCGGGAGCATTTTAACGACGCATAAACGAAGCATAAAGATGTCTAAAAATTCACATTGTTTGCTTTGGGCTTGCACTAAAAAATAGTCGAACCCCCGCTTTGCTAGTCGAGGATCGGGGAGCAGGACACTGCTTGTCTAGGCGTTCGCCGGACTGCATGGTGGTTTGGGACCTAGCTTTGTGCTAGACAAGGGGCACCACATCCCTGCATGACACATTTATAGGATTTGTTACATGGACATTTTGCTAACGAAGATATTTGTTATAGAATTCAAGGAAATTCGAAAGGAATGGAAGGCCCGCAAGAAGGAGGAGGATGCTGCAAGGAAGGCTGCTGAGGACGCTGAGCGCCAACGTCATGCTGCGGCGGCGGCAGCGGCACAAGCTCAGAACGGAGGCGACCCGCAAGGCGGTGATTCAGGCCAGGCACCTTCATCGTACACGGCCAGCCGTCAAGTTCAGCTACCGCCTATCGGTTACCAGCCCAGTCAATATCCTGCCCCCCCGTCGGCTACTGTACCGCAGCAGCAACTGCCAGAGTACAGCCCTACGGGTCACATGTATTCTGGGTACCAACAACCGCAATCGCCGTATGGACCGCAAAACCAGAACTTGTATAGTTCGCGAGAATGAGGAGGGCAACCCTAACCAGACAGAGATGCTCCGTCAAGCAATTCAGTCGACTAGCCATAAGCAACAAACCCTATCTCGCTAACATAACTTATCGGGATGGGCCGAACTCGTTCTCGTTTTTCTAACATTACTTTTTTTTCATGGAATGGAATTTGAAAAGGTTTATAAAGCTGCGGCATCACGCCTGGTGTACGATATGCAGTGATTTCCCTCCGCAACCCAAAAACAAACAAATCCTCCCTTAGCCATCTGATCCTATTGATTCAACGAGGGTAGACTTCTGGGATGATGGGGTTACTGGCACGACAGTATCGCATTCATGAGTTTACCCGAGTGAAATCACGTGGATGATTTGGAGCATACGCATTCTAACGACCAAACATTGATTTTTTCTCGCATATAGCATTGGGGCCGCGCGCAGGAGGTTGGGGGGTGAGCCTTGCATTTCGGTTGGGTGTCTGGGCAGGCAGGTGTGACATAATGGATTCGAGCTTCTAGGCTCTGAGTGTTCATTCATAGCGCGGATCTGGTATTGTTTTTGTCTTTTCTCCCCCCCAGAAAGGCCTACTAAGGTACTTTGGTAGTTACGAGGCCTTGTGAATGGGGAATTTACCTTTTTTCACGGCGCAGGTTTTTCCCTCGGTGTGGTGGTGGCTCTTCTTCTCTTTCACATATTTTTTGTCGTCCGTATGTACTTGGCGGTGAGGCAATTGTCTTTTCCTCCTCCTCCTCCTTCTTGTGGGTGTGGAAAGGGATGCATTCGGCCTCGCTTAGCATTAGGTATTAGCATCCTACGGGATTATGAAGATGACCGGTCTGAGATAATCTTTCGTTTTGTCTCTGGTACCGCGATAATAATCAAAATCAGTGTATGATGCCGAAGTTCCTTATCTGGAGATTCTAGCCCTCCTTGTATTTTTTGTCATTTTCATTTTCATTTTCTATTTCTTATGAATCTTGTCTTTTTTTTGGTCTATTTTGATTGTATCAACTAGTTGTGATTATGCTTTTCTTGGTGATATTACAGCCATGAAAAACTACATAAAATACCTATATATATATACGAAAACATTGGAGACGGATAGTGTTTGATATGTCAATATTTGCAAACGGCAAGGCTGTCTTTGAACCAGGTCGCTCACTAGCTAACCAAAGTAAAAGCTACTTTACCGTACTCTCGTTAGCACGATTCCCGAGGATCTGGATTGTTACCACCATCACCCATGCATCTCCAAAGTGCAGACAGTAGAAGGGTTCTTTTTTTAAAAAAAGAAAAAAAAAGAATAAGGGGAAGGGGAGGGGAGGGGGGGGGGACACACTCTAAATTAGAGTGCCTTAGTCCCTTGTGCGACCACAGGCCACGAGGTATCCATGTGTGGAAGGTAAATGTCGGCGCATTGTTGACGGGAAGGCTGTGGGCTCGATCCAGGCTTTAAGCAGTATTTTAGGTAGCTACATGTGGTTACTAGGTGGGTTGATAGGGGGTAGGGTAAGGTAAGCTTAGATAGGGTGGATTATGTATGTAGGTAGGTAGTAGGGTAAGGAAACATGACCACGGGTTCGGGAATTTTATTTTGGTGTGGTTACACATACATACATTACGTGCTAACCTAGAACATTGGAAGTATGTATGTATGTATGTATGTATGTACCATAAATATGCTAAACTGATACCCTCTTCGTGACACCGAACATGCAACTAAGAGCAAGCAAGGTACCCTTCTAGTACCTAGTAGTATGTATGTAGTACCAGCCTAGATATTAGAATGGTAATACAGAACCATAATAGCCAGTTAGTAGCAAGGCTAACACGAAACTTCCCCAATGGGTTAACCTACTGTTATGTGCTTGGGGCGGATTGCAGATATTATATCGAGCTAACCTTCTCTCACTAGGACGAAGTGAAGTTGCTTTAGAGTATTTTCTAGAATAGTTCTTGGAAACTCTGGAAAGCTCCAAAGGGGTGAAGTCATTTGTGGGCCTTGGAGGCTACACGTACTCCATCAATAACAACATTGAACATTGAACTTGCTATGTACATAGGTATTAACTATGAGGGAACATTGAAGGTTCAAGTTGTGTATATGTACCTAACCTAGTAGGCTCTGGGTCTCAAACTTAAGGGGGCTTACTTACGCCATGTACAATTCGGACAAACAAGAACCGAACAGACCTTCTCCAAACCCTCCCCCGCATAGTAAACACTAAGGAGTAAGTACCTACCTACCTACCTACCTGCTTACAGTATGTACACATGTTCATAAAAGCCTAAAAGATAAAAAAGGAAGCAAAAAGCGATTACCTAGCGATTACCTAGCGATTACCCTTTTGTTATATGCAGTTAGATGGTTTAGGTAGATTCCGCACTTGCTTGCGTTGGTGAGGGTGTGTATGTGTGTGGAAGACAGCGGGCGGGCTAGACAAGGGGCTCTTTCTTACACTACCAGGTAATGCAAGTTTAGCACACACACACACACACGCACCGTTGGAGCTTGGAACCGCTTACCTACATACATACATATCTCATGTATGATGTATGTGTCTTCCCGTAGCTAGCCAGCCAGCCACTGCAGCGGGCCGCAAAAAGGTTCCAAGGTTACCATGGTTCCATAAGATGGTTCCATGAGGGAGCTGGAGGCTTGACGTGCTTCTTAGCTTAGGGGGGTCGCACATAGTCGCACATGTATTGCTTATTTTTGTATACTTACATCCAGTGTACATGATGTACATTAGTAGGTAGGTACCTACTACTAGTACTACTTACCTACTTACATTAATACCTAGTACCAAGATACTGACATATGTATGTGTAGGTAGTCACCGGGGCAACGACAATTAGATATTAATTAATTAATTGACCTACCTAGGTACATATCTGGACCTCTATCCTCTTGATATCACCAATATCATCACCCTCGGCACAACAAGCTAGCCAATTGACGTCTGATGCTGATCGAAAGAGCGACGTGGCAGAGTAGAATTGGGGGAACAGTCACTTTTCACATTATCATATTTATTGGTATAGTTACACCTGTCGAACCGACCGCACCGTCTTCCTTCACGATGATGACATTTGATACGGCAGCGATACGACGACGACTGTATTTGAGGTGTTGAGATGTTGAGGTGTTGAGGTGTTGATGTAGGCGGGATAGGCGATGGAGGGGTAGGTGCTACATGATATGACGTATGCCTACTATGGCATGTAAATGGGAAGCTACTACATGTAATACCTACTACATAGTATCTATCATATACCGTGTTCCCGAAGCCTCCAGGGTTCCTTCCAGTCATACCTATCAACGTCATTCTGTTTCAGGAAGGACCCTGAAAATCACCAGTTTTCCTTCAAATGCTCTGATGTTTCCTTTTGATTAAAAATTTAACCTTTTTTTTTTTTTTTTTTTTTTTTTTTCATGATCATGGACTTCGAGTAAAATTAACATTAGAGTATCAGTACAATAGAAGCTACTAACGATGACGGCTACTATACTTTCTTCCATCCCGAATGTAGACCCACATAGCATCAAGTCGAGGCCGGGTAATTGTGGGGTAACGGTTGAGATCTATCCACCTCCAACTCCCGATCGCTTGTCCTCCCAAATGATACCAAACCAGAACTCTTCAAATTTGCATCCCATTAAAGCAGCCAAATCAGTCGAGGACCTTCCTGCCATTGGCGCTTTGCCCTTTGGCTCTTTACGAGTCAACCGACCTACAGATACAGAAGATCCTCCTATAGAAAATCCTACTAAAGATCCTGCAAAACATCCTACCAATATCGCTATGGAGTTATCGCCAGCGGCGACGGAATCCGGAGGATATGCTTCCCCCACCGGTGGCGATGTCCTCATTCTAGATGATTTACCCGCGAACTTCACCGTCGGATGTGACACCATGTCCTTCTCGACGAAAACACCCTTCCCGGGCTTTCGCGACATTCCACCCGGCACCCATCTTGTATGGGTGGCCCCCTCCGAATTGACATCTACGCGGAGCGCATACTGGATCATCACCCCCAGGAGAGCAGAGAAAGAACGTGCGGAGGTTTACGTCAAGCAGTGGGACAAATTCAACGAGGTCTTGAGCGATCCCGCCAGCCAAGCCGAGGAGAGATTTCAAAGGGAGAGGCTAGAGCAGATCTATAGCAACCTTTCGCCTTATAAATTACAAGCAGCCACGTCGGGAGCACTCCTGCCGCCACCAAACCAAGAAGCCGACAATCTTCCATCCTTCTTGAGCAACGACACAATCTGGTCTCAGCTTACGTCGACGATAGACGCCGACCTGCTCAACCGAATCACGGGCAAGGTGCAGAGAAGCTGGCCAGTCACCACTTTAGATCGCATAGCTGGCGAGACAACCATGGCTGAAGAAGCGCGCCTCTACGCCAGCGACAAATCAGAACTTCGCTTCATGTTCCCCATGAACAAACCCCTCATCAGTCCGACAGCCGAAGGTCGCGAACGGACACGGCAAGCTTTAGACCCTACCCAATTCGTTCTCGACACGCTCGAAAACACCAATAACGACAGCGAAAATAGCTCCATAGATAACCGGCGACCCTCAGACCTAGTCGGCGAGCTCTCCTTCGCCTTCCTAACCGGCATGCACCTCGGAAACTTCTCCTGCCTAGAGCAATGGTGGTTCTACGCCACCAAGCTCGTCTTCCGCACCTTCGACCTCGCCACCTCCCGCCCCCAGCTCGCCCTGCACCTCATCCAGACCTTCCACGCCCAGCTCGTCTACAACGACCGCCACCTCGAGGGCGACATCCTCGAGATGATGCCCAGCAACGCCAAGGCCCTGCAAAAGGCCCTCGTGACCTACAAGGCCCGCCTCAACGAGTCCCTCCTCGCCCTCGGCGACCGCATCGCCCCCGACCAGCAGGCCGTCGGCGCCGCCTTCGCCTCCCTCGAGTCCTGGCTCTGGCGCCTCGGCTGGGATCTGCGGGGACAGTATCTCCGCTCCGGCACCCTCATGCTCGAGGACGGCGAGGTCGTCGAGGCCGAGCTCTCCGATTTCGAGGACGAGGATGAGCGCGGCGACTTTGCGCCCGTCGTTGTCGAGCTGGACCCTGGTGGCAGGGAGGCTGGCTTGGTTTCGTGGGATGGGTGATGAGGACGAGGACGAGGACGAGGATAAAGACGTTGACGAAGACGTAGGCGAATACGAGTACGAGGAAACAAAAATATCCTCGTGATATGCTCGCTGTAACACCTACCTAATCTAATCTAATCTAATCTAATCTAATCTAATCTAATCTATAGACAACCCATTTTCTAGGTTCGTCTGTGTATTCTGTATTATGTTTGTAATACGTAGGTAGACAGCTTTTATGAAGTATATACCCCAGGCACCTGCCTGCCTGCCTGCCTGCCTGCCTGCCTGCCTGCCTACCGCTTATACATAGTAGTTCTTCATGGGTAGGTACTGGCTTTAATGGATACCTAGATGCCATCATCTAGTGTAATGTTGACTGGGGTTATGGGGTTCTAGTTGGGGTCCATTCCGTGTCTGGATGGCTAGATAGGTATACAACAACGCGTAGTTATGCTATCATGTTGATCACGAGTATTCCTCATAACAAATATGCGAGGGAGGAGAATATGGGAGGAGAGTCCATCCTATGCTTAATTTAGAGTCACTTAAGGGGGGTATCACGAGACAATAGTCAAGTACTCGATGGAGAAAGCTGTCCCCTGGACGCCTCACTTTCAACGAGCATACCCGGCTACTTTGGAGTCATTAATGGGGTCATTAAGAGGATAACTTTTGTTTTAGAAAAGTTTTGTTGTTTCATTCGCCTAATCCCTTTACAACCAGGCCATGCAAATGCATAATAAGCGAGAAGGCACCCATAGAGATATAGCCCTCGCGAAGGAATTTATTCCCTGTTCTCAAGACTCCAGAGGTCCGACCACCGCCATAGCCGTCCTGATTTGTTGCAAAAAGGAGAAGAGGGCCAGGGCAAAACCCGTTCCGTGTCTCTTGAATTGACCGCATTTTTCTTTCCATTCCATGTCGTCGAACTTCCCCAATAGAGAGAGACCGGTGGTTTGTTTTCCTTCCCTCTCCCCCAAACCATCGCCTGTTTCCGCGCACCGAATATCCCAAACCGCCAAAGCCCGGAAAGGCTTTAACGGTAAGACTTTTGGTATCTGGCGCGGGCACCGGGACCACCGAACTTCTTGGGCTCGCAGCGACGGTTGTCGGCAACGAGGAGGGTTCGGTCGTACTGGACGAGAGCTTGCTTTAGGTGGTTCTTGCTGTGCTCGTCGACGAACTTCTGGTAGTAGGCGATCAGGGCCTTGGCGATGGCCTGACGGACGGCGTAAACCTGGGAAGTGTGACCACCACCGGTGACACGGACGCGGATGTCGACATTGGCGAACTTGTCAAGGCCAACGATCAAAAGAGGTTCGTAGACCTAAGGATCTTGTTAGTTTCTGTTTAATGTTTCCATGTCTTTTTTATGTAGATAATTGATATTGTTTTTCGCGTAGCGCGTAACGGGCAACCAGAGCATAGAACGTTCGAAAGACAATAATCGGTTTATGATGATGAATATGATGATGATTGAAGGGATTGGTGGTTGTATTCGTAAATGGAATAGAATATTCGTTTCGTACCTTGAATCGCAGAACCTCGGGCTGAACGAGGGATAACGGTCGGCCGTTGACCTTGATGAGACCTTGACCGGACTAAGAGTAGAGGATGAATTTGTCAGTATTTCATTCTTCAATAACATGGACATCGAGATCAACATCCATCTTGTCCATTCCAAACTGGTATCTCCTCCCTCCCCCCCAAAATATCATACATCGCAAGGGACTACTAGGGTTAACTAACCTTGCAGTGGGCGACAGCAGTAGCCGTCTTCTTCTTGCCGAAGCACTGGACGCTTTGGGAAGACATGGTTGCGGATTTGTCTTTGTGGAGATTTTAAAGGTGGTGTTGAAGGGATTCGCAACCGGGAATTGACGTGACTTGACTTTGGTCAGAAAGATTTTGTTGAATTGGGTCGGGAGTTGAATTTTGGCAGGTACTTTTGCCGAAAATGCTCGAAAAAGGGTTTGTGCCCTCCAAATACGCTAATGCCCGTTTGGGAAGATGGTGGGACAGCCGAAGAATTCCCGGTGGAGACAAGTTGAGTTCAATGCTCCCGTTCATGCTTATGTAAGTCAAGTAACTTACAACCAAGCCAAAGGGGGTCGGACCTCACCTTCTTCATCTTAAACCTCATAAACATCCTCCTTTCCTTTCCTCTCATCTACATACACCAAACACCAAACACCCACCTACATACACACACCGCAGAGAAAAAATAAAAATAAAAATGTCCCGCAAAGGCGTCGGCCTCGCAGCCTTCGACCGCTCGCGCCTCACCTCCAAACAGTTCGCCTCGCACGGCAACTCGCTCCGCTCCAGCGACGCCCAGGCCCTCGAGAACCAGCTGTCCGTCTTCCGCTCCCTCCTGCAGCAGTTCGCGCAGACGCACGCCAAGGACATCCGCTCGGACCCCTCCTTCCGCGCGCAGTTCGCGCGCATGTGCACCGCCATCGGCGTCGACCCGCTCGCCTCCTCTTCCTCCAGCTCCGGAGGTGGCGGTGGCGGTGGCAGCGGCGGAAGCAGCCTGTGGGCGCAGCTGCTGGGCCGGACGGTCAACGACTTCTACTTCGAGCTCGCGGTGCGCGTCGTCGAGGTGTGCGGCGCGACGCGCGGGGAGAACGGGGGCCTGCTGGGCGTGCGCGAGGTGCGGGAGCGGCTGCAGCGGGGGCGGATGGAGGGGTCGCCCGAGGTGAGCGAGGACGACGTGTTGCGGGCGGTGGGAACCTTGCAGCCCCTGGGCTCGGCGTACGCGGTCGTGCGGCTCGGCAACAAGGCGTACATCCGCTCCATACCCAAGGAGCTCAACACGGACCAGACCGCGGTGCTGGAGGCGGTGCAGCTGCTCGGCTACGTCGCCGTCAACATGCTCATGCTCAACCTGCGCTGGTCCCGCGCCCGCGCGCAGACCGCGCTTGACGACCTCCTTGGCGAGGGCATGCTCTGGGTTGATAAGCAGGCTGCTGAGTGGGAGTACTGGAGCCCCGGGTTCATGTTGGATGTTGACGGCGCTGTTGCGACTGGGGGGTGATGATAAAACAAACGAGCTTTAGGCCCAAGGAATTCATCGATTAGTTCGAGAAGCCAAGCTGCAGGACATGAACCACTACAGCCTAGCCTGTTGCCCAGTCGACCGAGATCAGTAACTTAGGCACTCGGGATATTACGGAGAAAGAGTTATCTTGATAGGCAGAGAGGAATGAGGATATTGGCCATTAACTCGAGAAGGAAGTGGTTGCCATCCCTCGATTGTCCACTCTGCACACCCCCACGGCCACTATCTAGCTACTTATATAACTAGTCGCATACGCAGCGTTCACGCAACGTAAGATGTCGAGGGCACTCGACCAGCTACGGCGCCACCGAGAACTCGGTATTAGGTATTCGGTCAAGGGTACGGATAAGTTATGGGTAAACAATCAATCACTCTAGTTAAGGCTTTCCAGGAGTGGCAGTGTCATGTCGACTGGGTGCCTAGGTACGTATCTTACTGATTCTACGACACAGTCGTTGGGAGCCGTATAATAAAAAACACTCCTAACACCCACCTCGGCACTATTCACCACAGCCATTCAGACAGGCAGTGTACCTAATCAATATCACAATTCATTAAATTGAAGTAATTAATTATACTTATTGAACTATCAAGAACACATTACATATACGCTTCGTTTTTCAGTTTCCACCGATGCAAATGTTTCTTCTTTTTCTTTCTTTCTTCTTCCTTTCTAATCCCATCCTTTTTTCTCCTTTCCATTCCTTCTACCTGACTCCTAGCCTACCCGCTTGCCTGGTTAACCAACCAACAAACCAATCATGGTAAAGAGTTGGCCAGGTCTTCGCATATATCGACATATAGGTATTGTACATAGTGAACCATGCGTTACCTAGGTACGTACAGATTAGGATTCGCCAACTAGGTCTGTCTGTGTGTCTCTGGCTTGACTCTGCTAGTCTCGAGGGGTTTGCTACTGGTTTATATAGTGTAGCATCGTCTGTCCACCCGTCTCCGACTTCGAATGGAATAAAAAGAAGACAGTATATAGTGGACTGCTCGTAGCGAATTCGAAAGTGCAAGGCGATCGTGACCAGCAAGAGGTACCCAAGCTCGAGCAAACAGCCAGGGGTTCTTTGTTTCTTTGTGGGGGTTGGAATCCAATTATTTATACATGTCCACCTCGTCCAACTTATAAAAACCACCTATTGGGTCCTTCTAACTCTTGGGGGGTATCATTGATTATTATTCGAATATTCTCGACGAAGCTTGATTATGTTGTCAAAAGGATCTCCTTCCATTCAACTTGGTCTTTTCATTTGTCTCCTTCGCTTTCGTACTCTTCCGCCCCCTCGGGCTCGGGCTCGGGCTCGGGCTCGTCCTCGTGGGTGTTCTTGGCGTTACTGTTATCTCGATCCTTTAGCCGGTTTGTAAAGGCGTTTAACTTTCCCTTGAAGAATCCGGAGTTGCCCGACTTCTGTTTATCCTTGTCATTGACTGTGGTGACGCTTTTCGTCAATGTTTGGAATGGACTTAGGCTCATACTCGCGCTGGTACTTGGCCGAGGCGGAAAGTCAATCCCTAGACCAGTGTTCGTTCGTTCTGTCGGGGTTGGTGGCCTCATCTTGACAAATGAGGGCAAAGGTGGTGCAGTGCGGCTATTATTGTCCGTGTTGCTATAAAGAGAGCGACTATATGAGCGCGATGAAGTGACACTAGAGCTTCGACTGTTCGATCGCTGCGGCCCCGGGATGTTCGAATGGGCGCTTGTTATGCTTCTCGGCGGTGATTGCGAATAATCAGCCGGGCTAGTTCCATGCAAGCTTGACGAATCATCACTATTTTCGCCGCTGTTAGGTATAGACGGTGTTGCAAGTAGGACGTTGCTAGTAGCAAGCTCCCTCAACTTGCTTTGTTGTGCTATATTGGGTCGATGCTTGCTGAACTTGTTTCCAATAATGGCGCCGGTATGAGAGATCAGAGCCTTGATCACACGAGATTTCAGAGCTAGGGCGAGGTCGAGATTGGACCAGGTCTTGTTGCGGTATTCGATTATAGGCAGCCGGAAAACAAAGTCGTGTACATCTTCCAGATTTCGTTCGCCTTTGCCCTTGTAGCTGAGGCATAGAACAACTGATGGCATCTTGATATACGCAAATGTCATGTAACTGGAGGCGCGCGCCATCATCTTTGTGAGATCATCCGATGGTTTGTCCTCGGAATTAGCAGCTTTTCGGGAGAGTCCGAACCGACCACCCTTCTTATTCTCGCCGCTGACTGAAGCAATCGTCGCCGCTCGGCCGATTACCGCCTTCTGTTGCGGAGGATTGCTGGACTGGAGAGATTCATGTGATGGCTTCTTGCTCAGCGTCTTTTGACCGAAAAGGCGGAACACACTGCCACCGTCACCCGAATGAACACTAGCTGCCTTGAGCTTCTGGTCGCCTTCATCAGACTGGCGTGGATCCAAGGTCATGGTCGGCCGTAGTCGAAGGTCCAAAGACCCTGCCCGCGTGGAAAATGAAGGCTCTTCAGAGAGCGAAGCACCAAGTCTACTAGAGTTAGGCGTAGCTTCATCTGGTATATTTTCGTCCTCCGCATCACCAAGGAAGGTTGATTTGAAAATGAGGGGTGAATCAGTCTCGTCGTCGGCCTGATCCTCATCCATTTCAGGGAATATATATTCAAAGAGCTTCTTCCCCACCTCGTGCTCTAGTTGGATCTTGAGAGGAAACAAGTTGACTTCGAAGTGGTCCATCACAGGTATACCTGCAATGGCCTCCAGCATGTGCCAGTAGACACGAACCATTTGAATCCCATCTAAGCTGGCTAGGGCTGCCTTTTCGTCTTCATAGTAGGGCGCAACCATTTCTGGATAGATCGCATCGGGCATGAGATTTAAGCCCAACACTTTGCCGACTTGCATTAAATTGACATGCGAACCGTCCGAGTTATCGGTCCGGTCGTACTCTACGTCTCTCAATTGCAATTCAACCAGGGGTTCGTTATTATCTCGAATGAGATGCCAGACAATTTCCTTTGCCGAAATAGTCCATCTCAGCAAGGCGTTGCTCTGCGATGCGTTGTCGAACTTTCGTTGCGAGGTGGTGATGGCTTTCATCATAAAGAACAACTCATCCTCACAGGCAGCGAGGTCACGTTCTAGGAGTAGTCTATCTTGCCATCCCTTCCTGTCAAGATATTTCGAATGAACCTGGAAGTGCGCCTTGATATCTTCTAGTTGCCGAATGCGCTCTTGTAACTTGGTAACCATTTCTGGTGTCCCTCGGAGGTCGCTGAAGTCTGACGCCAGTATGATCTTCTCCAACCTCTCATTTCTCGTCTTCTCCAGAGGCTCGCTATACATGAGCAAGTCGAGCACAATGACGTATACGGCGTAGTATTGCGATGAATTGCAGAGAGCCCTAGCCTGAGGAAACTCTACCCAGAGGTTGTCCATCCTGCTTTCGGTGCTCTCTGCTGCGAGGGGATTAGATTCGCTGTTGACCTCATCGTTATACTTCAATCTGAGAGTATTGAACTTGTCGAATCTCAGCATAGCCGATGTCTTCTGCACAACTCTCTTGAACCCGAAAGGGTCGGATTGGAAATCGTACATGACTTCCATGGGTACCCAGGGAGGCCACGACGAACCGGCAGGTGTACCATACGTGTTACCCGAGTACATGGTTAGAAGTTGGCCAGAGAACCATTTTTGGTGTGTCACGAAGAACTGTGCACTATCCATCCTAAGCAAAAATCGTCGTTGGACCAATCCGCTGACCTGATCAAACAGTCTGGCCTTCTCCATAACCTCGACCACTTTGAGGTCCATTCCTTTGGCTGTGATCAGCACCACGTGTTTCTTGTTCTTCTCGCTTTGAAGTTGTATCTGCGGTGCGATCAAACGGACGTGGTATGAATTCTGAGGAGCGAATTCTTCAGCAATGCCGCTAGTAATATCTTCCATGTTCGTATTGACGGGTCCTTCAGACACTGAATATCCATCGGCATCAACATATTTTCTGCCATCTCTTAAAATCTGTTTGATGCGATATTCAATATCTGGATCAGTATCACCGGCCTGCCCACCGCTGGCCGTAGATGAAGGCGCTTGTGTGTCGTTAGGTGCTGTGCTGGCAGGCTTGCTATTTTGTTTGGCCCTGGTTTGTTCTTCGACGATGTCCAGGATGAATTTAACGGCCGGCCGAGATAAGTAGTAGACAAAACCGCGGCGTTGGCTCACTTGGTGGCTATATCGGAGGATGATATTTCGCAGCAGGTTGTTCCATTTCAGCTGCATATTGTGGATAACAAATCTGTTTTTGAAGTCACTTGCGAATTCTGCCCCTGCTGGTACTCTGATCTTTCCGTCCCCAATGTCCGTCCATTCTTGAGATTCATTGCTCGTAGCTTCGTAGCCTCCTGGACCGTCTTGATCATTATTGGATGCGTTGATAGCCATTTGTTGCAGCATGTCTTCCATAAACGATCGTTTCTCTTCCAAGACGGTAGCATGTTTGCTAAGCATTTCAAAGTCCGACTTCAGATCTGGATCGTTGCCATTATCCCGAACCACGCGTAGTTCAGCATCCCCTAGATTCCGTGTATTGGCGGTAATCTGAGTGCGTAATTGGTCCAACCGAGACTGAATGAGCTGAGCTTGAACCCTCCTAGGATCATCATCTTGGCTCATTATACAAAGATGTGTGGGTTCGTCGCCAAATGGACTCGTGCGATCTGGGTCACCATCTATGATACCTTCAATGTCGGTCTGTCTGAAGTAGGTAACACGGGGGGCGAAGACTAAAGGCAAGATCTTTGTGTCTGGGTTAGGTTCCGAGGGCAGGATCCAATCAAGCTCAACAAAATCGTCCATGTCGACCCAACTGAAATCGTTGTCGGGAATGGTGAAATGAGAAAGGTCGGTACCGTCGTCCTCTTGTTGCGTGATTAGAGTTGAAACTGAATTCTTCTTGATGGCCTCAGTTGTCGTTCCCTTCATACTAGCAGAAACGGCACGGACATCTGCGGATACTAGATCGAGCTGAGCTGCGTTCATCTTCATGCCGGTTGTTCTGCCGTTCGTTTTGCGACCCTGATCCCGGGTGTTGAACTCCTCCCGGCGTTGGTGGATGTCGAGCATGAAGCTGTCGAATCGAACTTTAATGCCTGTAGCCGATACAGAGGTCTCGGAATAGTCTTCGACATCTTTATGCTTGTATATATGACTAAGGAACAACGGAGCCAAGAGAAGGTCGTACTTGATCGTACCGAGATGTCTTCCAAACTTTTTGCTGGTCTTTTCTCTTCCAGGCCACAAAGACCCTTGACGAACAGGAAGTGACATCGGGCCACTGAAAAGAGACCACCAGGCAAAGAAATGGGTGAAGAACCGCGGAGTTAGATGCACAGTGTTATAGCTTTTCGATGACTGAACTTCAGATGAAGCCCAATCTCGATCAGCCGGTGCTCTTACTGCGATGGAAAGATGTATATGTTCACTCCTAAAGCCTCGGAAAGCATCATACGGGAGGCCATCATCGCCCACCTCGCTGTACTCAGGGGACTTCATAATGACCTCGTGATGTGGCTTAAACTGGTAATTTCGCTTCCCATCTTCAATGGCCTTTTCGAAGACAAGCCCAGCCATCCAATGGACATTTCCAGATAGTTTCATGACCACCTTCTTGAACGAAGAGCCGGATTTGAAACTGTTTTCGCTTGTCATGCTCTCATCATCTCCAACCTGGCGCGATGCCTCTCTGACCTGGTGGCTATAATCTGGTACTGCGAGGACAAATTCGTCGCTGTTCACCATCATGAACTTCTTCGGGTCATCTACGGTGTGGATGTTCCAGTTCACATTGTTTCGCCAGCATAGCAAGAAACCAGCACCTTCGCCCGTGACACTATACGGATCTCTCGAGCCCTTAAGAGCTAGATGCACATCACCATCCCCTTTCCATGCTACTCGAAGGCGGGAATGGAAGCTGAGTCTGATCTTATCCCAAAACCCTACACGCTCGGAAAGATCCAACGGTGGTTTCGTGAATGACTCGATGGCCATCATCATATCCTGGATAGCTGGCTGATATGAAGGGCCCCAAGTGATCCGGGTGGGATATGCAGTATTGATGTCGGCGTATATGTCCGAGAAGGATTTGACGGGTCCGATGGTGCGACGGACATCAATCGCGAAGCCTCCATTCGGAACTCCCGGCTCTGCATTGCCAGGGGGGGTGATTTGCACTTTGATCCTACGGCTTGACGAGCTGTCCCGGTACTCTTCTGCAATGACAAAGTCCGTTTTGAGGGACAAGGCTGCAAGCTTCGTCGACTGGCCGGGCTTTATGGCAGGGACATGGAGTAGAGGGAGAGGGTAATCCCTGAGGCTCACTCGTAATTCGCCCATACTGACCTGGACATTCATGGGTATTAAAAGGGAATACTTCATATCCCTTGGCATCCCTTTCCCGACACTATGCAGGAAATCCGGTAGCTTTTGCATCGGGAATGATGGCTTATCAATCACTACATGCAAATCAGTTATGACTGCACCCATCAATGCTGGTCGCTGGGGCACTTCGAGGATTTTCTCGTTGTCCTCAAGATCGTCGGGGAGCTGATCCGGGCCCCAGAATAGGCCGCGGAGTTCCTTCATGCCGTTCCTTGCCATTACATAGTGATGATTAATGCGCTTTTTCCAGCTTTGAGCGTTGTGCTCGTGAAGCTTGACCCTGGCTTCTTGAATGGACACGTGTGCCCGCCCACTCATACTAGGTATTGCTTCTGGATCATACCGAGGGTTCTGGGATTCGCTATGAGACCGTTGACTACGGCCTATTTTGGAGAGGCCATCCTCACTCTTGCTACGCGCGAAGGATGTGTTCGGAGCACCGGTCCTGCCTCTAGGCATCGCCGATCGATTGCGAAGCCGATGCGAATCTTTTCTTGTTTCTTCTTCGTGTATTTTCTTCGCCTTGACCCGGAAAGCTTCTTCGCGTGCGAGGCGCTGCAGCTGCTCTACCCGTCCAGCTCTGTAGATAACCCCCAGTTTCCATTCGAAGGCACCATCTTCAAGCTCAAACAAGAGAGTACGGGTCCTAAAAGAGATCTTTGGGACGTTCTTGGGGCCCTCCGGTGGCTTTTCTAGTATGTACTCATTTGTGCCAGTTTTGAAACGGTGGTGAAGTTGCTCGCTTGCTTTGATAACATTGATGATGTTGTCAGATATCTCACTAATAATCAGTTCGTGAGGAACTGCTAGTCGTATAGCATCAGTCACTACGTCAAACATTTTATCATCATGGAAACCTCCTGATGACATCTTTCTGCGTGACTCGCGATAATCTAAACGAATAGTCTTGATACTTGCAATACGCGCCCAAACTCCCCGCATTCGAGGTGCGCCAGCATACAGACGTATTAACTTCGAGAAGAAGAATGGGGACGACCACCTCTGCCGACCAGCCTCCACGCCGTAGATCTGCAGCATCAAAGGCGGATCATCAGGCATTTCGGCCTTGACCTGAATCAGAGCAGCCTTGATGTCAAACGTAACGAGCTCCTTCGAAATCCGATGAAAACCGTCCATCTGGTTAGCGATTGGCGAATCTGGCGATACCATGGGCGGGCTTAAGTAGCCTGTCCTTGGGCTTGCTGGTTCTGGACGTTGCGATTCCGTTTGCGATTCCGGTCCTCTCGTGAACGCCTTTTGTAAAACCATGATGGCAACACCCACTGAATAATGGCGGAAGAGCGAGTAGCGGAGAAGGAGGGTTTTCATATGAGAATGAACGTGGAGAATCGGTCCTTGAGCATCACTATGCGTTGATAGAGCTATTTCAAATCGAGGCATCTGAATAAACGGCTCTACTTCCCATTTCTCTGGCGCTTCAATTATGAAAACTTCCAGACCACGTGTGTGAACCGTAAGTTTCCGCCCATCGCCGTCGCTCTGCTGCTTTTTCCGTGGGGACGGCGGCATAGAAAGGGAGCTCAGAAATTCCGGATCGGGGAGGAATGACCGACTCACTGTTCGTCTCCTGGACATTGGCCGGTTCTTAACAGTGTCTAATCTTTGAGCACGATACTCAGCCGACCACGAATCCATCTGTAACACTATGCCTCGGGTAAGCCCTGGGAAGTCATCGTCGCTTCCAGTCACCTCGGCACTGAAGTCCTCAACCTGCACTGTGAAATGAAGCAGCCACTGCGGCAAGGCGCGAACGGCATTTGGCGACTTTTGTGTCCTAAATCTTGCCTGCTTGTCCGGCTTGGTATCCAGCTTCAACTGGCGAAATATCTGACGTAGACCATTCGTGATTTCAGGACGAGTCATACGAATGGCAAAAGTCTGCAAATGGCCGGTGGCAATTACATGGACGTCAGGAGTCGCCGAGAGTTGGATCTTTAAGTCAAAGGATTCCGTTTCAATCAAGTCAAAGCGATTGCCTTGGGTTGTCTGATAATAGAGGTGGTGCGTCTGAACTCGCATAGACGACGCTAAGGAGTAATGCATGTCTTCTACTGCCGAATGGAAGGATTCAAGATCTAGAGAAATAGAGGAGATCGAAGAAATTATTAAGTCGAATTCGTCTGGGTCGTCGGTCTTTTCGACTGGAGGAAGCGATATCCTTAGGACTGGTTCGTGCATAGAAAACTTGATGTTGGCTTTTGGCAGCAGGCGAGAAATAAGCCTGTGTCTCTGTTGTACGCGAGCCTTTGGTGCTTTGGGCTGGCGCCGAAGGAGAGCAAGAAGCACTGGAATATGTTTTGGATCTAGATCAATAGAAGGTGAAGTAACAACAGAATTGGCGAAGAGGATGTTCGCATTCCTCTCTTCAGCGCTTCCCACATCAGAGAGCTCTACGGTTTTCGAGGGCAGAGTAGTTTTCACCGTTGTGGTGGCCATGGGAACATATATCACCCTTTCTGGCTTTCCATTGCCATCGTCAAATCCGACGGAGATTGAGAGCGCAACAGCCAGAGCTTCATGTGCAATATCCTTTGAGGGAAAGTACATTCGATGAGCTGGAGACTTAGGATCTAACCGATGCAAGTCGATACCGACCTCCTTCATAGAGGCATTCAGAAGTAAAGGCAGTCCTGATGATTTCACGCCAGTTATCTCCTTGGTAAAGCTAACAAAGCTTACTGCAAATTGAACTTCCTTGATTCCTCGAAGTATAGAGCTCACAAACTCTTTCGAATCGGATACCGTCTGCATTAACTCTTGATCGGTACTGCCAGGCGTGCTGATCTCTTGGATGACCTTGTCGACTGCCACTTCCAGTGACTCAACCTGCTTGTAGGTTGCCTGGTATGGACCCCTGGATTTCTGGAAACGCTCCATGCAGCTTATCATATCGTCGTAAGGAATATGGACTCTCCCAAGTTTCAGAGCAATGGCAGCATCTCGAAGCCCGTCGAGATCATCGTATAGGAATCCATGGATGTTGAGGGTGGCACTATCCAATATCTCTATAGCCTCACCTCCCTTAGCCGTGAACAGGACACTTCGCAATGTAACAATCCATTCAGCGGACTGTTGTTGCCGGAGTTTGTCGGATCTGGTCTGGAAGAAAAAGCGTGCGCGATCGACCATACGATTACGTGTATCCAGGGCCATGGTGAAGCTACCGAACTGCACCTTACCAACATCCACAATGTGAACCGCTGAGTCGGTGGCCACCATATCCACCATGCGAAGCCAATCGACATTTCGGTGAAGCTTCTTTATGCGTTCTTTTAGCTTTGTGAGCTGTTTCCAAGTAGCACTGCGAGTGTCCTTCGGAGTAGTCCGCTTGGAATGCTTAGGTGGAGTCTTGGTCTTGTCATCTTGTAGTCCCTTATCTCCCTCATCTTCACTCTCACTTCCACTGGAGTCAACTCCTGATTTTTTGCGGCCCTCAAGCTGTTTGATGTCCGCCGTCACAACCAATTCGCTCACGACAATGCTAAGCCAAGTTGGTTGAGAGAAAGTTGGGCGGTGGAGGTTAAGGCCGAGGCCACGAATCTGGATCTTGATGCCATCTTTAGGGGTATAGGCTAGTCGTCGCAGGGAGAAGTATCCAACTCGTTGTATGGATATGCCGGTTAATATGCGAAGCGCGGCAAAGAGAACGAAGGACGATAGGTATAGGAGGAGGAGGAGGCCGAATATGAAGGTCGGGTTTAGGAGTGCCATAACGAAAGCACCTTAGGCGAGGCGCGTCCCGCGTTGCTGGCTTACAATAAGAGATTAGTATGTCACTTGGAGGTAGGTATCAGCAGTTTTATTCGTACATGATGCCGTTGATTTCTTGCTTTCCCTGCATCATCCGAGTCTTCGAAGTAGGGGCTGGTTCATCTCGTTGCACATCGAAGTTGGTTGGTAGGTAAGGTAAGTAGGGGATAGGAGGTAAGATGTTGGTTAAGGGATGTAAGAATAGGTACTATGTAGGCTTTGTTCTCCCCTAATTTGCACTTGTCCTCTTTTTTTTTTTAATTGTACCTTGAAATTCCTACGCACTTAGATGCACGTGCGACGTGGACCCGTTAATGGTGAGGTAGCCGGCTAGGTACGACGCAGGTAAGCATGAGCTTTGAGCTTAAGCTTGAGCCTCAAAGTTGTTTAACGTTAGGATCATCACACATGTGCAGTTCTGTCACCGGCGGGAGGGATCGTTGATCGTTGTTAGTTAAAAATAAATAAAAAGATCGTTAATGTGAGATTAGGTACTACTATAGATAGGTAGGTACCTACATATGTACTGTAGGTGCTGTAAATTATGTACACTACCTAGTATTCCATTTGAACAGCGTTGAAAAAGCTGACTGGCTAGTTGGTACCTGCCACTATTACAGGAAATATGATAGGATCAGATAGGTATTGTACAGTACCTACTAGGTAGTGATACAATGTAGTATGCACGTCACAACGCAGCAGCCGCATTGGTGGAAAGCATGCGCTAAAACATAATCTGCACTATTACAGTTAATTCGAACCTTTGACCGGTACCACCGGTTAGTAGCCTGATACTAGTGCTACTTGCATCACCAATTATAACCCCTGAGTAAATCCACTGACAGGGAAACGTTTGTGATCCAAGGCTGACTGATATTTGACATGTTCGTGAAAGAGTTTAATCATACATACATACATATGTAACTAATACTTCAACAGCCCCTTGATGTAGTGGTATACAACTTGAACATTGAATCGGGTTTTTAGTTATAAATTTATAATTTAATACTCATTTACTTATTGCGTGGTCTCGTTCAAGAGCATTGATCTGATAGGAAATGAGCCAACTTCGGTTGAACCCGTCCCGTCTTTTCCGCCCTTTCGTTTAGTCAATGAATTTGTCTATCTTAATATTCAAGTCCCCATTTCATTTTATGTACGTGGATATGTAAATACATATGTAGTTAATACATAGTGTGTGTAAAGGTCTCGACTCTCAAGGAGTTAAGCTAAGATTGATTGAATAAATTAAATATTTTGTACATGAGTAGAACGCCCGGAGAATTATGCATGTATATCGCCACCGACCCATCAATGTATGCCAACGCACATAATACATTCTGACCTTAGGTACGAAGTAACTATCGTGACCCAAGAGGATATCCACTTCGTGTTTACCTACATATGTAGGTATGCACAAAGGTATGTACTACATAGGTAAACCAGACCGCCTGACTCCTCCAATGTTTCCAATAACCGGCCCAAACTCCACAAGATAATACGTAGTCTATTTGAATTGCTGAAAACAGACTGCGTAGATCAAATATGCTAGAGCCTTGATCGGACAGCCTCAAGTCTGTATTTGACATCCTTGAGTGCCTTGGTGCTAGGTGACCAATCATCAAACTGCTGAAGCAATTCAGCCGTCTCTGAGTATAATTCCGTCTTGACAAACTCTTCTTCCAATAGCCCACGCATAATCCACGGCAGCAAAAAGGGGTTGGGATTCACTAATTTGTCTGGCTTTTGAATTCGGCAGGGCACGCCAGAAACATCAGTTGTTTCGAGAGCATGCGTTAGGGCCAGGCTTTGGTAGGTAGGTTAGTAATCTTCATGTACGCAACGATTTTGCTTGGGACTTACTCGTAGACCTGTTGATCGTCGTAGAGCCTCGAATGGCCATCTCCTGAATAGAGACTTCCAGCAAGCGACACGGAAAGCTCACGGATGAGCCCGTGGTCGGAGATTCCCAGATTCCGAAGTTTTAGTGCGAACCCAACTAGATGGGCTATGAAATCTGGAGCGTGAACTCGTCCATCTATGAATACAGCACGATATATATAAGGATGCGATGCAGGCGCATATATCGCAGATTCTAATGGAACCAATTGGTCGTCGATGCTACCAATATACTACAATCCTTAGCATCTAATAAAATAGCACGGTGATAAGGAAAGGGCTGAGAATCGGAAGATCTTACTGTAATACGTGCACCATAGCCAACAACCACCTCGAGCGCATGTTGATATCTTTTGGATATGTCGCTGTCCGGCTCTGCAAACTGCCAAAGTTCGGCAGCCGAACCCATGATCACTGCAGCACCTATGGTCAATAATGATTGTTCATACCTTGGGGACCTGTTCTTAGGCAATGAAACCTGCATAGGCTTCGCAAGGTGCGTATATAGCCCCAAAAGAAAAGTACGGGAGGATTTAAGTGATTCAAAATTACTTACTACCCATACCGGACTTGTAGTCAGGAAAAGGTCCGAGAGAAACACCCGCTAATTTCCAAGGTCAGTCATAAGTACCGCGTTGGTTATTAAGGATATGGTTTACTGACCCATAGCGCACACACTGATTCTGGAGCGGGTTACGATCTCTAAGTCTATCAGCTTTTCGAGTAGCATTAAACCAACAGGGACCCCTTGGGAATGGCAGGCTAGAACAATAAGATCAGCGCCACGGATGTGGTCGACCCAGTTAAGAAGAAGCTTCCACAGGTTGTCGACCCTCTCTCCGATCTTGCCCTCGCCCTCAAGAGCGACTTTTTCTATCTCGCAGTCACCACAGCCATGGCTATCCGCCCATCTTCTAATCGCGTCGGCACCATGGTTCGCGAAACGAATAGAAGTTCCAGTGGGTTGACCTATCATCGGCCTGAGATATGAGGCTGGGAAAAGACCGTCTGCTTCATGTTAGTCCCCTGATCAAAAGCCCGAAACTTACTCCCAACAACACATGTTCCATCATGCAAGATAAGACAAGGATACACAAAATAGAAACGTTGCGACATACTACAAAGACGTTAGCTTCTATGAAGGTAGCAAAACTGAGAGCGCAAGACTAAATGCCAAGTTTTGGGACGAGTCCCAAATGGATAAATCTCCATACGTACCGTATACCAATAGCGACAGCCTTCTTTATTTTGGGGGGCTCCTTGACAAGGAAAACGTGGTTTGCGGGGGGCTGTTGGGTTCGTAGAAGTAGCTGCGTAATCTGCTTAATGATAGATGGGTTGTTCTTCATCCGGTACGTATTACGAAACGAGGGTAGAAGCGAATTTTGTGCAGAAGACTTGCTTTGTGTCGGAATAGTTGATCTCGACGGTGTCGTCTTGGTAGATATGTCGGAATGCGGAGTGCCTGGTCTGGAAATCGGATTATCTATGTCTATAGATTGTGGTCGCACCCTCTTATTCCGCTTAGATAAAATTGCCTTGGCTGGAATTTCCTTCGGCATACTCGAAGGTTCCTTCACAAGCGAAGGATTCCCATCAACTTCGGCACTACTTGAGCGTTTTGGGTGTGCCTCAGACCCATCTCCAATAATAGCAAGCTCGCCAGGCTCCGAGGCACCAGCTGTTTTCGCCTCATCCTTTGGGCCTGATGTATCTCTTGACCAGAACGCCCAGGTTGAACTTCCGGACGGCCTGGCAACTTCTAACGCTTTTGTCTGTGGAGCATCTTCCATGACCACATCCTCCGTATTCTGGGGGGCAGACTCTTGGGCTGATACTTCAAGATTGGTGGTCATTTGCGCCGAGGGTACTGGTACCGTCGTGGCCGGTGCTGATGAATACCAGAAGCCGAACCATGATGTTGCAGGCTTTGTAGATCCAGCATCATCTCCCGGCGCGAGTGTAGGTTCGGGAGATGTTTGCTCAGGCGGATTTGGTTGCACATTTTCGGGTTCTTTTGGCGGATCAACTTCCATAACTTCGTCCTTCGGTACGTCTGCCATAGGCGGTTGTGAAACTTGTGATGACATACCGAGCCATCCCAACCAGCCAGAGGCCTGGGGTTGCTGCGTTGCTTCTACCGATGGTTTTACTTCTTCGTTGCCTTTGGCTGTGCTAGGTGTCCCTCGATCCTTCGGTGCATCCGCCCCATTAGTACTATCAGACTTGGTCGCTTCCTGAGGTTTTATTGTAGAGTTTCTACCCTCTTGGTCAGATTGCACGACCGTCTCGGACATCTTAGGAGGTGTGCTCGTAGGTTGGTCATCAGGAATGCTCGAAGTGTCGCTCTTCTTGGTGTCAAAGCGGCTAAAGTCAGGAGAAGCATCGGGACGTAGTGTGCCGCCCATGATATTTTGATGAGATACTTGGGTCGAAGCAGAGGATTTGGGTACTCGAGGCCAGGAACCATACCAACTCCGAGACTTGCGCACCTAAGGTTTATGGCATGCCTCGGTCAGCAAGGAGCTCTTTGGGGATTATTGGTTTTACGACGAATCATATAAATGAATGAATGAATGAATGAATAGATGGATAAATCATCTGGTAGATTACAGACCTGCTTTATATCATTGATTCTAGAAGATGAAGGCGTGTTTGAACCATCTTTTTTCGCGGGTGGCATTGATGGAGTTGTAGGCGAAAATAACAATTTGGACGACTTTGACGACTTTGACGACTTCGAGGATAGTGACGCAATGGAATTATTGGCCTGTGATGGTAAAGTCGCAGGTAAAGTGGCATTACTCTTATCTTCAGTAGAAGGATTTGGCCTTATACGCTTTCGAGGGCTCATGCTTATTAGGTATTATCATCTCCGTAAAAGACCGACTTGAGTCAAGTTAGCAAGTTTGTGTTATTTGTGTGTTATTTGTGTGTTATTTGTTATTGTTATTTGTTATTTTGTATTGTTAATAAGTTTAAGTTGTAAATCCTTTATGCGTCGCGCCTGTTAAAAAAGGTTTGAGATTGTCAGGCAGTAAGGTGTCTACTCGTAATAGGTTGCATACCAACCTTCCAGTTGCTAAACCTACCCTGAGCCTCGGAGCTGCAAGCTGTAGTGGGACCGGTGGGACGTTAGCATGCTAACTTTACCCCCCTGAAAGCCAAAGTCAAATGTACAATACCTACTAGGCAGTTAACTACTAACTAACTAGGTACTAGGTAGTTATTGCCACTAGAAGCCTTCGATGTTGGAGGTTCATACGGCATAGTACAGTTGTATTTACGGTGGGGTGAGTGGGCCCCTTCTTAAATTTATGTAACTAGTCTTATCTAACTTCAAAGTCTATCGATAACCGATAACGAGCAGCTAAGGAAAAAAAAAAAGTTATTAGATGTCTGGGCCAGAAATGTTCTAATGCAGATTTCCTAACTACAAGCGCCAATATACACCTAACATAAGTTGATGTCCATTCTATCGTATCAATGGGCTCACTAAAAAGGAAAGATGCCCCTGGAGCATCTTCAGTGTTGAAAGCACCCAAAGCGCAAAGTGATTCGCGACCGTCGAAACGATCCAAGTCCGACAAGACATCTGCTCCGAAAGATGCGAAAGATGCGAAACCGACTACGAATCCCAAACCTGCAATTGCAACTACGGTCTCGCGCTTAAAAGAAGAAGAGCCTTTATTTCCTCGTGGTGGTGGTAGCGTCCTTACGCCCCTTGAACATAAGCAGATATCAATACAGGCAAAACAGGATGTTCTCTTCGAGCAGGAGTCTGGTCAGGGTATAAAGAAGCCAGAACGAGCCCCCAAGAAGAGAAGATCTAAGCCCTCGAAGGACGGGAAACTTGGAGGTGCCAATGACGATGAAGAAGGTGCAAAGATTGAAAGTCTCAACTATAAGGTATGTTCTAATTCAACCTCATTCCTCTTCCCAATTTCATTCATTATATACTTACAATCATATCCAGAGATTGGTTAAAGGTTCTCTAGTCCTTGGTCAAGTCGCCGAAATCAATCCATTAGAATTAATACTCGCTCTACCCAACAACCTCTCTGGTCATGTGCCAATTACGGCCATCTCTCCTGCTTTGAACGACAAGATAGCAGCCGAAGCCGCGGACGAAGAGGAAGAAGCAGATGATGCTGAGGATGATGGTCTTAACCTGAAGGACATGTTCAAAATCGGCCAGTACCTCCGCGCTTATGTCACATCAACCATCGAAGAGTCGACGGCCACTTCCGCGAAACCTAGGAAACATATTGGGTTATCGCTACGTCCAGATCTCACGAATACGGGCTTAAGTAGCCAGGATGTTGTCCCGAACTGCACAGTAATGGCAACGGTCGTTAGTTCTGAGGACCACGGTTTCGTCATGGAACTTGGGCTTCATGATTCAGATCTCCGTGGATTCTTACCCCGGAAAGAGCTGGCCGAGGGTATTTCTGACTCCCAAATGCAGCCTGGGGGTGTTGTTCTCTGTCTCGTGACGGGCAAAAGCGCCAACAGCAAGGTTGCGCAGCTGACCACTCTCCCCAAAAAGATTGGAAAGGTTCAGAACTTTCCGTCGGAAGCGACTACGATCAACTCATTCTTGCCAGGATCCGCAGTAGAGTTCATGGTATCTGACATCGCCAAACGTGGGATAATCGGCAAGATCATGGGATCGTTAGATGTCACGGCTGATTTGATCCATTCAGGCCTTGGTCCCAAAGCCTTAGATCTAGAATCCAAGTTCAAGGTTGGGAAGAAATACAAGGCCCGCGTAATATGCAATTTCCCAGCAGCCCAAGACCCAAAACTAGGCATTTCTCTCCTGGATCACGTGGTATCCTTGAGTTCAATGTCGACTTCTTCGAGTAAACTACCCATGGAAGCTCTCCCAATATCTTCAGTGGTAGAGAAATGTACCGTCACTAAGGTCGATCCAGAGATTGGTCTATTTGTCGATATTGGCATCGAAGGAGTACCTGGGTTTGTGCACATATCTAGAGTCAAAGACGGCAAGGTCGATATTCTTTCCGAGTCATCTGGTCCCTTCAAAACAGGCTCTATACATCGCGGCCGGGTGGTAGGATACAACGCCATCGATGGCATGTTTCACCTATCATTCGAGAAACATATTCTAGAGCAGCCCTTCCTACGAATTGAAGACATACCCATTGGCGAAATTGTCCATGGGGAGGTTGAGAAATTGATGATAAACCAAGACGGTGTTAGTGGTCTTCTCATCAAGCTTGCAGAAAACATTGTTGGGTTTGTCCCGGAAATGCACATGGCAGACGTTCGACTACAGCATCCAGAAAAGAAATTTCGAGAAGGCCTCAAGGTCAAAGCCCGAGTCCTGTCGACAGATCTAGTTAAAAGACAGGTCAAGCTCACACTGAAGAAAACCCTCGTTAATTCTGAGACAACTCCTCTCAAGTCCTTCGATGAGGTATCTGTCGGTCTGCAAATTCCGGGTACAATCATCAAGGTGCTCAACAATGGTGCCATTGTGAAGTTTTACGGGTCTCTCAGCGGGTTCTTGCCTGTATCGGAAATGAGCGAGGCCTACATTCAAGACCCAAAAGAACATTTCCGAGTTGGCCAAGTTGTCAGTGTCCACGTCTTGAGTTTTGACGTCGAGGCTCAAAAGCTCTTCCTTTCTTGCAAAGACCCATCTGCCTTCGGTCTCGACAAGCAGATAGCTCTAAAGCAGCTCAAACTTGGAGAAATTGTCTCTGCTAAAGTTGTTCAGAAGACCGAAGATGACGTGTTTGTTGAATTAGTCGGCAGTTCATTGAAGGCCATGTTGCCAATATGGCATCTAGCCGATCGACCCAGCAAGTGCCAATCTGCCTTGAAACGCATCCATGTTGGACAAGTTCTCAATGATCTTGTAGTACTGGACAAGAACGAAGGTCGTCGGTACATAGCATTGTCAAGGAAGCCTAGCTTCATCAAGGCCAGCCAAGATGGGAAGCTTCTTACGTCCCTGGAGGAAGCTAAAGTTGGTGAACTTCGACAAGGTTTCGTCAGAAATATTACCGCCACAGCAGCTTTCATTCAATTCTGTGGCCATATTACCGCCTTACTACCTAAGTCGAAATTGCTACAGGAAGATCAGAAGAAGGAGAGCTTCGGGCTGGAAAAGTATCAGCCTATATTTGTTAAGATCGATTCTATCGATACGGACCATGACAGAATTGTTGTTGCTTCATCTTCTTTTGAGGGAGACAAAGTCCCCAAAGACAGCGCTGCCTCTGATCTATCAAACAAGATCGAAAACCCAGTAGATGAAACCATTTCATCAATGGATGACCTGTTCATCGGAAAAGTCACCAAGGCGAAGATTACATCTGTTAAGAGTACACAGCTGAACGTCAAACTTGCCGACAATGTACAAGGTCGCATAGACGCCTCTCAAGTATTTGATTCTTGGAAGAAAATATCGAATCCAAAGGCACCATTGAGTTCTTTCCGAGCAAATAACACCATCAAAGTTCGGGTTCTGGGTATTCACGATGCCAGGAATCATCGCTTTTTGCCTATCACGCATCGTTCGTCTCATACAGTCCTCGAGTTATCCGCGAAGCCAAGCGATCTAAAGCAAGATTCACCCCTAACAATATCATACGACAATCTAAAACTAGGCTCTACGCATCTTGGTTTCGTAAACAACGTGGAGAAAAACTCACTATGGGTGACCCTTTCGCCTAATGTGCGAGGCAGGATCAACACCATGGAAATATCTGATGACGTATCTCAGCTTGGCGATTTGGCATCTGCCTTCCCAGTTGGATCGGCGTTACAAGTTCGCGTTCTGTCGGTGAACGCGGCTGAAAGGCGTCTAGACCTCTCAGCACGCTCTTCTAGTTCCTCGGCAAACCTCACTTGGGAGAAATTAAAGCCGAACATGGTCCTTCCCGTTCGCGTCACCAAGATCAATGAACGACAGGTTATAGTGCAACTCAGTGACGTTATCTCTGGACCGGTTCACTTGATTGATATCAGTGATGATTATGACGAGGCAAACACTTTGTCATATAACAAGAACGATGTCATCAGGGTATCAATTGTCGACGTTGACAAAAGCAACAAGAAGCTTCGACTCTCGACACGTCCCTCAAGAGTGTTGAACTCTTCTCTGCCTGTCAAAGACCGTGAGGTTACCAAAACAGCCCAAGTCAATGCAGGGGACGTCCTACGAGGTTTTGTGAAGAACGTTTCTGACAAGGGGTTGTTCGTGAGTCTTGGTGGAAATGTTACGGCTATGGTTAAAATATCCGATCTTTCGGATAAATACTTAAAAGACTGGATGGACGAGTACCAAATCGACCAGCTTGTCAAGGGCCGCATCACATCAGTCGACACCACCTTGGGCCACGTGCAGATGAGCCTCAAGTCTTCGGTGGTCGACAATAAGTTTGTTTCGCTCACCAACTGGTCGGACCTTCGTGAAGGCCAAATAGTTATCGGGAAAGTCCGAAAGGTTGAGGAATTTGGTGCATTCATCGTCATTGAAGGCTCCGCGAACGTTAGCGGGCTATGCCATCGCAGCGAAATGGCTGAGAAGGCTGTCGAAGATGCGCGGAAGCTCTTTAGCGAGGGCGACGTAGTCAAAGCCATCATCTTGAAGCTTAATAAGGAGAAGAAACGGATCAATTTCGGCCTCAAGCCCTCATACTTTGAGGACGACGATGGCATGGACGTCGACGAGAGCGATGAGGATGATGAGGCCGGCGCTGCATTATTCGACGACGAAGATGAAGCCAGTGAAGACGATACTGACATGGAAGATGCTGGGGCTACCGTGATCATCAAAGGAACTGATAATGATGAAGATGAGGCAAGTGATGATGAAGATACCAAGATGGATGATGATGTTGCCCCTCTCGACGCTGGCGGGTTTGACTGGTCTGCAAAAGCGCTTGATAATGTTGATGCGGCGGATGATGAGTCAGACGCGAATGCGAACACAGATCAGAAGAAAAAGAAGCGACGAAAGCCGCAGATCGAAGTGGACAGGAGCGGTGACTTGGATGCATTTGGCCCAAGAACAGCGGTCGATTACGAGCAGCTCCTTAATCGCCAACCCAACTCGTCCGCATTATGGATTGAGTACATGGCTCATCAGATGCAAGTCAGTGAGCTTGCAAAGGCTCGCGAAGTAGCTGATCGTGCCGTTACGACTATTAACAGCACTGAAGAGACAGAAAAGCTCAACGTCTGGATCGCCTATCTAAACTTGGAGGTTCGGTTCGGAACCCAAGACAGTGTCGATGAAGTTTTCAAGCGAGCCTGCCAAGTAAATGACCAACAGGAAGTTCACCAGCGTTTGGCAAGTATTTATATTCAGGAAGATAAGGCCGGGGTAAGCTATATTCATTCATATTCACCCTTTCGTTAGAAACTTAGGCTGACCAATAATTATAGAAAGCCGACGAGCTCTTCCAGGCCCTCGTCAAGAAGTTTGGGGCCCAGTCGCCCGAAGTCTGGTACAACTACGCGCACTGGCTGCACGCAGTACAGAACCAGCCCGAGCGTGCGCGCGCGTTGCTGTCGCGTGCTACGCAAGCACTTCCGAACCACGCGCGTTTCCCGCTTATGGTCAAGTTTGCGGCGTTAGAGTTCACCTCGCCACATCGAAACCCGGAGCTGGGACGCACCATGTTCGAGGGTCTATTGGCCAGCTTCCCCAAGCGCTTCGACCTCTGGAACCAACTACTCGACCACGAGGACGTACCGGGTGCGGACAAGACCGTCATCCGCGACATATTCGAGCGTGCCACCAAAGTCAAGGGGCTGAAGGCTCGCGCGGCTAAGAAGTGGTTCAAGCGCTGGGCGGACTGGGAGGTGAAGAACGGTGACACGAAGAGCCGTGAGAAGGTTAGCGCGAAGGCTGCTGAGTGGGTAAGGGCTAAGGCGGAGGCTAAGGCGGCAAAGGGGGACGAAGATGATGAGGATGATGACGAGTAAGCGGTAGGGAATGTACTAGGTACCTAGTAGGTAGTCGTGATACCCTCTATTCCTCTTATAAAATAGGATCAACTAAAAGGAAAATAAAATTAACAATGCGTGGGCCCTTATGGATTCTCGCGCGTGAAGCAATCTCCATACCTGCCTACCTAAGTAGGTAAGTAGGCACTCAGACGCTCGAATGTGTCGTTTACAACTCATCGGTAGTTATCTATTAACCCATCATTCCCACCCGTTAGTTATTACATACATACCCCGGCCTGGCTCAGCTTAGCCAGCAACCGTCACCTCTAGTTATTCGTTCATGGAAACAAAATCGATCCAAAGTTTCAAGAGAAAAGTCTACGATAGTTGCAGAAGCCACTTATTTAAGAACCCCCCCTGTAATAATCTCCAGGCTGCTGCCAGCTCATCATTTTTAGGCTCCTGGATTTTTCAGCTGGTTCCCCCCCCCCCCCCCCCCCCCCCCCCCACCAGCCACCACAAAAAAAGTATCAGATCGGCAATGGCTTCTCGGAACGGGGATACATAGGCAGCAGGCAGACATATAAAAAAACATGGTATATATCGTGTATGTAAGATGTTGAGATTATATAAGAAGTTGCTTAAACAAAAAGATGAATAAATAAATAAAAAAAAGGAAGAGAATCAAAACCACCAAAAAAGCTTGGGAAAGCTTGGTATCGTCTCCTCGTAAGACATTCATTCGCCAATCGACTTACAACTTGGCGAACTTGGCAATCTAAGATCATTCAGCCCTACTGACGCTCGCCAAGTGTCTTGGTTTGCGGCTTTAAGCTACCTACCTATACCTGCCTCCGATCCGTCACTCGAATAGAGAAGAAGAAGCGAAATAAGGAACAGCGATGGAGGCGGCCGAGCCCTCGGGACTGCAAGGGGAGCCGACGCAATGTGAGAAGGTTGGCGAGGCTATGCCTGACATTGCAGGCTTTGGCGTAAGTCTCCTTCTTGATTCTTGAAATGTGATCACGTTTTTCTCATACTTATGTTCTCGATGGGAGGGTAGGTCTTGTTAGGTCTCAGTGTGCAGGCGTTCATTTCCATCAGCTTATCGATCTGGGTTTTTTTCTGGACGAAACTTGGTCGGCTTGATGTCAAGCACCCGGAGGGTACCGCGGAGCATGAGAGTACGAAGAAGCGTTTGGGATTCCTGTCCTCCATTTTGATGGTGGGAAATGACTTGCAGATGATTACCGGTATGCCAATCCACGTACCTCGACCCCTTACTCCGCGTGCAACTTGACTGAGAATCATATCATTGGAAAGGTATCGCGCTCATCATCACGGCACTTGCGCATGGCCATGCTATTGACCTATACCACACACGCTTGGTCTTCGAGACCGTTAGTTTCGTCGGGTAAGTGTTAACCATCCCAACCGTTACCTGCATTGCAAGGTTGCTGATCTTTTTTGTGGCCATACAGCATTTCGAACGCGGCAGCACTTGTCTGCTACACCTTTACGAACACCAAAGCACCGAAAGACCGACTGCACAGATTCATGCCAGCACATTGGACTCCTCGGTTCCGCGTTTCGTACTTATTCGCCGTTCTATTCTTAGCGCTGACCATCTTCCTCGAAATTCGACTCGACGAATGGTCTCTAACGGCGGAGGAGCCCGGATTTTGCTACGTGACTACCGGACTCTCGATGTCAAGCGCAGGCCATCCAGTATCAGACAAGGGATACGTAGCTACTACGGCGATATGGCTTCTACTAGTCATGTTGGGTGCGTTGTTCTGCTCAGCCAAGTTCCGAAGACCGCTCTTGATCCTCAGCGGGCTGCAGTTCCCACTACACCTGTATATGATGATCAAGCTACGAATCGAGAATCAACCGTACCTGGAGGGGGAAAGTGAAAACGCTTGGGATTTTGGGCAGACGACAGCCACGATATTGCTTGGACTCGCCATCGGGCAGCTGGTTCATGAAGGTGTGGCGTACTTGAAATTTGAGAACGGGTTGAAGAAATATGGACCCCAGTACGCGTTATTCCCAGATGACCGAGATCCTGAGTCGGGTACTTTATTGGAAGAAGGTTTCAGAGCTATACAGGAAGTGAAGCGAGGCATAGACAACACTCGGGATACTCGGGATGCTCGGGTCGGTAGAGCAAGTGATGTGGAACGGCATGGAGAAAGTTCCGAAAGCCACGAGCTGACGAGGACGCCTGAAAGCACGCCTGAGAACAGGGCGTGAGCTATTAAAAGTTGTGTTTACCAAACAAAGATCATTTGATATAGTAACACGCGCATCTTTTAACAGTAGTGATGGGGCTGTGTAGAATGAATGAGAGGAACAAATGAGAATGAGAATGAGAATGAGACTAGGCAGGCAGTTCAAAGTTGAAGGTTTGACTAATAAGCAAGTACTAAGTAGTTATTGACTGTCAGTAACTGACATTGTCTGACAACAGTGACAAGAACCACGAGGACAGGGGTCTGAGCTAGAATAAACGGTTGGTCTGTGCGTAATTGTACCTTGCAGCAATGGACATGTATTATCGATAGGGCTTGAGTACTAACTAACTAACCTAACTATGTCATTTAAAAATATATTCGGAATTTCCTCACACCCGAATCTGAGACATTCCCTGCACGCCGAACCACCACGAGGGCATATGTAACACCCCCCTCGTGAGCCGCATATTGCTCATACAACCTACCTACCTCCTACCTCCTGACCTTCTTATTCCTCATAATCTTCATAATCCTCATATAAGAAGCCTACAATTTGTAGCCAAGCTCCCATTATAGGGAGTCTTCTTCTTGGCCCATCATGTCCAAAACCACGTTAGCCGTCATCGCAGCCGCAAGTGCTGGAGCCGGCGCTGCTATAACAGCCACCATGTACTCCCTAAGATCCCAATCCGAACGCAAGATCGATTCTATATCTACCAGTAACACCACCTCCAATTTACCAACTGCCCCGACACCGATACCTATTCCCGCCAAGCAAATCTTCACCCCCAACCAAGAAGCAATCCAGACCGGTTACTCGACCTCGGCTCCCCCAGTTCTAGGTCCTGTAGACCCCTCTGGCCTTTTCGAATATGGCTTCCCAGGTCCCATCGCCGATGTCGCAACCCGGCAAGCCCTGGTCTCCTCCTACGACCGACGCCTGCGCAACCCCCACTGGGTCGTCGAGCACATCACCCCCGCCTCTCTAGCCCTGCGCGACGGCGACCGCAAGCACAGCGTCTTCATAGAAGACGAAGGGGTCCCTGACAAGTTCCGCGCGCACCTAAAGGACTACTTCCGCTCCGGCTACGACCGCGGGCACCAAGTCCCCGCCGCCGACGCCAAGTGGAGCCAGACGGCGATGAACGAGACCTTCTACCTGTCCAACATGTGCCCGCAGGTCGGCGAGGGCTTCAACCGGGACTACTGGGCGCACTTCGAGGACTTCTGCCGCGGCCTCACGAGGCGGTACCCGAGCGTGCGCATCGTCACCGGCCCCCTGTACCTGCCGAAGCGCGACCCGGCCGACAACAAGTGGTACGTGCGGTACGAGGTGATCGGCAACCCGCCCAACGTCGCCGTGCCCACGCACTTCTACAAGGTCATCTTCGCCGAGGACGGCCGCGCCGGCGGCAACGTCGCCATCGGCGCCTTCGTCCTCCCCAACGCCCGCATCCCCAACGAGAAGCCCCTCGCCGACTTCGAGGTCCCCATCGAGGCCGTCGAGCGCGCCAGCGGCCTCGAGTTCGCCGCTAAGCTCCCGCCTCAGCGCCGCAAGCGCCTCTGCACTGATACCACTTGCGCGCTGGTTATTCGCGAATACGCGGACCGGCAAAAGGCCTTTGCCAAGCCGGAGAAGCGCTAAGCCGCTTTAGTTTGCAACGTTGGAGGAGGACACGTACAGTAGTACAACCAAGTCGGTTACGTCCACTTCTCGGTGCTGGCCCAGCCGGTCGGTCAGGTGCTTTTAACCTACAGGTAGCCAATTCAATGTTCCTCGCGATAAAAATGTATGTAAGCTAGAGAGAAAGAAAAGAAAAGAAAGAAAGAAAGAACACCCTAAAATTCTAGAGGAATGATAGATGCTAAAAAAACCATTTCTGCCATCTAGATCCCTACCTACCTACCTACCTACCACGGTATCTAAAGGACGAATCATCGATAGACATATACATACCATACGTACATAACTTTGCTTTATAAGCCATCTGGCCTAAACATGCCGATCACATACACGGGATACTGCATATAGGGGGTTACGGCGAATACATACTCAAGGGTGGGAAAGGGGGGCTAATCATGCTGAGCTGATATGAATAGATGATATATATATATATACATAGGGACATACGCCTTGCATTTGCATATGGAACTCAATATCATATACATACATGTAGTTATATGCTATTCAGGTATTCTTGTATTTATTGGTACACGGTGGATATATTGGATGCTTAATACAATACATACCTACTAGTGTTAGATACTACTAAGGCAGATGCCACGTATGAGTACCAAGAAGATGGATATCAAAGTAAATCAGTGCAAGTTCAAGCGTTGTCTGGAAACATATATTGCAAACACAACTACATAGAAGTAGCATCCGTTCGTCCGTTCGTATCTTAGAAAACTCATGCCCACACCTATCTATCTATCTATCTGCCTAGATAGGCACATAGCTATCAACTACCTAGGTAACTTTTGTCCCAGGAGAACGCCTTAAACGCCTTTGGGGTATCTGCCCTCTTTGCTAAGGAGCATCATCCGCACCAAAACTCATCATTCCCATGACGAGGCTGCTAGTGTATGCACACTAGGTACTACGCCCATATTGTTCCCTGACCTAAATAGGGAATCGCTTTTGCATACCAGATCCCGCCTTCTCGGCTTAGTCTTCGGATACTTTGATCAATGTCTTCCCCTTCCACGCGATCGAGTGGACAATTCGGAGCCTGGGTACTAGCGGCGACCGCGGTAAACTCGCTCGACTGGAAAAGCCCCTGTTCTCGCTTGTCCGGGACTATCTGGTCCCTCTAGGCTAGGATTTTGACCGCAAGAGGACGGCGTGGTCGGATGCAGATGGAGTTGAGAAGCAGTAGAGTCTGAGGGGACTTAACGCACTCGAGTGTAATTCCCCTTCTTCTGTTCCATTCGCAAACTCTCTTCTTGACTCGGAAGAGGTGCTCTTCTTCGACCGTTGCTGCCGTCCTGCATATCCGCGCCTCCAGGGGGGAGGACGGGGGGCGGGGGTGGCGGAAATCCTAGTGGCATGGTAAAATTGGGGGGCGGAGCAAATCCAGGCGGCATCATGCCCGGAGGAGGTGGAGGAGGTAGACCGGCTTTCTGCATCATCTCCGCTATCTTGGCTAAGTCGGCTGGGTTACTAGGATCTAGGCCACCGGGCAGTGGCGGCGGAGCACCAGGAATCGGGAACGGCAGAGGGGGTGGCGCGGCATTGAGCGTTGGAGGAGCAGTAACACCTGGGATGGGAGGTGGGGGAGGGACGCCGTTAGCGGGCAAAGAAAGTCCTGGAAGTCCGGGGAAGGTGAGTCCGGGCTGTCTGAGTGGCATTTTCTGATCGACCAGGCCTTCCATTTCATCTTCAAGTTCTTGTTCTTCTTCTTCTTGCCGTTGACGACGGCCACCACGTCGGTCCCAGGTGCCCTGCGCTTCTGCAGCTGCTTCGCCAATGTGGTATCTATCCCGAAAGATATCCGTCTCGCCAGGCCGGCCCCGAGACCAGAATCTTGTGATGCGGTCGTTCGAGCCCGATGCTAAGATGTGGCCCAAGGGGTGCCAGTCCAAAGACCAGATGGCAAAGTCATGGGCATAGGGCAGTTTGTGTGTTGGGTATATAGATTGCGCGGGTGCTGTTACTGGGTCTGGACTTTCGTAGACCGCCGTGCTAATGGCTTGGCCAGCTGGCGTGTTAGGTTCATCTAATAGATAATGAAACAAGGATCCTTCGCTACCACCAGTGCTTAGTAGATTCGAGTGGATAGGATGCCAGGCCACGGTAGAGATATCCTTCTCATGCCCTCTCAGAAGACAGATATCTCGCATCATTCGTATATCGAATATTCTTGCCGTCTGATCTCGTGCTGATGTTGCCAGGCACCAACCCATTACACGCTCGAATACTGTTTTGGTAATGGTGTTCTTGTGGCCGTGAAGTGTGGTTAAACATCTTTGAGTCCGAGGATCCCAAAGCTTGACAAGGTGGTCCTTAGATCCCGAAACGATTAATCCCTTGGTAGGGTGCCAGTCGCAGCTTTTTGCGTCCCAGCCATGACCCTGCAGAGTCGATTCGGCAATACCTCCAGCAAAGTCGAAAATCTTGAGGGATGAATCGTCAGATGCGGTAACGAATTTAGAGTCGTTAGGGCTGAAAGCCAAGTCTCTGATAGGGTCATTATGGCCCTGTATCACCTGAACATTGTTGAAGTTTGGCTGCCAATATTTGATTATGCCATCATGGTCGGCTGATATCAACCAGTCGTCGCTGTGGGAATAGGCCAAGGCACGGATGGCGACATCATGAGCTTGCATTATTGTCTCGAAGTTGAATCCAGTACCATTCCAGAGTGTAAATTCACCACTGCTTGACGCCGTTAACAAGCGACGACCTTCTGGAGTCCAGCGCACAACGTTGACCGGATGCTTGATCTTGTTCAGAGACGAATGAAGGTGTTTGGTGGGAATAGTGTCAGCAGAGTTGGTGACTCTTGCCAGTGGTGGTAGCATCTAGAAGCTATTTAGTACAGTTGATGGAACTATCAACTATCATGCCGATGGATGCTCTTTAACTTACATCAACGATGTAACTCGCACTTGGGCGTTCAGCCTCACCCTGGAAGCCCCCCTTGAATCGGGGTTTACGATTGCGCATCCAGTGCGCGAGGGTAGAACCATAGTCAGTAACCGGGCCTATATTCCAGCATTAATAAATGACAAGTTATTGGTGTATTAAGGATAATAAAAATGAGAATGAGAATGAGGCAGCATATATATATCATACTCATGGTAGAGACTAGAAGATGGAAAATATCTTCCTATAGCATCATAATTCTTCCACGAAACCAATAACGGCTTGTAGATATATGATGTGTATAAAATCCATGAATGAATAGCAAGATAGTAGAATAGTAGAATAGTAAAATACTCACGTCGACCTCTGGCCCTGGCAAAGCCGCCAGACTCATACCCTCCACCTGGCGCGCCATGATCCCCACGTGGATCGTAAGCCATAGTTTAAACTATCACAACATTCGTGTAGGAAATGGAAGTCGTGTGTGATTGGAAAGGGTTGGTTAAATGGTTGTTGTTGCTTAATCAATAGAATTTCCCTTGTTTGGCAAGAGGTGGTTGATGAATTAAAGATCAATGAAGGTCAAAGGTCAAAGGCGGCAACAATCAACAACGCCGAATTGAACGCCTCAGGGCTGTAACTAGTACCTACTATGTACTAGGTACTGGGTACTACTACTAGGTTAGGTAGGTACTAGGTAGTACTACTAGGTACCCTACATGTAGGTGCCTAGTTACATAGCGTAATTTGATTGCACAGTGACAAGGGAGCTTTTAGCCACAATTCCATTTCCAAGTCGTACCTGCCCCATGCTCGGTAACCTGCAGGAAGGTTGAGGCTGAAGCTAAGGTAAAGCCACAGATGTATACTCCGTATGTGCATACGTGATGGATCTTCACATGTTATGTATGTGATAATGTATGTATGTGAACATTCAAGATATCCAATATCAAGATATCCAATAATGTCTGCATCTCTCGGCCCACTTAACAGAGCTCTCCTATCCCCACTAACTACCCAGGATCGACAGGGCTTTTTGGCAGGGTCTCTGATGCAATGATGGCGATGTCTACTTGCATCCGTCATAAGGATGTATTGTACTAACCTAACCTTAGGTACGGAATAGTATGTAGGTTGGTAGGCAGGATCTAACCTAGGTATGTTCGGCAAGGACCGCCGTTCGCTTTTATTAACTTCCTAGTATGCCGAGAAGTCTGATGTCCCTCTTAAGATTTAACTCTCGTTCATTTTTCTCTCTACCACTTTATGATTTTTATGATTTCCAATTCTAAAACTTTTATAACACCTTCAACACTTTCCAATTGATCCAATTTGTGATATCAATACGAACCAGTCGTAATAGCAGCAGAAAATGACATCTGCCCCTCCCTCGAAAAAAGGCTCGAATACATCTGGTGCATAAGGTACCTACCTAGTACTAGGTAGGTTAGATATAAGACTCCGTACGTGCTACTCCCTCTCGCCATTCCCTAGTATAGGCATATTATATCGGCTTCGAAAGTTGATTCCAATAATATTTATGTCTTAGTTGTCATTCCTCCTTGATCCTTGGCGGTCAGGACCGTACCTGTACTAGTGTGGCGCTGTCAATATGAGACTTTCCTACTGGAGGATCATTGAGCATTGTGGGACTCTTCGCTGATAGTCACGTAGCTGTTGGCTCTCGATATACTTGCAACACTCCTCTCCCACTTCTCGAGGGAAATAGGGCTATAGGGGAAATCTTCAATGCAGTTTTTGTGTACACCGAGATAATACAATCGTTCAGCTCGACGGCCTATTTTCAACATGGACGCCATGGACACCTCGGCCACCACTACAAGTCTCGAATCCCCCGCCGGCACCGCATCCCTTCGTCGAGCCGATGGCGCAACAGGTTCTAATGCTGCTGCTGCTGCTGCTGTGCCAGCTACGAGCGAACCCAAAGATAAAGAGAAGTCGACATATGCTTTTAGAAAATACAGGCATATTACGGCCGTCCATTCGCAATCGAGACCTTCGACCTTAAGCCACGATACTAGTGCCCCTCCTAGCTTTATAGGGTTTCGCAATTTGATGGTCATTGTCCTAGGTATAATTCCGCCGTTGTGTTATGGCACATGTCAAATAGCGTGGGCTAACGGTTTTCAGTGGTGGGAAATTTGCGCTTGGTGATAGAAAATATGCAAAAGGTTGGTAGTGATCCGATATCATGTCGGATACGCGCTTACACTGCAGATAGTATGGCAATTTGATATGCTTAGGGTGTCACGACTTCGGACAAAAAGACGTCATAGTCGGCTTTCTGCTCTATATTCTAGTACCCTGTCACCTCTTCATCGCCTACTCGTTCGAATGGTATGCCGCCAAGCAAGCGCGGATATCGCGGGCTCAATCTCTACACAAGGGAGGATCATCGAGCCCAACCGAGGACCAGCAGGCCAAGTTCGAATCGACTTGGAGGCGTATCCGGAAAGCTCACCTGTTCAATGCGACTTTGGCCCTGGCCGTACATAGCTGGGTCGTGTATTTCCATATCTACCACCCTCTCATCGGCACCATAACGGAACTCCATGTCATCATTGTCTACATGAAGGTTATTTCCTACGCGTTGACAAACAGGGACCTGCGCCATGCATATCTTCACCCCGTTAAAGGCGAGCTGGCCGTCATCCCTGACCTGTATGCTCAGTGCCCGTATCCACAAAATATCACTATGAGTAATATAACATATTTCTGGTGGGCGCCAACGCTGGTTTATCAGCCAATATATCCTCGATCGGGACCTACTAGATGGTTGTTCGTCCTTAAGCGGCTCGGCGAGGTGGTTTGCTTGAGCGTATTCATATGGTATTGCAGCGCCCAATACGCGGCCCCGGTCTTATGGAACTCCCTGGACAAAATAGACCATCTGGATTTAGTGTCGATTGTTGAGCGGCTCTTGAAGCTATCCACGATATCGCTCATCATATGGCTAGCCGGATTCTTTGCTTTGTTTCAGTCTGCTCTCAACGCTTTGGCCGAAATCATGCGCTTTGGTGATCGCTCATTTTATGACGCCTGGTGGAATTCGGCTGGGTTAGGCGAATATTGGCGACTGTGGAACAAGCCAGTGTACCAATTTATGAAGAGGCACATTTTCTCGCCCCTAATAAGTAGGGGCTGGAGCATGCCGTCGGCTAGTATTGCTGTATTTTTCGTCTCAGCTGTGCTGCATGAATTACTCGTCGGAATCCCGACCAAGAATGTAATTGGTATGCGTCTTCCCTCATCCCCTTTCCTTTCTCTCCTTTTTTATTTTCTCCCAACCTTTCTTAAAGATTGTCAGAAGGATGTTTGCTTACTAGATGAAATAGGCGTTGCATTCTTGGGCATGCTTGTTCAGATTCCCCTGATCTGGTTCACACGCTTCTTCGAGAAGATGCCGGGTCCCCACGGCCATCTCATCGGCAACTCCATTTTCTGGGTCTCCTTCACCGTCCTCGGCCAGCCCTTTGCTGCTCTCGTTTACTTCTACGCATGGCAGGCCAAGTATGGCTCCGTTGCGAAGACGATGGCTATTAATCAAGCACGCACCGCAGCGCTGAGCTAGTGCCCAGCTGCCCCGGAAGACTTGGTGTTTGGATATGGGAAAATGGGATAAAAGGAGGTTGGATGTGGTGTTTTTTCCTTTTGGATCGATTAATATCTATGCATCAGTACCTCGGCTACCTAGCGATCGATCTTAGGCATAAATAGGTAGATAGAAAAAGCGATTTTGAGGTTCAAGAAATGCGGCTGCGTGACTGTTGATTTGTTGTAGTTTCTATCCTTATCTCAAGCTGAAGAGAAGTGTAGGACAGAGGTGTGCGTAAAGATTGATATTTACCTACCTACCTAAGGGAAGTCAGTTAGTATATTCATACCGGTACATATAACTCATTTAGGTTAGTTGAATGATATATAATTTCATTTCGTATCGTATCATCTCCCCCCTTAACCACGGCACCTACCCTACCTACGTGCCTATACCTTAACACTACCTACATAGTAGTATGATAGTACACCCATATCCACCTTCTCTCTAGGTTACGCAGGTACCTATATCCAGATCTATATATACACGGGCATGGGTATCCTACACCTACACCTCCACTTCCATTTCCATTTTTTTAATTTTTCCCTTTTCGAAATATTTCCTTATAGCCTCTGACCTTCCCTCCCCTCCCCTCCCCTCCACCCCAGCCCCCCCAACCCAATCCCCAAGCTCGCAACAAGCAAAGCAGCGTTAAAAGCCGCCATCATATAGAACGGAGCGCCCGGAGCCGCAACGTCGAACAAGTACCCGCCGAGCTTCGTGAGCAGCAGGATAGCGGCGCCGCCGCACCACGAGTATACGCCTGCGATGGAGCCCTTGAGGTGGACGCGGGAGATGGGTGCACCGCTAGCACCACCGGATTCGACTTCGGCGGTTGTTAGTAAGGCGTCGGTTTCACGTGCCCTTCCCCTACCTTCGTCCTCGTCTTCCTCGGTCCTGAGGGAGGAGGAAAGGGAGGAGGTGGAGGCGGCGAACCCCTCGGTAGCCAGCACACCGCGGCCGAGGGAGCCAAGACTACAGACGATAGCGCCGATCTGGCTGATGCCGATGAGCACCATGATCAAAAACACGGCGGGGCTTCCGCCGCGGCCGTTGACGTCGTGGTACTCCGGGCTCGCGAGGTGCGGGAACGCGAGGTATCCCGCGACGCCGAACAGGGCGGCGACGACGAGCGGCTTGTCCACGCCGATGCCCCTGCCCCGTCCCCTTTGAGTTCGGCTGCTGATGTACCCGAATAGTGGCGCGCAAAGCAGGGCGGCGAGCTGTGCGACGCCGGTTAGGATCGAGGCTAGGACGTACGCGGCGCGGCACTCTTTTTTCAGTTCGGGCGACGGGTCGTTGGGCGAGCCGCGGCAGAATCCGTTGCCGATGAAGAAGGCGTTGATGTATAACGGGATGAATAGCGAGATAGCGACAGTACTGGCGCGCGCAACGAAACCACCGAGATACCCGAGCGCGATGTGCGGGTCTGTGGCACCGAGGCGCAGCGACGACAGTAGTAGCCGATGGTATGGGAGAGGTCCACCTTGGGTTCTTCCAGTGGCTGTCTGCTGCGAAGAGGAGGATGAGGATGCCGCATCTGCGTTGTGATCATAAGCTATTCTCGCGTCTAGCGGCAGGCGGAGACCGAGGAGCATGCGCCACCCCTTCCCTTCTTCACCTTTCAAGCCCCGTAGACCGAAGAAGACAAAGATGGCTACGACGAGCGCAACAGAACCGACAACGTAGAAGCTATGTGTAATGGCCTCCGCGGGCGTCACGCCGTCCTTTTTGGAGAACTGCGCCGGCAGCGGCAGAAAGAGGACGAGTGCGACCAGAGCACCGCAACCTGTGAACAAGCCCACGTATCCAGCTAGAGCAGATGGTCTACCGCTTCTGCCTTCCACGCTACCATATGCGTCGGACGAATCTTCCGAACCATCGCTACTCCTGAGATTGCGCTCTATGGTAGTGAACCGCTCCGGAGTAATCGTGGCATCGCTCTCCAGGCTCAAAGCCAGGCTACTCCTCGGATTATGATTCGACTTGGGGCGCGAGCTCTCATTTTCGCTCACACTTTCACTACCAGTACCAGTACCGCTGCTCGCTCTTGCACTCCGCACACTAAGCGCATCCCTATCCCTTTCCCTCTGCTCCCCCTCCCCCTCCTCATCCTCCCCTTCCTCGCCCGCGCCACCACCCCCGGTAAGCACGGGCAAGATCGCCGTGACCATCGTCGCGGCCGCCGTCGCACCAAGCGCGAACCCAATGCGCGCGAGCACCAAGCTCGGGTACACATCGCGCGCCTGCACGAACCCGAACAGGCTAACAGCGATGATAGCGTACCCGATAACCGCGACCCATCTTACGCCGAGGCGGTCGCTGACGAGGCCCCAGACGGGGCAGGCGACGAGGGCGACGAGCTCGTCGACGAAGCCGAGGGTGCCGACGATGTCGCCGACGCCCGTCTTCACGCCCAGCAGGTCCGTGATCACGAAGGAGATGGCCGAGTTCAGGAAGACGAGGAAGGAGATGCTGAAGAGGGCGATGCCGAGGAGGTAGGTCGCGGCCTGCAGCGGGGTCGCTGACGGGCTAAAGGGGAGGAGGCGCGAGAGGAAGCGGGAGCGTGCCATTGTTTCGGAGGATATCGTGGAGGAGGAGGAGGAGGAGGTAGGGGCGAGTTGGGTATGAGTGGTGGTGGTGATTCGCCTTCATTCAAGGCAGGTAGGTTGGCAGGTAGGTTGGCAGGTAGGTTGGCAGGTATGGTTGGTAAATGTGAATGGTGCGGCGGAGGTTCGGATGGAATAGCCGCGCGTCGAATAGCTCGGACTTGAATTGGCTCCTTGATTCGGGATGTTCGGTATAACCTATACTCCTATACTACATAAATTGTAATAGATAATAACTAACTAACTCTCAAGAAGGAGAAAAATAAGAAGCAAATAAACGAGCGAAAGTTACATCTTCTACCCAGCAGATGGTATGCAGTCAAGATGTAAAGGAAGAAATTAGGTTAGAAGGACAGGTACGAATTGTAGTTGGCAGGTATGCAAATGGGCACTAATTTACTACGATAGTTCAAGTAACGCAGTGGTTACTTATCCCGGTCTGGGGTATCACATGTGGAAAAGAGGTGGGCAGTTAGGTCTTAAAGAGGTAATGGCCTATTAATGGCCTATTCTATTTTAGTACCACCTGCCGGTCCCCCCTCCAAAGCCGCCTACCATTTCCCCCCCAAACCTCCCCTGGGCCCTGGCTCGGTTACAGGTACCGGCTTACAGGGATGCTACTAGTACTAATGATGTAGGTATGATATCACATACAAATTTACATAAATACACAACTTCTAAGTATCACCATCTAACCTCAGAGCATTGCAACAAATGACAATACAACCATTTTGTTACCATAGGGCTGAAAGGATGAAAGGAGTACAAGCCACCACCTACATATCGTACTACGTGACTTTTTATGTATCTACCTAGGTTAGGTACTACATAGGGTAGAGAGCATCAGACTTCAGTTGACAGATAAGACAACATGTATTTCACTTCACTGCTCTTATATCGCCTAATACTCCTGTTGATCGTGGGGATTTATTTACACTCTATAAAGAGTAGTATGAAGTATCATCATAAACAAGTGAATGCATCCATCTGTCGTCGGAAATGTCTAGCATTAGTTCTCTCTCTTTTTGTAACAAGCAGAGCCTTTGCTCGATCCTTTGTGAATGCCCTGTCGTTGCCAGTCCCCAATAATCTTGAGAGACTACTACACAAATCGGATCAATGTCCATCCCTCCCTAACGCCGCCAATGATGAAGCATCTATCCATAATCTCGCAGGTCTTCGTTACAAATCACTCATACCACCCCTGATGACTTTGTCAGCACTGCGCACATATACAGAACAAGCAGTGTAACTGCTAGTTCTAGTGGTAAGCACACAAATGCTATAGCCATCACCAACAGAGACCAGCGAAATCGGGTAATAGTGGCGTCTAGGGCCGCATTGCGGGAAGACCTGTGCTCAAACTCGTTCCGAGGTGCTTGCTCTCTCCCCGAGCTAGAGTCTCCATCATAGTAGGAGCCATCTTCAGCATCATCTTCATCATCAGACTTGGATTGTCAACCGAAGTGGAATCCGCCTGGGAAGCCCTGGGCTCGTGTGCGGCCTCCGAAGCCGCCACCACCACCGAAGCCTTGGGAGCCTCCAAAAGATCCGCCGCCGTTCATCATGCTGAATAAGATCTCGGGATCGATACCACCGGCCATACCTCCTCCCATGCCACCTCCACCGCCGAACATGTCAGCAGGGTCAATAAGGTCATCACCACTGTCATAACGAGCACGTTTCCTGCGATACGTCAGTCCAAGCAGAATCTATCATTTTATATAAGGAGGTACATACTGTGGATCGCTCAAGGTTTCGTAAGCTTCACCAATGTCCTTGAAACGTTCGGCGGCCTCCTCGTCGTTGGGGTTCTTGTCTGGGTGGTGAATAATGGCAAGTTTACGGTATGCCTTCTTGATGGCCGTCTCATCCGCATCTTTGCCAATACCAAGAATTTTATAATAATCCTTGCGCTGGCTCTTCTTGAGCTCTAACTCGGCCTTTCGTATTTCCTTGAGTATGGATCGATCCTCGGGGTCGATCTCTTGAATCGCCTTCCATTCACGAACCGCATCCTCCCACCGTTCTGCTTGGCCCAGTGCATTGGCCTTGGTCTTTCTGGCCTTGGTGTAACTCGAATCCAGCGCAATGGCTTGCTCACAGTCGGCAATAGCCTCGTTGAACTGCTTCAGCTTAAGCCGGCAGAGGGCTCTGTTTTGGTACAACTTCGAGTTCGTTCCTCGGTTGGCGGGATCTACCTCCAGAGCAGACGAGTACTTGTCAAATGCTGCTTGCCATCGCCCGGCCTTGTAGTCGGAATTGCCTTCCTCCTTCATTCTATCCAATTTCTGGACTGTTCGAAGCCACTTGACGGCATCTTTGAAATCGGGGTCACAGCTTAGGGCTTTTCGGAAGTGCTGAATGGCTTTATCGTTTTCTCCCTGTGCATATAGGGCACGTCCTCTCAACACCAACGCCTCGGGGTCCTGGCTATTGTATCTAAGAAGAGCCATGGCCACGTTCTGTGCCTCGCCCAATGCATTAATGCCACCCATCTTAAGATAAGCATTTCCCCTCATCAGTTGCCACTTTCGGGGTTTGCCTGCACCGGGTCCGAGCAACTTTTCGGCTTGGTCCAAAGCATGTAGAACCATAGAACCACTAGTGCCACGGTCAAGGGCATCCTGGGCCGCTCTCATGTGATGCTGCATCTCCTTAGCGGCAGCCATGTCCTTCGCAGAGGCGGGAGGTTGAATTCGACCGAAAGTGGTCATGGCTTCATCGGGGCGGCCAAGACTAGTGTAGATTCGAGCCAAACGCAAGAGAAATTTGGCATTGTGGGGGTCCAAATCAACAGCTCGCGAGCAATCCTCTAATGCGGATTCGAAACGGCCATCGGACATGTAAGCGGCGGCCCGGTTGCTAAGATACGTAGGCTCGTCTGGCATAAGTTGGATGGCTAGAGATTATGTCAGCTTTCAAGAACTATCCTTAGTAATCAATATTACAAAACCATACCACTGGTGTATTCGGCAATGGCCCGCGAGTAATCCTTCTGCTTGAAGAATCTGTTACCGTCCGCCTTATGCGCCTCGGCGGCTTCGGCATCAGTTGGAACCGGACTGGAAGGGTTAGACCGATGAGGCGGTGGAGCCGGGACGGGACCCTCGGAATCGTCACTTGCTCCATTCTTGACACCGTTGGTAGGTGGGGGTGTGCTGATTGGGACGGTGAAAGAAGCCTGGGTTTGCACAGGAGGTGGTGAGGTGGGGGGGACGGAGGTGTCTTTATCGACATCCATCTTGTCGACCGAGTTTCGGTTGCTCATGTTATACTGGGCAGAAAGCCGCTTTATCTCCTCGGGAGGCAAGTTGAGAGGATGTGTGTTGGGGTCAATCTTGCTACGACGAGAAGAGCCTTGCTCGGTGGAATGTTTCGCGTGGGTGCGAGAGCTTCGCGGTTTAGGCTGCTCCCGCGTGCTGGGTGATGCGGGGCGTAACGTTTTTTTAGTCGGCGACTTTGAAGAGCTGGACGAAGGCTTAACAGGCGAGGTTGACTGCGACCGAGGGGTTTGTGGTTGTAACTTCTCTTGTGAGAGATGCGGCTGGTGGTGGTGAGGACTACGGTGAGATTCGGTACTAGTCTCGCCTGAAGTCTTTTTGGGTGATTTTTTGGAGTTGAATATACCCTTCATTTGGAATACAAGTATCTTTTTTTTTTCTTCCTTTTTTAAGAAGAAAAAAAAAACTTGGGTCAAAATGCAATCCAATAGGCGGTGCGGTACGTATTCAAAGGTTCCCACTCCTCATGTATTACCTAAGGCGCAGGCAATTAATAGAACCTTTCCGCTTCAAACGCCCCTTCGACAACCTTCTGCTGGGTGCTGGATCCCGGTTAATCCTAGTGCGAAAGAAAAAAAAATTAGTGAGATTCATAAAGAATAAAAGACAAGTGTTGCGCCAATGCCGCTAAGGTTTATGTTTAATAGCGAAGGTTCGGCGTGCCAGATGTAGAAAGTGGAAAAATAAAATAAAATATTTTTTTTTGGATTGAAAAAGGTCTGGTACTGTAGCTTTGCGGTGACGCGCCATTGGGGGGGGGGAGGGATCGCACTTACACTGCGAAGGACGCCGAACTTGTAAAATAGTTTGTCCTGCCAGCTTTTCTTTTGAATAGCAAACAGATTCAAATGCGTCGCAGAATACAAAACGAAAATGTCGTCCGTCTGGTATTCAATGTGATTGCTGATTTAAAAGCCCAATTAACTTAATAGGTATCCAGGTGGTCGCGAAAAGGTTATAAGTTAAGCTTGGGAGAACCTTGAACCTGAGCGCTCAATGGTTGACTGGCCTACTTAGGTAGGGAGTAGGTTAAGTAGGACGGCCCCAGATAATTCGAAGTAGTACTAAAAGAAGGCCGTTATGGAAGAGGAACGGCGCGAGTAAAGGGAAATAAAGGGAAAAAAGGATGCAACCTTAAGAAGCGTTTGTGAAAGGCAAGCGAACTAAAAAAGAAGATGGTTTAAGTTCAAATTCAAGAAGTGCGTGAAAGATGACAGCAGGTAGTAGAGGGTAGAGGTAGTACTAGTAGTATGTGAAGTACAACGGTAGGTACTAGGTATGCAGTGAGGTAACGGATTTATCAGCCTGTTGCCTTATTGCATTGGCATACACAGACACTACTATCCGTATATAGAGAATAAGACGGCGGTGCAACAGCCAACTAGGTATGCACAAAAACAGATAAATTTCACGGGTTTTGTCTGTTAAATGAGGAATAAAATCATCAGGCTGGGATTTGATTTTTGAAATTTTGTGAAATGGGTGCATATGTACGAAGTACGTATGCATGTGTAGTTATTTGGAAAACCCCCAGAGATCAATGATCCAAGTTGCCAGAAGTCCCGAGTACTTGGTCATAGAGCGGGTCAATGTAATTGAATGCATTGGCCATGGCCTGTAAAGTGTGTACAGAATACCTGCTTACATAGTAGTGTCTACCTGGCTGGCAGCCTGGGTAGCCTGGGTAGGTAGGTACGATACGGCAACGTTGAAATGCCTAGGGTTAGAACTTAATAAGGCATTTTTAGCTGCTAGGCTTTCTTTCCGTCGCCGCCGTCATTGTCCAGCCCCCCCTCAACTAGGTACCTTACCTAGGTACCTTACCTAGGTACCTTACCTAGGTACCTTACCTACCTATCCATAATCCCATACCCTGGACAACTTTGATCTCTAATACCGTAAAAACCATCTGGGCATTCAACGTTGCTCTATAATACTGCCCACTATAATTTCTAGCTCTCACCACTTTTTAACCATCACCATCGCCATCACTATCACTAACACCACCATTGCCTGGGTAACTATTATTATAATTTGCCCATCTACATAGTATTTATCTAACATCCTTCCCGTATTCATATGATTCAGTGTGCCTCTATGTTCGGTTAACCAATGGCCAATCCAGAAACCTGGTTTTGTTTACAAGTCTTTAGCGGCTACAGCATAAGTGCGGTATTCTGAATGGTTATATATTCCCGTAACGCTTGTTCATGTAACATCATACCAGGCTGTCAGGCCAATCTTCTTGTCCATCTCGTAATAAGAAAAGGCTGAACACTGCGTTGTGCTCTGATAATAATGCTTGTTTGTATGTAACTATTTGTTGTTTCTTCAGACTAGGTTAGCACTCTATCCTCCCTTCCTGTCTCTGTCTCTCACACTCTCTATACTATCCCTCCCTCTTTATCTTTTCTATTTCCTAGCCTCGTATCTCTTCCATCCAACAAGAATCCCATTCAACCTACTGTACAGTACATGTAACTAACCTAGATTGATATCATTCAATCATTGATTGCATGATATGTATGTACGTAGTGGTAGTGGGCTCGTTGATACTGTGTGCGCGGAGTCCTCCATCCTGGCAAGCCGAGATGAAAAGATGAACAGGGGTAGCAAGGATCGTTCCGAGGGCGGCATGCAGTCCCTGCAACCAAACAGCCTAGCCCACCCCTTCTCCAGCCAATGGACCCCTTTCTATCCCACCGATTCTCGAAGCTTCCATGGGGAAGGGTACATACATGTCTGAAGTCTGATGTAAGAGTCGCAGGTATCTGGGCGCTTGGACCAGCGGGACCGATGCTGTCATGGCAGTCATAACAGTCATGTCATAGCAGCATGCAGCAGGCTGGGCGCGCCAAGGATGCCAAGTTGTGACTGTAACCGAGTCTTATCCCTCTTATCCCTCTTGTCCCTTCTTGTCCCTATTGTTCCCGCAGTGTGGCAGAAAGTGGATGTGTTTCAACTATCCAGCCCGCTCTTTGACGCTACACTGGTACATAAATATCAGATTTATGGTTAGCAACCACATGGCACACCGCGTGATTTGTTGGGGTTTCTTTGGGTTCAATCAATGTTGTTCATATCTAGGTACAATGCCTATTAGCCTACATATGTACCCTACGCCGTATTATATCATTGATACTTTCATTAATATTCAATGTTATTTACTTTTAACTTTATTAGTTAATATGCAATCCAATCAAACGCACGTGCATGTGGCAGGTGCCATTGATATCTTCATCAATGATTGATTGCAAAGTTCGCAAAGTTCAGTCAGGTACAGTACCTGAATTCAGGGGTCCCGATAACGTTGTTTGTACGACATAGTACAGCAAACCGGCGCCAGGCCACATTTCTCCCCGGTGTTGGACCCTTCCTTACCTATTAGTGTACGTCGTACTAACTTGGATGTATGTATAATACCATACATAACTAGATTAAATCATTAATCACATCTTACTATACCATATACCTTGAACAGTCCTATGTACATACATACATATATGTACATAAATCTATACTATGATACATTCATATGCATATACCAGACTGTTAATTACGTAATGTGTATTATTCTTTATATCCATACAACATCGAATACTTCATTGGCTACATAATTAAGGCACTTCCATATTCATTCAACCACCGTGACACTTTATGTCTAGTTCCCACTCCCAAGGCTGTAATCTCATGCAGGGACTTGTGTGTGTTTTCTTCACCAGTTCACCTTACATACACCGTAGGTCCTGAAACACAAGAACAACAGAAGGGCCATCACTTTTGATCTCCAAGGTGGGATGAATGCGATTTCATCATACCCACGCCCCTCTCTCTCTCCCTATACCCCCATAATAATATACTAATTATCCTCTCTTTCACCTACTGACTGACTGACTCCTTTCTTGATACCTGCCCCATAGACTAGTCGTACTCATCATCAGACTTCATACTCATACTCATACACGACATACACCCCCACATAGGTACACATGGGCATCCGCATCCACAATCCCTATCCTTCACCCCTCCGAACTTTCATTCGAGCTCGGCTCCGACGACCCATTGCCCCCGACGATCGAGTTGACGAACTCCTGGTATCGAAACACCTCTCCACGGCGACCAAGCCCGCCCGCCATGCTCTTGCTGAACGCGCGGCGGCCGCTGAAGCCGCCCATGATCTTGTCGACCTCGCTCGGCGTCAGCGCGCGCTCTCCGGGCTCCGCCGCCGTGTGCAGCAGCGCGTCCCGCAGCTCCATCAGGTCCACCTGCCCGCTGTCGTCCTCGTCGAACGCCGCGAACGCCGACAGCAGCTCCGCTGGCGGCGACATCGCCGTCAGTGTTGATGCGATCGAGTTGAGGAATACGGCTAGCGTTGTCGTGTAAGGCCCCGAGGCGGGGAAGAATTGCGAGACGTCGGAGGGCTTGGAGGGGAGGCCTGTTTTGTGGTGAGTATGGTTAGTTTGGTTGGTTACTTTCATTATCATCTCATCCATCGTGATTTGTTTGGTGTAACGTAGACGAGAGACCCCGTCATATGGTATAGAATAATAGGGTATAGTATGGTATGGTATGGTATGGGTTTGTATGGCATGGTTTGCTTACCTAACTGGTTGAGCATGTCTGCGACGTCCTCTTTATTCACGACTCCGTCACTGTCTCTATCCAAGATCTGGAATCCATCTCTGAGCACTCTGACCTGCGCCGGCTGTAGCTGGGAGAGGGCGTTCCCTTGCAACGGCGGTGGGGACCTGGCTGACGATATGTGGGCGGGGGAAGCGAGGGATCGGTATGGTGCCATATCGGCGGTCTGGCTCAACCCGCGGGGCGTCTGACTATCGGAATCGCTCGTGGGCGACTCTACGGTGGCAGCGAATCTGGAGGGAGTAGAGGCAGTGTGCACGGCGCTGGACTTGGTGGGCGAGGTCGTGGGAGTGGTGTATTTAGGTGTTGACGGCGATGCAGGGGAGCCGGGGCGACGGAAAGGGGAACTTCGAGGAGAGCCGTAACCAAGAGGTGATGGCTTATATCCCGCTGGCGTGGCCTACGTACGGTCAGAACTTTTTCGTTCCAATCAAGTATCATGACAGAGAGATGATCGATGCAGGGAGCTCCGCTGCCAAGTGGGTTTTTCATTACTCACCATTGTCGCGACCAAGATTACCCGAGGGCTTGTCTCAGATCCTAATGATCAAAATAAAGTAGAAACGATTTTCGAAAGAATATGGTTCGTTAGGAAAATCGGTGAATCCCAAGTCAAGTCACGTTTGGCTTTGGGAAAATGGAAAAAACCGGGTTCGATGTTTGTGATTGTATTCGGAGAATAATATCGTAAAAGAGAATGGAAAAGGGGACTTGAGAGAGGCGTAAGTACAGGATAATCGCGTTCAATGTTGGCTTCACGTCTTTACCTTAGGTGTGATGTCTTGGTTCTAAGCTTAATTATTGATGTATCTTGGATTGTATTGGTTGCAAAGAACCGTTGCGGAGCAACCAGGTGCCCCCACCTACTAGATATGGTCTTACAACGTCACAAATAGTGGGCACTGGTCAGGGATGTATGCTGTAGTTATGTACTACTGTAGACTCCCTATGTATTGTACACTACGGCGTAGTAGGAAACCACCAGGAACCGTCACATGCATCACATAATTACCTAACCTTAGGTTAGGTTAGTAGGTACATACATAACTAACTAGTTACCTAGTAACTTGAACTCAGATACCGCATGTTCCAACACCAACATTGAAACTTTTCAGAGGAAAACTGCCCCATCAGAAATTACGGCTACCCATCCATAAAACCTAGCATTACGGTACAGTTAGTGATGTGTGTGACGTCTTTTAGCTTCAAAATAGTTAACTACTAGTGTAGTGTATTTCCAAGCCTTCGGGAAAATAAAAAAACCCAAAAAGGGCTTGAGATCAATGGATGAATACCTGGGTAACTACTAAGTATGTACATACATAGTTATAAAAAGGAGGCTGGTGAACATCAAACCGCCACCACCAACCAACGCCCCAAGATCCTCCAAGCCCTAAATCAAGCCCCCCCCCCCCCCTATCCCCTCCCAAAGGTCCTGTGCAATAATACCATGCATCCCTATGTAGTTACATATGAACGTATAAAACTATTAAAACTCTACGTGGGCGTTCTAGACCACTGCATGCCTAGGTCAATCTTAATTTGAACACCAAGAAAGAAAAAGGAAAAAGGAAAAAAAAAACGCCACTTGAATGCGTCCATCGGCCGGCCCGTCCCGGCAGCAACGTCACTTGAAATCGATCGAATAGGAGGTCCGAAGAACGGTGGTCGTTTTTTATGTTAGTTAACTAGTCCGTCGTATAACTATGTATGTATGTTATGTGCCTTAGTGTAGGAATAGGATTGCAGTGATTCCAGCCACTGGCGCTTAGATAGGAATAACTCGTTATCCATAACTGGGATATAATATATGTACATGAACTCAGACTAGATTCTGCCGCGATCGGCAAACGTATTGTACCTACATACGTACACTGGGTAGGTCTATAGCTACTAGCTACAAACAACAGCATGTGCTATACCCAACGAGTTCTAACAAGCCCAAAAAAGTACAAAGACGCCATATCCAGTACACTCCTAGGTATATCATACAACAGCTGTCTGACCTAGGTGCCTACCTAGGTGCGAACGGCGCCTCGAAGAGAAGGGGCAAAATGGTGCCGTTCTGGATGCACGTCATCATCAGTGTACAGACCAGACCAGACCAGACCAGACACTCGTCCCCCCCACGCCGTAGCATCGTGGATATAAGTAGGTACCTTTAGATCTACATACATACATAGGTAGGTAGGTATGTAAGTATGCATGTAGGAAACTCAAGTCTGCAAGAAGCATTATGAGATCTATTGCGTAGCGATATGATCAGGCTGTCCATAGCTACTACTTCACGAGACTCGAAGCATTATTCTCATAGTAGTTGCCTACTACTAGATCCCTACCCAGACATAGACGAAGAACCACGTACATAGGCCAGATCGAACCCTGAGTGGTCGAGTACCTATCTAACCTAGGTACCTATACGTAAAACCGGGGACGTAAGATACAAGTAGGTAGCCCAAGGATCTCTCTCAAGGGGCCTCTTTTCTGCAAAGTGGCTTACGTGTAGGTCTGCTTCGTAGGTACCTACAGGAGTCAACGCTACTGCCGTGCAGTAGAGTACATACGGGGAAGACACGGACGGCATGACAAAGGCTAGGTAAGTACCCGAGGTTGGGCTATTCGTTCCCATGCCTGACGACGATCCATGGTGGATATATGTGAAGCATCACCTCCCCAGACCCTTTACACATCCTATGTAGTAAGCAGTGTCGTACACATGCTGAACTATAGATCATCCAGACCTCACAGTGTGTGATTTAGCTGAGGATCACTACCAGGTAATGCGAACACCAGACAGTCACAGTAGGATAATCCAGCCCGAGACTGCTTTGCAACGTTTGTGTTGATCACCACCTCATCAGTTCTAGCCATTAAACTCATTCTACACCAAGCCATGCCCCGTCAAACCATACCCCTCATCCTTAGATAGAAAGGGTTGGATTACCACCTATTTGGGCTTCGTGATCTCAAAAAACTCCTTCACTCCTTGCACGACAACCTCAACATTCATATTCACCAGCGGCATTTTATCGTAGCTATCTTCCTTCATGATGGCTACCAACGCGAGGTACTTATCAACCTCGCGTAGAATTATGGGTTTGTTCCCATCGCTCAGCACCATACAGCTCTCGGCGGAGACCGACGCGACCTGGTCTTCTATCTTCTGGTTCCACGGGGCCCCCTCTAGACCTTCGCGATACCTCTGGCTTCGAGGCCAGCTACCATAGACTTCCGTGACGTCTATTATGACGTCGATGTAATCGGAACAGATCTCGTAACTTGCCATGTCCGCCGGCTCACTGTCAGTGGCAATGTATATCTTGGACAAAACATCAAAGAGATACGCCTTCTCGAAGCGGCATGTTCGGCACAGGTTCGTAAGCATCGCTTCAAGTATTCCTAGTCGAGGGATGAGCTTCTGGATGACCTTACTAAACGCTTCGAAGATGCTATGGTTATAGATGCTTGTCAAGTGGAACGTGACGGGAGCGTTCTCGAAACCGTGGTCCGAAAGTTCGTCTTGGATTCGTATTGTGATATCCCGTTGTATATCCAGCTTATAGTCGTCTGATAAGCCGTCCACTTTATGAATGAAGACTTCAATCTTGATGTTTGGGTACGTTCGCTGGAGGTTTAGTATTGTAATGTTCAACCGTGCTACAGCCTCTAGGTAATCATCCTGAGCATCAATGACCCAAATCAAAGCTCCAATTTCACCAAACATAGCGTCGATGTCAAAAGTTGGGTTGTCAAAGATATCAATTTGGCCAGGAAAATCCCACACTTGGAAATCCATGAAAGAACTTTCGGATTCAGGTCAGAAAAGACCCAAGATTGGCATTGCCTTGGGGAGTACTCACGGCATAGTATCCTTCTGGATGCGAGCTGTGGATTCGAGAAATAGCGTCTCGCTAGGGGGCAACTTATGAAATACCACACTAGATATTGACGACTTGCCACTCCTATGATGAATTAGTTCTGCTATCTCATATCTTACCTACAATGACCGACATACCTTCTCTGTCCCATCAAGAGCAACCGAGGCTTCCCTTTCGTTGACAGGTCCATGAGTTGCTCAGGCGCTCTTTGGCCATTTTTACGTTGCCTTTGGTCCTGTTGATACACACGTGTTAGAGCTTGCTGTGCTGGGCTAGAGGGACAAGATGGTGTCCCATGTAGCTGTTCTTGATCATCCTCAAGATCGAAAGTATCCACGCCGCGAAGCCGAGAAGACATGGCAACAATAAGGACTAAGAGATGAGAAATAGAGTTGCGTAAGAGGACGCTTGTCAATAAGAAATATTAGGCCTAGATACATCAAGGATCGGGTAAGTTGGAGCAGGCGTGCTCCTTATGTGAATACAATAACCGTCCCTGGTTCATCACTGCCTGGATGTAAGGGGTCGTTCTGATTGTTCTTGACGGTGTATTTCAACACCGCCGGAGAGTCTGCTTCTTAATTTGTACACGCGACGATGAGCAGAAGCGAGCGAGACAACTTGCAAACGAGGTTGCCGAATCCACGGTATCGGGTAGACGAATATAAGATCGTAGGTCTCTAATATTGCAACGACTGGGTGGCTGCAGATAGACGAAGTTGACCGGGCAGAATATCAAATCTCACAACGGGAAATGGCCACGGGTCTGGGATACGCGGCTGGTTAAAAACAGGGCATACAGCTCTTAATGAGCTGTAAGAAGGGGGCGGGATGATTTCATTGCTGATCTCACCGTCGCACAAATCAAACGACTCGGGGGTTCCGCTCAGGGGAGCTCGGGTGAATGGTAATCAAATCATGACAATCTCCGTTGGCGAGAAGCTCGGACCTGTAGTTGACGTCTGCCTGATAGGAAAATAAAAATAAAAATGAGAGCGATGATACTGTATCTAGAACTGATATGACCAACTAGGCACATACACAGGGTGACAGCGTATCAGAGGCAGCATGCCAGGGGAGAAGACAGAAAAGCAAGTGTTATGTATAACAGCGGCGGCAAATATTCTAACCAGCTCAAAGTGTATCCGTATGCTATCAACGGACTTTTGGTCACCTTCCGAAAAACAAAAGATGTCGGCGATGATACAGGGCAGTATTTTGTGTGCCACTGAGCAATATACCAGCTCAAACGGAATTTTGATTCATAAGCAACATTCAAGGAAATAGTTAGAAAAGAGTTGAAGGAAAAGGGAAAGAAAAAAGGCAAGTCAATGTCTCACCTCCATGATAATAAAAGTATCACTACTAGTAGTAACTACCTCCAGATATCCTAGGTAAGTAGAAAAATCCCCGGGATCTTTCCGTTACGCTGGGTACTAGTTATGGGTACTAGGTAATCAAACTCGCCACGGCCCTATTCCACCCCTCACCCCCGGCGACATGGACGAGAAAGAGAAAAAAGGGAGGGTTGAGTGAGGTTTCCCCTATTATGATTGACGAGGAGAGGACGTTGTGCTCGGCTAGAGTGGTGCTCTGGCCTGTGAGATGAGGATTTCTGAGTCAGCTTTCAATACGGCGACGAATGAAGTCGCTTGACCAGAGCCAACTGTCTGGCGCGGGCTGACTCACCTGGAGCCGTTGCACCAATACGAAGCTGAGCTGTGAATGATTTGGGCGTATTGCTATGCAGTGCTCTGGTCCGTCTTAGTGGTAGTAATAAATAGCGGCAAAGAATCTCACAAGCGAAGGTGCACGGCGTCGACAAGTGATTTCGGTAGAGAGTATGTAGATGTAATAGTCTCTTTTCCTCCAATTCAGGTTCAAATTCAAATCAGTTCAGCTCTGCTTTGTCACCACCTAGATACTAAGATAGTAGTAGGTAGGCAGGCAGGTAGGCAGAGGTAGCAATCCAATGTCGGACGGACTTTGGATTCAAGATTGAAGTGACACAGCCCAATTCCGAGATCGATGGAATTAATTGAACACAATGTTGCGCCAATTGATTCTTGGCAAATCCCGGTAAATTAGATATGTATTTTTTCTTGAAATAAGAAAGAAAAAGATAAAAATTTATTGCGGTATACGAGGAGACGGGGAGGTCAATGTTTGTTAATATGGAATTATATGGAATTAAAACGAGCCATAAAAGACCACCAAGCAATGAACGAAGTAGTTAATTGAAAGTTGAGCTAAGAACCAGATGGCGATCGGCATCTTCAACGGTGGACTGTGGAGCAAAGAAGTTAAAATCAGCTGCGGATTGGTGTTCTGCCAGCTGCGGATAACTTTAAATCCCTGCCACTTCAGCTGTCAAGCATGTAGGTACCTACGTAATATTGATATTTTATATTTTATTTTTGCATAGTGGCATTGTACTACATAACTAAGTATGTATGTACTGCGATCAATGTGCATATTACATGTAGGCTACATACACATACACATACACATACACATACACATACATACCTAGTAGTACTATCCAGTACATATTCATCATTCTGGATGTATGTCAGCTCATCTCATCAATAGCCTTCAATGTTCCTTCAATATTATCGGGCATTTATGTCTCCCCCCCTTGCGCGCGATCTCACGATTTCATCAACGAGTACGACTTGCAACTTGTACTCGGACATACGCGCTGTCGCAACTTGCGCCTGGTTTAAATCACCTCAATCAAAACACGTCTTAGGATGAGCTAAGAACTTTGGAATACTTTCATATACGAAACTCGATCAGTAACGGACAATGATAGCGACCTCGGGAATAGGCATTGCCGCGTGTTGAATATTACGCAACAAGCCTCATTTTTAGATATGTAACATACCTAGTATATTTACGTACCTAGGTATGTAGCTTGTACCGTTCGGAGCTCAGATGAGGCTCTCAGTCGTCATGAGAGCTCCACGGCTCTTCCATTCACTATCCCCGAACCTAGGCTAGTAGCGTCAAACATGGACGCTACAATCATGGGGTACTTGCAAGTAGAAGCTGCTTGATGCTTTGATAAGCACATCGCGTCAAAGGTATCAAGCCGGGTTTTCTGACTACCTACCTAGGTAGCTACCTACTCTGTTGTAAGTAGTGCAATACGGCGGATACAGCAGCGACTTCATCCTCAAGTACTCTTCACCATACGCCAAAACTGTTGGTCTCTTGGTAAGATGGATTACCTGTCGATTTTGGATCCCTCCCATCTTATGCAAACATAAGCGACCCTGATATTATGGTGATTCAATTCGGTATGTTGCTCCAGAATGCCCCCCCTCCAATAGACCTTGAACCGCCATCCTAGGTACAATACCTACATATCCTAGCTCATGGCTCAATCAATCATACACAGTCGTTGCTCATCACGTGAGCATATAAAGGATAGCCATAATATCATGTCCGACAGAATGGGATAAATGCTTGTTCCCTCAACTCCAGCGCATTGCTTCCCCGGGTGATGCAATGCAACGTATGCCGACTTAAGTTCCGCATGGTTCCATAGTGAGAAGCTACGTTACCATCTACTTTTTGAGACCGGGGTTGTGGAATGGTAAAAAAGAAATGTTTCAAGTTCAGCCTTCAAATGGTCTTGGCCGTTCATGGCGTTTCTATCAGGCCACTGCCTTTCCACTAAAGAGGCTAAATCGGAGACTTCTGCGGCGCGGCGCCGTCTTCACCGGTTTCTGCTCCACTAATTCGCCCAACCTGTCGTCTTCGGGCGGTGTGGGAGGTACTTCCGGAATTGTTGTGATGGGTGTAGTCTCGTCCGAGATACTTGGTGGCGGCGTAGGAACCTTGGCAAGCTCTGTCATAGAAGCTGACCTAAACCCACCAAAAGACTACAACAATGTAAGCTAACGGCCCTTGATACTCCGGGCCAAGTGAAAAGAAAGAGGAAAATACCTTGACGCCAATTCTTTTATTTGACTTGGCGTGCTTTCTAGTCTCGGCAGGCTTGTCCTCGATCATGGCATTACTTGATTCATCGATTTCGGCAGCAACGGTCTTGCCTCCGATGGCGACATTTTCTTCAGGGGTAGCGACAAAACGCACGTAGCCCCTAGATTTGATAACTCCTAATGTCTCTTGGACATGCCGTTGAATGAGTGCCGCATTCCTCTTGTTGGTGGTCGGCTGGACCAAACAGGGAAGTGCGTGTATTGTCAAGGTGTATGCCGGATCGAAGGTTCCTCCAAACATCATACAGCAACCATGATTTACGTTGATGACAATGGAAGATATCGGCCTTTGATATCTGTTGGATAGGTGGTATGAAAGATCCGTTATAAAAGAGAACTCGTCCTTGATCTATAACACCATATTAAGTACGCTATCATGAAGGCGTACTGGATGTAATAACTCACGATGACATTCGTTCTCAAATCGGCCATGACAATGGCTTCGTTTTGTACACGAGCCTTGACCGGATCTGGATCTCGGTTGGTCGCTGCAAATTCACTCTCGAAGTAGGCGCTTCTCTTTTTGCTGAGGTCCGGGTGTAATTGAGACTTGCGGGTCGTCATCGGATCACCGGGCGGGGGGCGATCAATATTGCGCATCATTTTGTTACCTTCAACTATATGTGCTTTTGACGGCCGTGAAGAATTGAGGTTTCGTTGGGCAGAAAATGTGGTAGAAACAGTAGATGAATTGTGATAACCCGTGGAGGAGGGTGTGCTTATACGAGGAAGCCTAGTAGGCAAGGAGTCTGGGCGAGCCATAGCTGCACAAGTATTAAGGCCCGTTAATAAACACGAATGAATACCCAGTACTAGCAGTCTCTCAATTCGTCGGGTCAAGCGTAAGTAGTGTAGGCAGTGATAATGATAATGTAAGCGATTCTGGGCCTTCTAAGTCCCTTTGGCTCCCTTTGGCTCCCTTTGTCTCTTTGGCAGGTTTAGCTACCTATCCAGGTAATGAGGGTAGCTTGTCAGCCGTCGAAGCAACTGTCTTGCATGAACCTAAGGCATGTGGTACTCGTATTGGTGGTAAGCAGTATAAGACGTGGGGACAAGCCTCTCCGTTTTGGGCAAGGGGGTTAGTCTTGATATAGACGTTATCTCTAGTTTGTCAACCCGGAATGGATCGTGGGCGCAGACCTCCTAGGTTTAATATGACATAAAGGGAGTGGTTGGCCGTAGAATTGTCTTAGCTCTTATTTGATGGCAGAGTAATCCTGAAGTGGGTGTGTAAGTGGGTGGGATGATTGGATTGTTGGTTGGAGTATTGGAGTGTTTGCAGTGTTTGTCTTATAAGTATTCCAGATTGAGAACCTTGGAAGCCTTCAATCTTGGAAGCAGATGTAAGAAGCATAGAAACAGAAAAGTACAGCAGAATTATAAAGGGGGAAAAAGGCCGAGTTTACCTATTTAGGTACTGTGTAAGTAGTTAACCAAGTCAAGTTCAGATGAGTTCAATCTTGACCGAATTATAAGTCCGGTGGCGATGGGAAACCCGGTCGAGTTTATGTCAGTACTGTTTGTATGTAGTTGTATGTAGTTGCAATTGTAATTCTGGGACATCTGGACTTTATTGTTGTAGGATTCAATGATTGATACCTAGTACATATGTACATAATTGAGAGCACTTGAGCATTTTAAACACGTTAGGCACGTTGTCGTCAAGCTGCATGAGGCAGGTACCAAGCAATTGCAACGACACCGTCAAGTACATAGTAGTACTTACATGTATCTCCACTGCATTGTGTACCTAGTACCCTGCAGTTTCCTCAGCATCTCAAGACTCAAACCTTCAGGTTGCGGATTTCCGGGTAGGAACTACTTATAGTACATAGTAGCATCATTGATTGAAGGTATTGTACAATACCTAATAGTAGGTTAGTAGGTTACAGAATCCTGCGCACTTGCCAATCTTCAACTCTTCAACTCTTCAACTTTTCAACTTTTCATTTCTTTCTATCAAGATCGCCGAGTCTCAATTCTCTAAAGCCCTTCACTTTCCCCAGTTTCATCTCTCAGACATTCCTTGCTTCTTTTTCAACTGCACATGTGGTGGGCCGTGGCTGTAGCATGGTGCACACAACAAGCTACCTAGATCTAACAAAGTAGAACATAAAAACCCACAATCGATCAGCATAGATGCTATGGTATGTACACAACCTCGCTTGCGAGACCACGAGCCTGCCTGTTTCGGCTTCTTGCATCCAATCACCACTTGGTGATGGCAGTGAGGAGGGAAGCGGCATTATACTGTCCTGCCCATCTCTCTTTGCGGATAAGAGATCTATACTTACCTACATTGTATATGTAGACATCAACGATCAATCGATGCCAACAGATACTTGCCTACGGTGCCCCCCACTGATTCCATGTCAGTAGATATGTCGAGATAACGTTTTTTGCATTAAAAAGCAACGTGTGAGTCGTATTTAAGTTCCTACTTACATGTGCATAGGATTCCTTATCATAAGTATATAAGTACTATGTAGGTAGGCTGGTGTCAAAGACAGCCGCAGCTTTCCGCTCCAAGTGACGGCTCTACTACATACTATTAATCTATCAGGCACCTGCGCACCCGAGACACATGTACGCGAGCGTTCTTTAAGGGAGGCAGTGAAAACCGAATTAAACGTTATTATGCGCTACCGAGATCCGAAATATCGCACCAATCACTCTGTCTCTGGTATATATTGGACGTGACCCAGAACGTCAACCCGCACCATCCATTTAGATAACATATAACTCATCGCCACTTCTTCCCGCTGCACTCTTACAGTTGTTATACAGATTACCACCGTCCGTAATTCGGCTTCATCTATCGCCCGCGGCCTATCAGTTGAACTCTCTTGCCCACCTCCAAGTTTGTCAAAGAAGATCCTGGAAGAAAAAGAAAAAGAAAAGAAAAACATTGGACCTCGTGTTATTGTAGGGGCGTTAGCACACGGCCATGTGCAGGTTTAGAGCTAGGCTAAAGACGCCATGACCTGTCATATCTTACGACGATGGCACAGGGCTGCCAGACTTTGGCAATGGCCTGGCACTGATAGACTTTCTCTCTAAAATCGACTGATACCCAGCGAGTGTGAGAATGGTCAATTCAACCGGCACCAGCACAATGGACAAATATAGAGCTGTTTGGCTCTCATTACACAACGAGCCGAAGTGTGGCTTTGCACTCAAAACCGCAGAGCCCCACAGGCAGCTCCAGCTCTGTAGTGTGTTATCTGTCGTCGAGGCATTGACGACATAAAAGAATATCATGCTGATCATGACAGCCGTGAAACCCACAAAGGGTGCAGCAAGGGCGACGGATGAGTGAATCGAGACCTGGTTGCGAAGCTTCGATGTATATTTAGTACGATGTCTTTCTTCTTTTCTTCTTTTTTCTTTCTTTACAATAGAGAAAACCTGACGAGGGTGTACTCACTCTGGTCTTGCTGAACAGTAAAGACACGATGTTGGCAATGGCCACCAGGGTTCCGCCAACCACGAGCGCCACCGTAGGACGAACATTAAATCGATCAGGCCACAATGGTAGGTGGAAATCGCTTGATAGGTGGGTTGTGTTATACACAGCCAGGGTGTTGGCTGAAGTACCGAGCACAGTAAGACCGCAAAGAAGAGCAAGCCCGGTGAGGCCTATGCGGACACCGTCAATCAAGCGAATCTTTTTCATGTGATTTTGGTGTTGGACATCGTGGGGATCGACTTCGGTATAGGTGGTAATGGACCCTTTGTTATCGAAAGACATGTTTGTTGAAGAATCGGTAGGTGTAATAGTACAGGCCCTTCTCAACCTTCACGGAAAGTCGACAATAAGGTGGGAAGAAAGATAGGCAACAGAACGGAGACAAGAAACAACCCAAATATCCAACAAGAAAGGAAAGGAATAGGAATTCCACACGAAGTTCTTATGAGAAGTGAAGAGAAGCAGTCTAACGAACCCGACTAAAATGCGGAACACACTCTGAATATGAAGGATATCTACTCTCAGACTAATCAGTACCTACTTTCCTAACTAGCAGCTCGATTATAATATGCAGTCGACGAAGACATTTAGTCGTCTAGAACCTAGCTCCGTGTGAGCGTGCATGGATCCTTACCGCGACAGCGCTTCCGGGAATTGGATTTGCGCATAGGTAGGAGTGAGGGTGTTGCTAAGGATAGCATTCCGGGTGCCACCTTTCCGTGCATCTGTCCCCCCCTCCCCCTCCCCCTCCCGTTTTTAATTCTTGTTCCATAATAGGTATCATTTATTATCTTCCCGGCAGGAAGAAACATACATCTATTACCTACCTACCTGCTTAACGAACGAGTGACAAGCGTTTAGACGCTGAGGCGTGATTGAAGATGTCTAGCTTACATATGTAGGTACCTATCTATTGGGAAAAGGTAGAGAGCCAGGGGTGTCGGGGAATTCGCTGACGATTCGGAGGCACAGCTGTCCGCGGATTGGTTGGTGGAAAGCTTACAGTGACAATAGTGTGTGTAGCTACCGTAGGTCAGGTAGGCGTGACCCATATTTAGAATCCGCGGCCGGCGCTTAGAGAGCCCTGGACTCTGGAGAGAACGACATTTCACGGAAGAGGTATGTAAAAGGTGTGGTGGATTATGGAGGCACGTACATAGGTACTAAGGATATCATATGTAGGACCAATCATGGGGGAGAGCGCTTAAGAGATGCTTGCCCCTCTAAGAGGTAGCTTCGGTACTACTCTAGGTTACATATTTACATCTACAGTAGGGTGCTATCTAAGTATGCAACTCTCGTGAACCTGCTTTTTAGGGGATTATAGAAATTGAGGGTTTTGGATTGGCTGAGGGCGTGAAATGAAATGAAAGGGGGGAGTTTTATTTTTTCAGTCTTTCTTTTTGATTCTTTTTTTCCTGTGGACATGTAATGAAGTGGCACTGCATGCTAGGAAGCATATCTGAACCTCTTGCGCTTAAGTGGGTGATAAAACGTTTGGTAGGTTTACATAGGTATGTAGGTATGGATGGATGGGTGAATGCACGACATACATAGATCGAAGCATTCATAGCTTCTGGGAGATTCGTGATTGGGGGGTACGCGCCCTCTTTTTGGGCTTCGGCTACGGCTGAAGGAATGGTTTTGATTTCCTGCTCGATATCGATATGGAGAGGGGTAAGACATTCAGTCTGTCTGTCAGATTGTCTAACGGTAATACTTGGAGGTAGGAAGGTATAAGTATTTATAGCACTGTAAAACTAGTTATGTAGATTCTATATTGGTATATATGTAGGACTGTAACGTGGGCCACGTGCAACTAGAGAAACAAATTTGGTTGGTGTTGGTTGCAAAGGGCTGGAACAAGACATCGGATACCTATGTAATACTTCCGTGTATATGCGTGGGGTCCGGCGCCGGGCCCGAGAACTGGCATCCGTTCCCGTCCTACTAAAAGCTACTTGTGTAATCAGATTACTTATATGTCGTACTACAACATCAAATATCATACGCGGCAGTCTATCATTTGAATAAGTCGGCGATCTGTCCGTCACTGTATACCTATCTACATAGTATCAGATACATACATATTAGACTTCGGTGGAAAGGAACGGCACATGAGTATTTTCATACCTAGCTTCCATCCCCGATTCAATCGAATAGGTTTAGTCTCCTGTAAGGGGACAAGTTGATGAGCATCTTTTCGACCGGCAATGAATTGCGGTATGAAACCTACCTGCCTGCCTGCCTACTAACATGCTGAACTACATATGCAACTACCTGGGCATGTGTAGGCTAGTTTCCTATTAGGATAGTATCAAGTGTGAGTGCGTGAGGCTACCGACCAAACAAAAGCCGAATTAATGGGATTTCACCGGTCTAAAATACTGTTACTTCCCTTTAGACATCTACCTAGGCAGGCATCATATTGCTCCATATTCCGCACTTTACATAAGAGCTGTGATAACTCAGACACGAGGCCTTCCCTTTATCGTCGTTGCGTACGTATGTACTTATATACGTACGTGCGTATGCATGTATGATTGATGGCTTGTTACCAACGCACTGGAACCAACATCGTAGATTCTGCAGGTTGCACATCTGGCCTCCCAGTCCCATGGCCGGGAGCAAGCCACCAGACGGTTGAGAGTTGTATGTAAACAGCAGATACCTACATATATCTTACATCATGCAACCATTTATGTACTTACATAGGCTATACTTACTAGATAGGAGATACTTGTTCTTACATAGCCTATGTTGGTGGCCAGTAGGTATGTAGGAGCTTATGTATCTTGCATCTACTGGCGCCCAGTCGAAGCTAGAATGCCATATACTAAAGTGCCAGTGACGAAAATAGGGAGGTGATCGGCAGGCTTCCTTATGTTGAAGTCCACTTTTCTCGTTGCAGCTGAATTTTAGTACTGCTTTAACGGAGCAGACCCTTATCTATGTAGGTTAGGGCATTTAAATTGTGTTTCCCCTCTGGTGTTTGTTGCTCTAGAAGCACTAGAAGCATATGTATTATATGTATGGATTCAGGACCCTGCTTGAAGATTATATCCTTGATGTCTCCCCTGATGGAATCTAACCGAATTCCGAACCTCGTGTATTGGATGGAGGGGTGAAAGTACATGCCTACATACCATCAATGATGTATTGTAAAAACATATGTAGGTAGGTAAGCCTGGTAAGGATGTGTTACTACTACCACTGTATGGCAGGTATCGTCGGTATCGTACCATGTCAATCATAAAGCAAACCTTGCCTATTTGGATCAAGCCTCAAGTGCCGTATCCGAACTGTCGGGCCCAGGTGGATCCTTCTGGCCACGCTAACCCTTGCACATGCTTGATACAATGATACACATGTATTGTACCTATGTAGGTTGTCAATATTATTGTAATACTGCGTATAATGTGTACTAATCCGAGGTAGGCATGCCGTAAGAAGCTTGTGCTAGTGTAAGTAGAAATGTAAGCTCTCTAATAGCTCCAATTGATGCCATCATTCCCGTACATCTTGCCGAGTAGAGAATCTGGTTGTCCAAGGTTTTGCGGTAAACTAGCCAAAAAACCTGGGATGGGGGTGTGTAAGGGGCCTACCTACCTGGGTCCTGGGTAGGTAGCTAGGTATGCAAATACATACATCTGGTGGGCCAAATGTGTGTCCTCTGATAATTCGAAGCGCAAGTGCCACAGTTTCCAGTCATTCAGCCGATCGTGTTACGCTTTCTGACCGATACCGTCCACATGTTGCTGGCTTAGCGGGAAAGCACCTACATGTAGGTTGGGTTAGTTATCTTGGAGGCACCCGGCCATGTGGATTGTGCGTAGTTGGGCCAAGTTCTTATAGTAGTAATGACTCCTTTGTCCAATACCACACTCTTCCCTGCGCTTCTACCATTTACCAGAGTCCTGGGCTTTGGCGGCGTAGTTACCCATTCCACTGGGTCAACCGAACATATTAACGCCTTCTTTTGTGATACATAAGTAATATCGATGGCAATTCGGCATAGGAGGACATCCGTTACGGGTGACCTACCACAAACCTTTGTGAGTTGTAACAAAAACCCTCCAGGAAAAGCATGGAGCAGGCACACTGATAAATCTCCAAAGCATCTTTTCACCCAATTACCGATTGAACTCCGACTTATAATATGGAGCTACAATCTTCCGGGCCCACGTATCGTAGAGATTAAATGCAGTACTGACTCTACTGAGCCACTTTTGACGTCTCAGCTTGGACAAGACGACAATAGGCGCATCGTCTGTACATCCACCTCGCCTATCCCAGTCAACTTGCATGTGTGCAGGGAATCTCGGCTGTACGGACTGAAACAATATCGGCTGTTGTTTGGGATATCCCCACAGCCTGGTCGAGTCTTCTTTGACGCCCGGAAGGATACACTTTACTTTGGCGCGAGACAGAAACTCACGGCATCGGGAACACTCCTTGAAAAGTTTGTGTCTCTGGTTCAACCGGAGGATCTGGCCCAGGTTCATCGAATTGCCATCAATGAAGGACTCATAAAGGGCCATAGAAGCGCCGCCCAGTTCATAGCCGAAAAGATTCTGCGCCAAGCTTATCAACACTTGACCAACTTGGAGCAGCTCACCTTTGTCTGCAACGACAAGAATCCCCTATACAGCTCCGATGCAGTCTTCGTCAACCCCCGAATGCAGAATCGGATTCTGGAGCGTGACGTTCAGAATGCGATTGGCATCTTGCAGCATAGACATCCTAGATCCAGGCCACTTTCGTGGAGCATCCGAGCTATTGCCGCCGAACCCAGTCGCCCTGCATACAGCCAGGATGTTTTGGGCTATGAAGGAACTCGAGTAGAATTCTTTCGCCGAGTTCAGCTACCGGAGTGTGAGAAGGCTGTAGCTAAGTTGCGATGTGCTGTAGGTGTATAAGATGAGATTTATGTAGGAATGAGATACATGTATATGGTGTTCTGGACTGTCCTCAGACTCCTCACATCGTGAGATCACAACATCAATAATATGACCCCAGGCTATAGAAAGAAGTACCTAAGTACCTACATGAACTTTACATAAATCTCGAGGCCAACGGAAAATCATCGGACCTTCCAGAGATCTAGGTTAATCAATTGGATCCAATCAGAGCATAACTACACTTTTAACTAGACCTGATTGGTTAACTAGCGCTTCGTACAAAAGTATCTAACTACATAGTAATGAACTTTATCGCCAGAGCTTAAAAGATTCTAACCTAGGTGATAACTAAACCCCACTAAAATTCTCAAAGTTGAACTTCAATGTCAATACTGCACAGTCAGTAACTACCTACCACTTTTAATAACTGGCAAACGCGCGACCGACACAAATCAGTAATCACGACCAGGAAAACATAGAAAAGAAAAGCACAATGCCGGGAAGAACCAAGGCTCGAGGCGACACGCCCGAAGAGGTAGAGGAGCAAGAGGCTCCCACCTCGGCGCAGCCACTTGTTGAAGACGAAAGTGGTGATCCTATGGATGAAGACCAGCCTGAGGGCGAGGAGGAAGCCGAACCGGAAGAGGAGCCACAGCGTGTCAGAATTGTACGTTTGATTGAAAATCAATATCCCGGCGAATCAATCTGCTTTAGGTTCACTTGCTAACGAGACTTGCGACAAACAAAACAGCTCCCTGGATCATCCGAAAGAGCAGCTTCTTTCGAGTTCCTGAAGGAGGGCCATACTCTGGGAAATGCCCTCCGATTCATCATTATGAAAAAGTACGTTTGCCATTTCCATCTCAAGTCTTGGACTTTCGGTAGAGGGGTTAACTAATCATATTATAGCCCTGACGTGGAATTCTGCGCGTACACCATTCCCCATCCTTCCGAAGACAAGATGAACCTGAGAATCCAAACATATGGTAATAGCATACCCATGAAATCCCATCACCTCATTACCCGGCACTGACTTTCTCATAGACACAACAACTGCTGCTGCTGCATTAGCCAAAGGTCTTCAAGACCTAGAAGACCTCTGTGATGTGGTTGAAGAGGGATTCTGGACTGAGCGGGAGAAATTCGAAGCAACCCCCGAACAGTCACGTAAGAGGCAGGAGGAGCAAGAGAGAAGACGGGCGGAATTAGGTCTATAAATTTTTTTTGGGCACAGATTACGGATCATAAAAGGCATTGGCGGCGTTTGGAGTAAGCCAGACAACTTTCTAGACTGGTGAATTTGTTTTTAGTCCCTATGTACAACATAATGGGACAATACCCTATATCTAGTTGCGACCCTATCATGCTCGTTAGCCGGTAGTTTCTACACGTAGGCTGTGATAAGAATACTTGCCTCCAAGAAACCCTTCATGAAACTGTTTGGTAGTCGTTCAGCACCGCGGAAGTTCTCGCTCTTGAAATAAGACATGACATGTGTAGTTTGTTTCCAGAAGTTCATGGTTTCCTATAGAGCATCATTTAGCAAATGCACTCTCTCGGTCCACCCAACGTTCTTTCATGTAATGCCTCTTTGATCATATATCAACGAAGAGTCGTGGGTTCACTGACCTGATACTCCGCGTTATTCTGCAAAAGTAGCACATCGACTACAGGTAGCTTGTTCACGAATCTATGTCGCTCGAATTCTTGTCGCATTTTGGTACGAATCTTGGAGACTGGGAAGGGAACCGAGTACATGGTCTGGATCTCGGGTGCCTGAACAACATTTATTAGTATTGATTTGCATCCTTGAATTCCAGAGAATAGAGCGAAAGTGTTGCTACAAGGGCGGATTGATGACGTGCTCGGCCTAGGGGAGGTCATACTGCTCGAATCCATTCTCGATAAGCCGCAATAACTCGTCGCTTTGAGTCGTTCCAATTGGCCGCTGTGAACCATGTTAGAAACACAAGACAGGGTTTATAGGGTATACAGAGGATATATACTTACACGTCCGCGTCGTGCGCGCAAATTGTGTAGGTGTCACCGCCATGATAGGTGAAGTAGACTGCTTGTCGTAGCGATGAGGTTCATTTCAACACTTCCAACTTGGAAGCTTCAATGTTCGTCTCGGATGAGGGCGGGTGGGTCTCATGCAAGTGGATCACTGCAATCGCTTAGTGGAGCCCAAAGAATCACCAGCCACAAATGCCACATCTATTGATAATAACTAACTAGGTAGTTACACACCCATGCATGCTTAGTCACTATGCATGCAATCAATTAACTAGTCTCAGATCCAATTCGACGGCAACGTCAAAGCTTCAAGGTTTCAGTGAACCTTGGAAGCTACTGTGATAGTAATTCTCAGCCTTGCCTTGCCCCACTAAGTTAGTAACTGTCTAGACATCAATCAACAATTAAATCTTCAATCGCAAAACCTCGTCGCAATTTTTTCCTCTTTCCCTTTCTGTTATTCTTGTTACGCACTCACTCACTCACTCACTCACTTGCCCACGCCCTCCTAAAAAACTCAAACTCTCCAGCCAACCAGCCAAACCAGCGACCACGATCCATCGCCACCATGCCCGCGATCCGCTCGCACGCGTCGCGGACCAAGAAGCCGCCCGCCGGCTTCGACGACATCCGGGACGACCTCGAGATCTTCAACATCAAGATGAAGGACGCGCAGAACACGCCCACGAACGGCGTGCCCAAGCACCAGGCCCAGTGGCCCATCTTCCAGATCTCCCACCAGCGCAGCCGCTACGTGTACGAGCTGTACTACGAGAAGGAGGCCATCTCCAGGCAGCTCTACGACTGGCTGCTCAAGAACGGGTACGCGGATGCCATGCTCATCGCCAAGTGGAAGAAGCAGGGGTATGAAAAGGTATGTTTGAATTCTCTATCATCGGAGATGGCTTGGGGAAATATCAATCGTCGCTGACTTAATCTGTTCTGTGCTTAGTTATGTTGCCTTCGCTGTATCCAGACCAAGGAGACCAATTTCCAGTCCACGTGCGTGTGCCGAGTCCCCAAAACGCAGCTGAAGGATGAACAGGACGTACAATGTGTTGGCTGCGGCTGCAGGGGTTGCGCTTCCAGCGACTAGATCACAATCACTTACTTCTTGTTCTCTCTGGTGGTTGGGTTTCATCTCACCGTGGCGTTAGGGGTTTGTTGGCATTGCGGTTAATCGGGTTAATTCTACAAGTTTTTCTAGCATACCTGTTCGGAGTATGGCGATTCGTTGTCACATTGGGCTGCACGATATCAGGGAACTTCTCTGGGACATTACAGGGGAACCAGAAAATAGACTAAATGTCAATTCAAGAAACTGCCCTGGCGAGTGCTTGATTTTCATATGAAATTTCGCCCCTGATGCTACGTAGGTATAAATTCATGATATCGTTGTCTCATATCTTCATCCATCTTGGTTTTCGTGTGCTTTTGCGTATCTTCGTTAGTCTTGTTAGTCTTGTTTGTCTTCTTACCGTCTAACAAACCCCGTTTTCCCTTTCCTATGACCAAACCGTATGCTCGTAGGGACAAACTGTAATGCTGACATTGCACCGGCCAGATCTTCCATCTCAGTGTCCGGGACTTCAACCGGGGAAGAACCATCCTTTGCTGCTTGTACCTGTGGCTCCTCTGTACTTGGTTTGGGCACTTCCGTTTGTCGGAGACTCTGTCTTCTTGCCGTCCCCTTGGTCCCACCAGCATTGGTTGCCGTAGAAGACCTCCGCCGACGATGCCCGCCCTCGAGGAGTAACGACTGTCTGCCATCGACACCCTCCTTGGTAACGGCAAAGAAGTAATTTTTCGGATACATGTGTTTGTCGATGAGATGGCTACGTCGCTTCTGAGGCGTTCTACATTTACGATCACAGCCCTCTACAAAACATGAGTACTGTTTATACTAGTTAGTCTCACTATGATTTATTTCCCTAAGGGATGGAACTCTTACTGTGTGTTCGCCCTTTTCTCTCCTCACAGCTGCGAAGGCATCGTGACATTCTTCGATATGAATATTTAAGAGATGCTCGGACGGGAAGTTCTTTGCGCACTCTACGCATCGGTTCATGTGAGTTTTATTGTGATGGGATTCATACTCAGCATATGACTTGAACGACAACACGTCTCGGTGGGGAGGAAGAGAGCATCTCATCGTAAAGGCGCTTGTATCTTTGTCGTCGTCTTCCTCAGCTGATTCGTCGAGTCCGGCGATTTTTGTGGGTGGTAACGTTTCTATTACTGTCGGGCTCGGGCCATTCGACGTTTTATCTGAACTAAAGTCGGGTCCTGGTGATGAGGACGCTTCGTCTTCAGGCTCGCGTGAGCGTTTCATGTTTGCTTGTCTTTTTTATGACTTCTGACGGGAAATTCAGAATTTAGGGCAATTTACATTAATAGGTATAAAACTCGTCGTCAGTTAACTCAACAACTCCTGCAAGTAGTTGACTGTGATTGTGATGCTTTATTTTCTTGGGTCGAAGAAGACAATGATCAGTGGTTTTATGGTTTTATGGTTTCATGGGTTAAATGGTCTGGCAGTGTTGAACTGAGTTTGAGAAGTGAGTCGATCAGGCTCTTAAGTTTGTAGGTAAATCTCAAGACCAAAGTCAAAGTATGGATGTCTTCTTGTGCCGGTGGAAACACTCTCTTTGACAGTTTGACTATCGAGCCTCGAAAAAGGACCAAGGTATTGTACTATGTATGCATGCACTGTAGTGATGAAGGCGGTCAGTAAATTACCTAAGTATTAAGTTTTCAGGTACCTACATACTTACTAACCTAGGTAGTAGGTAGTATATTTACATGCATGTGCCATTCAATGCTGTGCCCAGTGCGCTGAACTTGAACGAACGCAGCCAGTTAGTGATGAGTGATATGTTTCTGATCTGCTGCATGGAGCCCGGGACAAGGTTTATGGTGTGTGTTAAGGCAATTCAGTTGTTGAAAACGTAAAACATTGAAGACAGTGAAAGCCCTGGAGGCGCTAGCAAGATACCCCTAACTAATCCGGGGTTGGTGGTGACTCTGGTGAGGGGTCCTGTACATGCTACTAGGTTAGGTACTGTATGTATGTAGTACTTTACCAGTGCTTGGGGCCTTGGGCACTGGGCAGGCTCGCAGATGTTTAGTAGATTTTAGCACATCATTAGCGTTGCCGTGCCTGCCCATGCCTGTCTATGCCTGCCTATGCCTGCCCAGGAGTCCATGCTTATTGCCCACGGCGCACCCAAAGGACCCTACTACGGATAGTATTTTATGTACCTACCCTTCTAACCTCTAACCTTAAGCCCAACCCTGGAAGCCCTGGAAGCCCTTTTTATTTTTATTTATTTATTTTTATGATCGACAATTGGGAACATTGAACATTGAACTTTTTTGATCACTGATCAGTCAATCAAATCAATTCAATGTTCATCCCAGCCGCCTTACCTTCTTCTACTCAGTGCTCGTTCCATTATTCCATTCCCAATCAAAATAATTACCTTACCTTACCTTACCGTACCTGACCTGACCTTTTACTTTTACTACCTCAACCTTTCTCCTACTTTTTAGTTCAACCATAGAGTAGTCTGAGCAGTCTGAGTAGTCTGAGTAGTCTGAGTAGTACCTAGTAGGATCCTGCTATTTCCGATAAACTCTTTCATAATACGTCTCTTGTCACCCCAAGTGCTAGGCTTAGACCCTTCATCTATCTACCGACGCCGCTATATTTGCGCTTTCGGTATCTTGCACTTTTCTCCCACATATCTTTTAGTACTGGAGATCTCTTTTCAAGAGGCATCCCTTCTCCATATACCTAATCGCAAATGTTCCCGATATCTTCTTCCCAGAAAGCTAACCCAGCCCAAATCTCTACGGCGCACATTCTGCCTATCCCCTTGCCTCTGTCGAGCTATGGATATCCTCCGAAACCTCACGCCCACTTCGAGTTCGTGTGATCCTGTTTCCTGGCTGTGAGCTGTCGCAACACTCTCCCAGCCAAACCTACTCATCGCGCCCGCCGGCGCCGGCGGTCTTTCACACCTGCCGTACGATATACCTACCTTGACTTTCTCAAACGGCCGTATGCCGACACCGCCCATGATGGAGAACCCGCGAGACAAAGCTAGAGCGAGCTGGGTGTACGTTTGCCGTCCTCGAATGCGCCGAACCTAACAGCACGGCCATACTAATTTGGCATGTTGGCTAACATGGATGGTAGGGATGCCCAGAAGATTCGCGCCGATATAATGGGGAAGATTTCAAGTTCAAAAAAAGAGCGTGGTACTACGAATATGACCTCTCGCTTCGAAGAGGTTGAGCAGACCATGGCTGAGTACGACCCCGACATACTACCAAAAAAGCATTGTCAGGTGCTATTTCTGACGATTACTCTACTCTAGGTTCCGTCTAGCTTGCATGAATGTTATCGCCCACGATTTTGAGTATGCGGCTGGTAAAAATGTCGAGCCATTTCTATGGCATGCCCACATCTTTCTAAACGGCGAGTACCGAAAAGTCATGAGTCGTCTCATGTCACAGAACCAGGTCGTCGTGAGACGGAAGCTAGAGAAACAGTATCGGGCTTTTTTGAGAACATCTCAGTCCTTCTACCGTGTCTATATACAACAACTTTCTGGGCGCTTTTACATTCCGGAGCTGCACCATGCTGCCCGTGGCACAGACATCGAGCCGACAGAGAAGCCCGCCCCCGATTCGAAGCCCCCGTCTGAACTCGGCGCTCTGATTTTGAAATCTTGCCAGATTACTCTAGTTCATCTTGGAGATCTAGTCAGGTATCGATGTCAGATGTCGGATAAGTCTTCGAACTCGAATGTGAATTTTGAGAAGGCTTTAGAATATTATGGCCTGGCGAACACCATTGATCCAGATGACGGCTCTGCTCACCACCAACTGGCCGTGCTATACCAACTTCAGAACCGACATCTCGACATTGTCTATCACTTCCACCGTTCTGTTTGCATCGCGAAACCGCATGAGCTTGGCATTGCCAACCTTGAACGAGCATTCAAAGGGCTAGATAACGCACCTGCAGCTCGTAACGGTACTGCCAAAGATCCATGCCAAACTATGATCACTTGGTTCCTTCGACTGCATGCGTATTACTTTCAGGGGGAGCCCTTTTCCGCACAGTCGGAGTTGGAAAAGGAAGTGCTACATCGTATAGAGATGGCAATGAAGTCAGATACGGACGAAGCTATCTTGCGTAAGATGATCTTCATTAACATATCTGCTTATGATGTTGCTCTCGAGAAAGTGAAAGGTGAGTGTCGACTTACACATGCTCAACCTTTTGAACGCCGTATGCTAATCACGATTCAAGCTTCCTGGACCATTCAAGGATCTCAATCCGCCCAATTCCTACTACGGTTCAATATTCAGACGATTTTGGTGCTTCTCCGTCTGCTGAAGCTGGGACTTCTAGATGATTTCGCCATACCCGTATATGAAGGGAACGATATGGATGACGACGAATGCCCTCTTCAATTCAGTCAAACCTTGCTGAAACTTCTCCCCCTTTTCCGCCTCTATATCTCGTGGATCTGCGTCTGTAGTGCTGATATCCATAGTTACCGAGACTACCTCGAGCCGTCTGTTAGCGACGTTTACAGAACTCTTGCCGAAGTATTAACTTTGCTTGGTGAGCTCACCGACAAGGCTGTCACTGTCACACCATCGAAGTATCTCCTTGTGGAAGATACAGAAGCACTTGGGCTTAGACCCTTTCGCAATCAGAACCTGCCGCTCTTTGTACAGACAAAGGCCTTCCCAGACCTGGAATCGCAAGAAAACCCCAAGGCTCGTAAGCCTCGCCAAAGAGCATTTGGCCGTCAGTATCAACCTCATATCGAAGCCGTCTGGCGGATGAGAGATATTATATATTGTGGGATACTCTTAGCTAGGAGTTCGAGTTACCCGCTAGCTCTATCACTGAATCGCCAAAATCGAGAAGATACTGAAACCGAGTGCTGGACTTTTACGGAAGAAGCCTCGCAACAAATCTCTTTAGATGAGAGGAGCATGACACATATGCTTAAGAAGCTTGGGCTTGGTGATACTGACGCTGCATCGCAGAATCCAGCGGTGCGAGGATCAGACTCGACGCGCTCAGCATTGAGTTCGATAGAATCACCACTGTCTGACAACAATGGCGATGGTATGAGTTTTGGGTCTCCGCAACAGGACAAGGGAAAGTCCATCGAGGAACAAGCACCAAGCTCACTACTTGACACCGATCTGAGTGGAGATAGCGAAATGGTGAACATGGTGAACAAGCTCCTGGATCCTATTGGTACTAGTAGACCTCAATCGAGCCAAGCCCAAGCTGATACAATCTACGGCATGAATACGGCTACAGCCAATGAAATATTTGGTCCATTTGCCGCTGGATCAGCACAAGGATCAGCACAACCCTCTCCGGCATCTAGGACCATTCCTAATCTCCCATGGGATTATTTCTATGCACCAACTCCAAACCGTTCGGATAGTCGAGGAAACAACCAGCTGGCCTCGAATGGTGATTATGTACCCAGAAGTGCCCACCGTCAACCCGATGGCTATATCCCTCCTTCCTACCTACCCAGTGAACTCGAGGCATCATTGCCTCAAGATCAAGTGAGTCTCCATGCTGGCGGAGCCACCACGTACACATCGCCGAGACTCTCCCAAGGTGGATCAGTTCACCATAGCCATCAGAGCAAGGATTCCCGTGATTCGCTAGAAGTATCTCGAAGTGCGGTTCTTGATACACTGACCTCTGCTTTATTTGCCCAACACGGCCTAGCCCCCAATAAGGCACAGCAATCTGATGCTTTTACGGGCGGTATGAGTGCTGGCTCCTTTAGGCCACCTGGATCTACTCCGGGAATTTCAAGGTCGCCGTACCTAACTGGAAATTCTTCCCCTTACCTAAATAGCATTGGAAACAACCTAGGGCCAGGTTATATGGAGCGGTCGGCTGGTCAACGAAATGTATCGGGTCCTGGTCCGATCGGGCAAGGTAAGCCGACTAGAAAGCCCAATGGATCTCAAGATGCTCGCAACTACTCTCAGAATAGTCCCAACAGTAGCGAATTCGGGTTCCCTCCACCAGCGGGCCAAAGACCTTCACCTACTTTCGCACCAGGCCCGTTTCAACAGCAGCATTCTCCGTGGGCCCCAGATCCTATAAGAAGCAGCTCCAGCTTCGGGTTTTCTCATCCTAGCAGCCTTGACGGTGGCACCCCATTCGGCCGACTTGGTGCCGTCCAAAATAATCGAGAGGATTACACCCATTTCCGAAATCAGCTTCAAGGTGCCATAAGCATCGGTACTCCTTCGTACAACAGGCAGGCTTCGGAGTCTGCCCTGCTTAAAGACGATAAGAAGCAGCGTCCAAAGTGATTTGAGTGAGATGATAACGCGCATGGGAAAGTCATCGCTTCTGGTTTCGCATAACCGTTTGCTATGGACTAGGTATCCTTTGCCTACAAATTATTGATACCCAAGCTCACACTTGATACTTTGTGAGGGATTGCCACTACAGCTTTTCTAACGCCCCATATATTTCAACCCTCCTTTAGCCAACTATATGCATCATCCTTAATGATAAGACGAACAAGTCTTGATGATATAATATGGCGCTAATCCAGACGCGAAGGGATTCGCATTCGAGGAAATTCACAGTGTCAGCGCCCTCGGGGGAATACCTAGGATTCAGTTGAGGAATTTCCTGTGAAGTGACTTAGGAGGCATTGAGTAGTGGGCTGCCCACCGAAGCGAAGCGAAGAGAGAAGAATGAGAAAGAGGGTTAGCCTTTTTGCTCCCCATTTTTATCGCCATTTGTTTGCCTTGGTGAAAGATTAAGAAGAGGCCTAAGGGGCTGACTGCCTACCTACCTACCCAGGTAGGTAACTATTTGATTATTAAGAGGGGGGGATAAGGGATAAGGCAAAGGAAGGGATGCGGTGGAGGTTCAGACAGATATCATGTGATTGATCGATGTCAAAAGGCTCACTCACTTTAGTACCTTACTGCTCTTCCTCCCCACCCCCCCTCTTTTTTTTCTTTTTCCTTGACTTCTAGGTCTACCGGAATAAGGATAATGAGAATGAGAGAAAGCCTTTGCAAACACGTATGCCGAGTCTCCTAGGTACATACACAGAGGAGACTCACCACATTTTTTTTTGGAGAGAGAGGAGGCAGAGAGACGAGGGGAGGAGAGGGGAGAAAAAGATCATCAAGAGAAATAATTGAGGTTTTTGAGTTCTTCTCTCGCACAGCTTGTTGATTCCGTTGCTACTACTATCGTCGTCGCCGTCGTTTTTGGTTTCTTCTCCTTTAACAAGGGGAAAATCGCAAGATGCCTTACTTCCTTCCTAACTTAATAGGTACTACCTAATGCAGGTTGGTATGTACTTAGATATGAGTACCTAGGTAGATATTTTATCATAATATTGATCGACTGATCTATAATATCTTTTTTTTTTTGGACAGAGAGGTTTCCGTGGTGTTCTTGTCTGGCCCACCACTATGTAATCGATCAGACCTATTATGTACCTACGTATATGTACACCTAACGCGACAAAAGTCACATAGGTAGGAGGCAAGCTAGGTACTTGAAGTTCCCTACTCTCTCGGTACGTGATGGAAAAAAGGAAAAATAATAGTAATAATCGTTGTTTCCCCATCCCTATTCCTCTCCCCCAGTTGTTGAAACCCACTTTTAAAGGATCATAGATGCTTTTATCTTCTCCTTTAAATAGAAAATTCAATTCGCCGCTGATTTTTCTTTAAAAAAATCGAGTAAATGCCCAGCCATCTGGATATAATCATGCTAACCCTTCCCATTCTCTAATGAAAAACGCCGGCCTTTGCGTAAAGTTGAGTAACGTCAAAGCGTTTAGTCTATCGACAGGTTATATACCTTTAGAAGTATTTACTGCCCATCGATCAAGAGAATCTACCAAACTTTATGAGCCAGTCTATGAGGAGGGTTGGTAGGTTTGCTTGGGGAAGGGGTATCTGCCGTGGGAGAAACTTGCGCATTAGTAACCGGGGACACAAGTTGAAGACGTAAAAAAGTATGAAGTCAGCGAAGGGAATAAACTTACGAAGGTCCCAACTCCTGAATGCTTAGCCGCGCGAGCCATTGGCCGATGTCGACGCTCTCTTCCAGGGACTTTCCTTGGACGAGACCGGCGACGAAGCCACCGGCAAAGGCATCTCCAGCACCGTTCGTGTCGTTGATCTTGGAGGAGTCGATAACGTGGACAGGGTACTGCTTGACCTCGTCCTGGCCCTGGACAGCGACTACCGTTGGGAGGGTGCCTTGCGTAATGACAGCGACTCTGGGTTTGCTGGCATTGGCCTTGGGGAGATTGGCGAGGGCCTTGGCGATGGCAGGGACGTCGGTCTCGGCGGCCGTTAGGCTGTGGGAGCGGGCGTAGGCGGCGGCTTCGGTCTCGTTGCAAATGACATAGTCCCAGTACTTGGAAGAGGCATCAAGGGGATCTTTGAAAAACTCGGGAATGAAGGGGGCCGAGATGTTGACAACAAAAGTCTTGTTGTTAGCAGCAGCTTCCTCGCCGAGGGCCTGAATGGCTGGTGGGCAAACTATATGATCGCTCATTAGCTTCCGCCTATCCGGATGAGATGGGGGAAGGAGGTGGAAAGGACATACCGGTAAAGTGGTAGCCACCAACATAGTAGAACTGAGCATTCTTGACGAGCTTCCAGATTTCGGGGCTCTTGAGATGGTCAAGATCGTAGTGGTTGGCGGCAGCAAGATCGGTACATAAGGATCTGTTGTGGCCGGTGATTACGACACCGCAACGGCCGGTAGGCTCCTTGGGGTCAACGCGGTATTCCACCCGCAGGCCAACCTGCTTGACAGCGTCACGAAGAATGGCGGCATATTTATCGTCACCAACACCACCCAGGTAAACGACACTGTTAGCGGGCAAGATGTAAGAAGCACCTCGGGCCGTATTTTGGGCGGCACCACCAGCGATTAGCATCGCATCGTAATTGTTCAACAGATCATCGTATAGTGGGATGTGCTCAGGCGAGGCCAAGATGGCATCATTGGCCTTGAGGTTATATTTCTTGAGTAGTTCCTCAGTTCCTACAGCTTGGATGTCTATATGACTGACGTGGTAAGCATACATAGGTAGGTAGTAATTGGGAATAACATACCGAGAAGAGGGTTCTCTAGACATAGGAGAGGGTATTCTTGGTTCGATGCCATGGTGGATATGAGGAATTGTTGCCTGATAGCGAAAGGTGAAGGTAGTGATGGTGATAAAGTATGCGATGAAGATGTTATACAAGGACCCTGGAGCTCCAAATTTTGGCGGGGTGAGATTTTATACCTATAACGAGGGGTCTGAGAAAAAGAGGAAGCGGAGCGGGCAAACGTAATACTAGTACAACCACTGATGGTGGGGTCACTATAAAAACGCTGCGCTTTTGAGATTGTCCGAGGAATCAACCCCGAACTGAAGCAGGACCTTGAACAAGTGGGGAACGGCATCTCGGACAGCGGCCTTACAGGCTTACATCCAATTACCCTAACCGTTAGTACTATCGGCAACTTAATTCAATGTTACTAGGTATTTATTATACCTGGTATGTACCTTGTTGTAGTAATAGGTAGTGTACCTAGTAAGAAGGAGTGACAGAATCAAGAATACATATATATGTAAGACACACTGGTATTTAAACTTATTATCCTTTAACTAAGCCTTTTACCTTTCAGGTGGATTTGCAAAATCGTATGATTGATATCATGCCCTGAACGGAAGCCGGCCTCGCTACCCACCTAACCTAGTGCTGTACCTAATTATGGTTCCATACATTATCGGCATCGCGCGGGATACATATTACTGTTAATTATAATTTTCTTTTAATTTTGTTCTTATTCATCACCATCTGAAGGAGTTCCACTTATCCCAGCTTACGGATTCTTTGCCCATGCAATGCCCTATTATACTACTACTACTACTCCAGGGCTGCTGGCTCTCTCTGTCTCTGCCTCACATACCCATCTCAAGTTTCACTCAATAGGATGTAGGTAGTTAAGACAATGATTCATAAAACCGGTGCAGAAAGCAGAAAGCAGAAAGAATCGGATGCCGGGTACTTCCATTGAGCCTATCTCATAATCGTAGCTCGCCAGTACCTAGAGAGATGCAAAGCGCAATCAAGTAAAACTCCAACCGCCTTGATGAACCATGACCTGGAGAACCCATTTTACTCCTTCGTCTTCTGGGTACCACGTAGCAGACCCGTCCGTCTCGCCGCAATGAGACCCGCCTTTTGACCTTGTGCTGCGTATCGGGAGATTGTCGAGGCTTTACCGATATGTTGATGGTTACCCTATAGTGAATCCATGTTAGCATCCGCAATCTTCTTCTGCAAAGTCCACAAGAGTCAATTCTACTTACACCACCGTGGGGATGGTCGACGGGGTTCATGGCAACACCACGAGTCTTGGGCCAGCTGTTGCGCTTGACGGCGAACTTATGCTTAGCACGCGAAGCCTTGAGGAGAGGCTTGTCAGTTCGGCCACCACCGGCAACGATACCGATCATTCCTCGGGAGCTACCGCTGACGACCTTCTTGGCGCCTGAGGGGAGCTTGATACGGGTCTTGCCCTCGTCAGGGTTGTGGCCGACAACGGTGATGTAGTTGCCGGAAGTACGGGCTAGGGTTCCTCGGTCACCGACCTTCTCCTCGACGTTGGAGACAACGGTACCTTCGGGCATAGAGGAGAGAGGTAGAACGTTTCCGACGGTAAGAGCGGCGTTCTTGCCGGCGTAGATGAATTGACCGGTGTACATGCCCTCGTTTGCGATGAAGGTCTCGGTGATCTGCTTGAACTTGTAGGGAGATCGGAAGACAACACGAGCGAGAGGAGCACCACGACCGGGGTCGTGGATGATCTCCTTGATTACACCTCGAACATATCCGTGGCGCTCAGCGAAGTCGAGAGAGCGGAACTTGGCCGGAGCCTTTCGTAGGCGGGTGGTGGCGGCTAAAGAAGGAAAATTGTGAGTTCAAAAGGTTCAATTGCACTTGAGGTATGGAGGGTGTCGCTGGGAATCGGTGCGATTGTTTGTTCGTTTGTAATGGAGAGTTGTTGTTGGCGAAGGCGAAGCGAAGAGCGAATACTTACTGAAGATACCACCGTGACCCTTTCTCTGGTTACGAATCTGTTGATTGCGAATAATTAGTAAATGGCAACTTGAAGGAAGAATTAACTGTTAATATAACTTAAACATACCACGCGACCCATCTTGATGGTCTATTTGTGCGTAATTCGAAATGTTGAAGGAGAAATGATGTTTTGGGTAATTGAAGAAATTTAGAAAAAGTGACCGAAATTAGAGACCCGACAATTTTCCCTTGGATGTTAGAACATTGAAGATTGTGGGTTGGAGCCTCCACAACTTGACCCTAATCGCTTGTACATGGTACGTATCTTTTTTTTTTTTTTTCGTACTAGTTAGTTATGCCATATCTTTTCTTTTTTTCCCCACGGTGCAGGTTGGAGGTGGTCCAAGCTTATGAATTCAATTCAGTACAGTATGTACAATTAGTTAGGTAGATAAAGGTAACTAATAGATAAGATAAGATACCCCAAAAAAGAAACGCGCTAAATCCCTGTGTCAATTGGGCCAACTTCGCGCTTCTTAACTTTTTAACGCAACATCAATGCTTGCTCCTACTTCAACATTCAAACTACCACTATTGAAGTTGCCTACCTCTACTCACTCATTCCAAACTTCATCCATCACCGCATCACCGCATCACCGCATCACCGCATCACCGCATCACCCCACCACCTTCACTAATATTATTCCTACCTACCCTAGGTAGGTACCTACTAGGTGACCGCTCGCAAAGCATTTTAACCTATAAATATTCCCCTCCGTACCCTACCCGGTATCAATTCAATAATTAAACTTGAACGATATCCGACAATTAATTCCTGATTTCCGTTTGCCAATTCATTCTTCATCCTCCATTTTCTTTACCGCGCCATCACAACGAACCGCGACAATGGCGCAAAAACAACACGCTACCGAATTCGAGAAGATCATCAATGCCGGTATGTTAATTATCATCTACAGAATAAACATAGTTAGTATCAAGCTAATCATATCATTCAACTTGATCAGGTCGTGAGCGCAAGAAGAATGAAGCACTTGCTGCACGTATCTTCAAGCGAGACAATCCGCGCCGACAGAGCGCCCCCGCTGCCGGCTCATTAGCAAGCCGAGTTGGTGTTAAGAAGGTATGGCCGTCCCCTCTCTACCTAACCTTAACAATTACAATTCTGTTTGACGAGATTCTCCTTGTTGTTCGAACCCTCATGGCTAATACTTCAGCTATTTCAGGCACCCAACAAGCGACTATCGTCGGCGGCGCGTGTTCCAACTAGCAACATCAATGGCGAATGGACTCATGACCTCCATTCTAACGCACCTGCCAGACGTGGCAACCAACGTTCAGATCCCAACTCGCTCGCAGCGCGAATTCATGCTCCAGGCACCACCTTACCTACCGTACGCAACGCCCGCCCCGCTCGTACTGCCAAACTTGCAAATGCCTTCGAGCGCAGCAATGCATCTGCTGCTCTGCAACAACAGGTGAATATGCGACGACCAGTGCAGCCAGCAGGCCAAGGCATAACAATCCGAGGCCTAGCAGGTCCATTCGTCGTCATGGCACAAAACTTTGCGCCAGGTACAACGGCTGCCGATATCGAGAGCGCTGTAACCCCAGTTGGCGGTGTTGCTACCGCTTGCCGACTAGTCAAGACGCACCCAATTGTGATTGCTGAGATCGTCTTCGAGAGTAAAGAGAGCGCTGATCAAGTCATCCAGACCTTCAACAACCAGACCGTGAGTCCTCTCCTTAATGTTACCCCCCCCCCCCCCCCTCCAACTCATTACAGCAATCTAATTATCCCCATAGGCTGATGGAAGAACGCTGCACGTATACTTGAAGCCCGCTGGCCCCTACAGGCCCGCTCCACCTACAGGTCCCCGCGCCGATCGCCACATCGAGACTCGACCTGGTAGCAACAGCGTCGTACTTGACGGCTCGATGGGATTTGGTGACGCGATGGATACGGATACGGCTGACCCCAGCTACTCGAACGGAGGCCTCTACAGTGATAACATGGTACCTCCAACCCAATCCAACGGTACAAGCGGACGCAATGGTAACCGCCGGGGTAGAGGCTTCCGATCTGGACGATAGGAGACCCAGATTGAGGCCAATACTAGCACAACTACATACCAAGGAGACGATACCCCCCAACCCTTTGAGGATTTATACCCAGATCATTACCACCCACCTTACATTACTCGTTGTCAGTATTGTGGGAGTCATATTTGACCCAAGTAACCCAGAAAGATGCGACTCTGGCATTAGCGAGAGTGCACGATATACAACGAAGGAACGACCAAACGAGAAATTAAGAAGTTAAAAAGTCTTACATACTCGCATCCATGCGTCTAAGAAAAGGGAAACTTCTCATTGACGCATAGGCCCACAAGAAGAAGGAAGCTAAGCATGTAGCATCTTCCCCATTGCTCCTATATAAAGGAGGATATGGGGGGAAGATGTAGGCATGATGCAGAAAGCATGCATATGTTTTTCTTTTGCCGGGGTTTCTTTTTTAATACCTGTACCAATACCAACCAATCGCCTAGCCTACCTAGGGTATTATACGTCCCGTACGTCTGTTACCTAGTACCATCCTATTGGAGCATACTAGAAGACATTGGAGGACAGATAAATGGAGATAAAGGGATAGTTCATGCAACACTTGGAACTGGGAAGTGTCATAAAGATAACCTGGGTATCTTAGCTACCTACGTATCTAGGATTGAGATGGACTTGGGCTTCCAGACTAATAATAACGAGAGAAACCAAAATTTGAACTGGACTGGACTGGACTGGACTGGACTGGACTGGACGTGTGCACTGTACCTAGTAAAATGTGAACAAGGTACCTATCTGCCTGCCTACCTAGGAGTGCCTACCGTATGAATCACTCTTCTGTCCGACTCTTTTGTGAAATGAAAACGGTAAAGCTTCAAACGATAATAATAGGCACGTAGGTATTTACGCCTATCTGCCAACGTATAAGTTACTAAATAACAGCCCCCCAAAAGGAATGAAGTGCCAGGCAATCCTAAGCACATAGCAGGTAGGTAGCCACGTATGTAGGTCTATGATAGGCAGGTAAACAACACACCAACACACCAACCAACGCAAACCACCACGTACATACCTACCTAGATATCGCCCACTGGTCAAAACTACAAACAACAACAATCACATTTCAAAAAGCACGTTTACCAGCAAACCCACAATATTGCCGTCCGTAATGCGCCGAACTTTGCATTTTCTCACTAATCTGATGATCTGATATGTACTTGCTTGAAAACCAGGTCTACGAAACCTGAATTCCCTAACCCTAGGTATGCACCTTGCGTTGATACGTAGATGGCAGGTGGCAGGTAGTAGGTAGATATCTCTACCCTCCCTTACCCCACAACCCCATGTTTGCTTGCCCCTCCCCTTTAACTCAGATGTGGTGATCCTTGAACGAAGCAAGTAGGTCGTAGCCGTGTCGTGTCGTGTCGTCTTATGTCATGTAGCCTCATTTCGTCTTGTCTCGTCCGCCCATCATACGTAAATAATAAGTGGGAATGGGCACGTACACTAGACCACGCGCCACGCCGTGCAACTCTTCTTGCTCGATACCACCACCTTCGCTCCCTTAGTCCTGCGCGTATAAAAATATGAATAGAACAAAGAAAAAGCAGCAACCGCCGTCGCTATTTCGCGGACGCTTCCTCCCTTTACACATGGCCAGTTTTCGAACTTTGGGATGCGATGCGTGTATTTCGTCGTGTTCTCGGATCGGCCCAAGCCTTTCGTCGGACATGCCTACCCATCTTGGTCGATAGGAAACGGATTTGCGTGGGAAACCCACCAGATAGGGCATCGAGTTCTCCCCGAGAGTTTTCGCGCCCTTCTAAGGCGCTGTAGGGGTAAAGTCTCCCCTTATCAGAGTCAAAGAGTCCGTAGCGGCACGGCGTACCGCATCCTCGCGCGGGAGGCCGACCTGTGAATGGTGTCAGAGCCGAAGCAACTTCCAGATGCCCACTCCTAATACCCTATGTAGCATCATGTGCGCCTCAGATATCATCAGTTTCGAACCGCGTTGTGCAGCGAAGAGCAAGAAAGGAAGCTTTGTGGGCAATCTAGGTTGAACCCTATGTCCTGTGGGTATCATACACATTTGCAAAAAAAAAAAAAAAAAGTTGGCGCTGTTTAGCTAGCTAGCGAAAAACCAATGCAGCACTCGAGCTGAGCTTCGGTGGCAATGCCATAGTGAGTGACACAGCTGGGACGTTGAAGTTGATGCCTGGGTCGGGAATCATCATCCAGCTAGAAGCTGACCTCGAGCTGAGCCCGATACATGCGGACCGCTATTCCCAAGATGCTTTCGCATACGACATCCTCTATCATGCCCACGGGTTTTGATTTTGACCGTTGCCTCCCATGAATCCTTCTTCGAGTGTCCTCTCTTCCAAGTTGCGGATGAAGTCCCGATTACCCCTGGTACCTCCTCTCTGAGCCCTGCTGTCTCTCCTCCCAGCCACTCTACCTGCTCCAGGATCTGTTAGGCCCATACCGTCAGCAGGAGGAGGATAGTATGCCGGGCTTGGTTGCAGTCTAATGGGTTGGCTCGGATCAAGGTGGCTGGCTACTCTCTGTATAGCCGCAGGTATACCACTCTGCTGTTGATCCATAGTCGATGCACGTTGACGACCCGCCCGAACCGTAGCTTGCTGGTATAGGTTCGGTTGCGGGACGGCTCCGTAACTCGTAGGTGGCATCTGCGCAGGTGCTTGATTTATAACCATCTGACCGTAGGGTGATTGCTGAGCAGCGTATGGCGGCGGCGCACCGGCATGGCTACCTCCAGGAGTGTATATGCCATTGCCCTGGTACAGTGAGGCTTGTGCATGTGGGGCAGGAGGGTATTGAGTCGCCTGCATCCCGTAGGCTCCTTGAGCGGCTGCTTGCGCTTGAGCCTGCGCTTGCTGTGCTCTTTGCTTGCTGAGTTCGGCAGCTTGCTGTTGCTGCTGAGTTCCGGGTGCCGGAGACCGGTTGAGGGAGCTAGCTTTCAAATTCATCGGCGGCACGAAAGGACCGGTATACTTTTGTTGCGTGATAAACGGATGGAGCTTCGCCTGTTGTGGAGACCATCTCTCCAGGGGACTGATGGTTAACAAACCTCGCACGAAATCGATGAACGCAATACGATTATTCATTTCTAGATGCACAGTTAGCTAAGCAGGATTGAATAAAATGGGGATATGCAGAAGAATTCCTACCTCGATCAATCTCGCTCTGCTTCATATTCTTCCGTGGCATCGGGTATGACTTGATAATCTCCGGAAGCGTACTCGCTTGAAAGTACTTCTTACTAGGTTGTTCTTTCGTTCCGCGCTCACGCGAGTACTGTTCCATGCTCTTGAGATGATACGTTTTGCGGCCGAACTCGTCTTGCCTCTTTTCGAAGAAATCGCCAGCTTGCTTGCCAACTTCGATCATCCAGTTCGGTGGGTTACCGAGCATTTCGACTATTCTTGAAACCTGGTTGTACTCGGATGAACCGGGGAACAGTGGCAATCCCAGGAAGAGCTCGACTACGATACAGCCGAGGGACCACATGTCGATTGCCGAAGAATATGGAAGACCTAATAATACTTCGGGTGACCGATAGAATCGAGACTGGATGTACGTGTACACCGTCTGCCGCTCATCACAAGCCGAGCCAAAATCGATAATCTTGATGATCGGGCTCTCAAGGTTCTTGAGCAATATGTTCTCGGGTTTCAAGTCGCAATGTATTAGTCGCGCCTTGTTGAGAAGAGCAAGGCCATTGAGGAGCTGCTGTGCAAAAACTCGCACGAGTGTCGTACTGAGACCTCGGAACTGGTTCTGTTTAATGAGCTCGTAAAGATTTACACTCAAAAGTTCGAATACTAAGCAAAGATGCTGTCGGTGGATAAACGTGTCTTTAAGACGCAATAAATGATGGTCATCGTTCTTGTCAAGTTTCGTATTTAACTACCAAATTGTTAGCCGAGAGGGAAAGGAAGCTTCGTGACTTTATGTTTGATCCTCACCAAGTCCAGTACAGAAACTTCCATCATGCTTTGGTTGAAGTACGCCGTCCTGTTTTTGATGACCTTGACGGCGACGACCTCCTGAGTTTTCAAGTTTTGGCACTTGACGACCTGGCCAAAGGTGCCTTGTCCAAGAACATCCAAAATGAGATATCGATTCCTATAAAGATGTTTAGCATAGTTGAAGAGATAATAGTCAAATGTGGAACGCACTTATGTCCAGCTTCTTCCGAGCCAAGAATGTCGTTGACGTATAAGATATAGTCGCTATCGTCATTGTCGTACCCATCATTCTTAGTCCCTTTGCTTGGTTTAGTCAGCACCCGACGAGGATTGCGGGAGGACTCGTATTTGAAGTTGGGGTTGCATATGCGATATGTCGCAGGCAAATGAACCGTGAGGGCTTGAAGTGGCTACAAAAAAATATGATTAGAACCGACACGGCTGGGTAAATACTTGATAGCATTGTCTTCATACACTTATGAAACCTCCTTCTGGGTTTGCGCGACGGAACGCCGGCTGGGAATTGACCTTAGGCCGTAAATCCGTTACAGCCCCGAGCTTCTTAAATTGAGGCACTGGCTTTTTCTCAACAGGTATGTTCACAGTAGGTTGAAGCGTCCTCCGAGGTGATTTGGGGTCATTAGCATAGGTTCCGTCCAATGGAGTCACGGCAGAAGAAGGGTAGTTTTCCTGAGAATTGACGTAGGGCGTAATGGGAGGGAGCTGCGAGGTTTGTCGGCCGTAGTAAGGGCTCTGAGACGGGTAGTCCGCTCTAGTAGGCGATTGGCGTTGACTGAGCGCTGCTGCAAATTGGGCCTGATTCGCCGCCGACTTGGATCCATATGAGGATGCTGGTGACAGTACTTCCATAGGCGAATATCGTTGGGCAGCGGCCGATGGTTCGGAAGGTGAGTGAAGGCCCGCAGCGCGGCCGCCGGAAATGTGCGACTGGTGATGAGGGCGCATGGGGTATTTCATAGCGCTATAAGGGTCATGGGCGTCCTGCATAGGAACGTCGCCGTTTCCATCGCGTAACTGCGGGGTGTTGATGGGCGAGGTTGCGCTTTGTTGTGATGAATGCGCACTCAAGCCGCCCTGGTATTGATCATACTTGAAACCAACGGGCGGCTGGACTTGGGGAGGTTGCTGCCCATATTCCCTACCAGGCGTGAGTTGACTACCACCATTATATCTTCGACCGCCGGCGGCGTCGGAATAGCCCTGCCATTGATCCATGGCGTGCGGGCGGTAACGATGAAAGGGGACAACAATTTCAGGAAGTTGTTGTTGAAGATGATAAGGAGGTAATTCGGATAGAGATGAATTGGAGAAATATGATATAGCCAATTCTGGCCAAGAGATTGTTGTCGTCGTTTGGGTCTGGATCAGACGCGCATTAGTAGAGAGGGTGGAGCGAGCAGCAAAGGCTCACAGGGAGGGTGGGCTTGGCTAACCGGTCGACCGTTCAGGTTGCTGCTTGCTGACTTGTTCGAGGTGTTGAACTAGGCAGGACAACAAAAAAAGGTTGGCCGAAAATGGGGAGAGAGGGAAGAAAAAAAAAAGGAACAAGGATGATGAATGGGCGAAAGAGTTCTGGCGGTTGTTGTTATGTACCCAAATGCGATATACGGTAGTCTTAGTACTTGGTACAATGGCCTGGATGCGAGTAGGATTTCTTCTTTTCTTTTTTTTAGGTATTCATGATGATGATGATCGTCAACACAACTTATAAGAGGTTCAGTAGATATGATTCTACTTCCACCGTTCCTTTCCTTTCTTCTCTTCTAAATGAGGATGTGTGTGAGAAAAAGGGAGAGAGAGGAACGAAGAAAGAAAGAAAAAAAAAAAGAAAAAAAAGAGGAGAGCAGATTAGTTAGACTTGTGTGTCGTGAGGTTTGGAGATTGAATGGCGGGTACGTCAGAGCAGGACAAGAAAAGGTTGTGTGAGAGATTGAAGAAAAGTATTAATGAGGGACACAAGATAAGTTCAGGCATGGGTGACATGGGTTGGCATGGGTGGTAAGTGGTAAATGGTAAATGGTAAGTGCCCAGCGGTAGGTATGCGGTAGGTATGTGGTGACCTGCATCAAGCCCGGGCCAGCATATGTTCACAGTTTGGATGTGCAATGCATAGTACTGGACTACTTCCAGGTTACAATACTAGGGCTATTGGGTTGGGTGGATTGGGTACTAATTATAAGGCACTGAACCACTGGACTTACTTTCTAGGCTGGACGGGCTGGGGAGGGAACTGGAGATGAGGGGGGGAGGCCCAGGCTTAAGTGAGCGCAATACGGCGGGGGGAGGGGAGGGAAGGAGGATCCAGATAGATTGATATGTAACTACATATGGTAGATACAGTGCTACCTAGTATTGAGGTACATTATTACTACTATGTAGGCATTGAACATTCAACTTGAAAGAGGAACCCTTTTTTTTTTTTTACGATTGATCTGATGCTTGAACCATGTAAATATTTTAATGTACCTGGAGATACCCAAGTAGGATACTAGGTACTAACTACTAGGTACCTACATGTAATGTCATGTATCCCCTTGACCGTCGCAAGGCAGCAGAGGCAACAGATTATTATTATTAGAAAAAGATACAGCTAAGCTAATTTCCCTATCGCTCTATATTTTTAATGTCTAATAAAATTTAATTATTTGGTAGGTATATATTTTCTTACCTAACTTTGCGTACGCTATTTGTATCAACAGTATTTAGAAATATATAATGCCATATTATAAAGGATCGCGTCTTTTTTCCTTTAATGTTTAGTATTGAATATGCCTCCTTTTAACCCTCGGCAACAACGTCTTTAAATATTTTTTCCCTTACAAGCTTGACACCAAGATGTATTCTTATTTTTAGCTTGTATGCGATTAATAAAGCTGCCATATAAATTATCCCTTTTAAAGTTTAAAGGTTAGTTTGAACCTTCCAGGTTAATATGCATTTACGTACGAGCCGTAAATGGGAATAGCTTCATCTAGAATAAGATTTATTTTAAGTTTAAGTTAATAGCGTCGGCCAGCTTTGAACGACGATACTGTACCGCGTTTGTATCTAAATGAAATATGGATCAATATATGGGGCTATGGGTATTTGTGGATATAATGGGTTGAAAAAGATGTATCTGTTACTAATAATAGTAATCTGCTGCCTCTGCTGCCTTGCGACGGTTAAGGGGATATCCCCATTTCAACAACATCATCGTTGAACTTGGTACATCCATTTGAAGCAAATCCAGTGCACATGTGTCCAAGACTCCAAGTATTACGTACCTAGACTATGTATCCCACGTTACGTGCATGCAATGTATGTATTGTACATACAGCATTTGACATACATATCATAACATCAATTACTTCAAGCACAGAGTAGGTCAGTTCATACATATCCAGATCTGTCGACGTTACTCCGTACACTTACGATTGAAGGTTTGAATAGCATGTACGTCTTACTATGACCTTGTATGTGATATTGACTGAGATTCTGGTGGATTAGACCCAGGTTTTAGACGTGTAACATATTCCTACGCGAAGCACTTGACAATTGACAAAGCAAGAATACATATATGTCTTTCTCTTCCAACCCAGACAATCAGATGAAAGCATCAATACCATGGTCATTTTTTTTGTTTCGTTGAGCATTGTCAAGCACAACTAACTTCGAAGTTAACTCCGTATCATCGCCGCTCACATCAACTTTATTCGCTGTATTCGCTGTATTCGCATTGATAAGCTTTTATAGTCGGGTCTTACGATAGATACTAGATAGCCTAGAGTCAGCAGAATCAGCGAACGAGCAGGCAAGCAAAGCAATCAAGCAACGCAAGCAACGCAAGCAAGGAGTGGCGACGAGAAAGTCGTGTCAAACCTGAGCGTTCTCATAGGTCCTAACCTTAGTTACATATACCTAGACCCAAATCATCAATCCTTTCCACACTTTGCGTGCCGCATGGTATCGTATAATATTACAATTGATACATGTATACCTATGTAACTAGTATACTTACATCTAACCTAGGTACAATACATTCCTACCTACCTGGGTCACCTACAGGCTACCTGGGTCCTGCATCCTCGGCGATCTGTCTAATATCTAACTTTCCATTAGTACTCTTGTGCCGGTCCGGCCGGTGCCAAGCCCAAAGTATCACTTCACTATAATGTCCCCTAACGGAGTCTAACCTACTATCTTTATCCCCTCTTCTTTGTCACCAGATATGCTTTTTCGTTTCACTATAGAGGTCTGATCTCAATGTTAAAAATCGCAAGTAATTTTTTCCCTTTTTTTTTTCTTCTTCTTCATTCTTAACCCTGGTCCTTTTTAAAGAAGTAAAACTGTGAAAATTGTAGTTGTCCTTTCTCACCAGCTAAAAGTTGGGCATAATCGAAACGTCCGAGCCCAAATGACGCCAGATGAACATGGGGGAATCAGGGGGATCAATTTTCGTCATTTAGCCGGGGGTTGTCACATTTTCTCAGCTCAGGACAAAATGGATATCAAAGTCAAATTCATTTTTTTCTGTCCCTGACTCCCTCTAGAGTTTTCGTTACTCTAGCCCGATCCATTTCGAGCTTTTAAGCTTATCTAACACAGCACACACATACACATACACATACACATACACCATGATTAATATCATCGATCATTAGTATGTTCAATCGCTCAAGTTGTTAATGTTGCAGAAGCCACAAACGCCACAGGGTCTCTTGTCTAAAACGGTAACTTTAGGTATTATTGAACTTCAAGTATCCAATGTTTACCTAGTAATAGTAGGTACCCAGGCATATATATATATATATATATACATATGTATACCTTAGCACCTCCATAATTATTTCGTGGTATTTGCGTAGATATATTGAGTATGGCATTGGAAGCCTTCATGAAAACAAGAGGCATTTACTCATGATCACCATGATTATGATACTTTGAACTTAACTTCTTCATCATTTTCTTAATCCATGAGTTCTACTAACTGGTTACCACCAAAACCAGTCCGTTCGACTTGGGACTACATACATCATCCATTGTTACTCCCTTTGGAGTACGAAGCGTTACACCACCTTCGTTGCCTCGTCTTATTTTCACCTTAATCTGGGAAAAGGGAGATTCGTGTGTTCTTCCTCATGGACCATCAGGAAGCCTGCTCTAACGGCCCTTTTTGGGGGGAAAGAAAAGGGAGTGGGGAGGAGAGGGATAGGGGAAAGGGGGGGTTGCGTTAAAGTGAAAAATAGAGTAGGTAGTGCCGTAACTTCGTCAAGCTCAACGGTGGAGAAAAACATGTCGCCGTGGCTGATATCAATAATGCTTCAAGGTATCAAAAGAAGATTTTAAGGAAATGCCAGAAACTTTTTCTTTGCAGAACAATTCCCAACGATAAGCAAGCACTCGATATTTTTCAAGAATCCGAGCTAGGAAAAAATCACAACCACGAGAGCCAGCAACAAGAGAAGAGCAAAAAATAAGGAAGACGGAGGAAGAAGAAAAACTGGAATGCATCGATCTAAAGAGAAAAATTCCAGATGGTACAGTTCCATCAGAACACATTGGGAGGTCCACCCTCATATGTGCGTGCGACTACCGAACGAGCAACCAAAACGGAGACAAATACTGCCAGTGTGCACATCCGAAGAGCCTCCATTTCAATCAGATGCCCCGCTGAAGAAAATCGACATTCCCTACATACATTAACCCTGGTATCCAGGGTATCCACTGTTGAAGCTCTGGGTTGGGGGCGGCTGTGTCCACGGCTGGTTAGGTGGCTGCTGGCCACGACCGTAGCCACCGGCGCTCGGTGGTCCGCCGTAGCCCATGGGTTGAGCACCATAGCCCGCAGGAGACTGTGCCGGAGGACCGCCGTAAGCCTGTTGCTGACCACCATACTGACCTGTATATGTATTAACACCACCGCTCAGACAGGACAAATAATCTAGGAAAACTCACCCCCATACTGTGGGAAGAAAGTGGAGGGCGTACCTGGGTACGCAGTTGCCTGGGCGCTCTGAGGGCTGAATGCCTGCTGCGACGGATCGAAAGCACCACCACCCTGAGGAGTAGGGGTCTTGTCCTTGCCCCACTGTAATATCATGTTAATGTTGTTCTTCTGGTAGACTTCAGGGGTTCAACTTACGCTGCATTTGAGAGGTCTGCCGTTAACATTGTACCCGTTCAACTGGCAAATAGCCATAGCAGCATTCTCATGGGTGTCCATCTTGATGAACGCAAAACCTCTGTCGGCTTGGAAGCGTGACTCAGTGACGTAACCGAAATTCTGGAAAAGAGGAACCACGTCGTTCTGGTTTGTGTACGGAGTCAGGTTGCCAACATAGCAAGTCGTCTGCCAGGCGGGAGTTTGGTTGACGATCATGTCGTAGCTCTGGATCCCATGGGTCGGGAAATGGTGGTGACCATAGGGTGTAGTAGGCGTCATGCCCATAGCTTGCATCGCCTGCTGTTGCGCCATCGAAGGCTGCCCCTTTTGGTTGGCCCAATTGCATCGAATTGCACGAGACCCTAGCCACTCCCCGTCCATCGAGCTCAACGCCTTTTCGGCATCGGCTCGGTCTCGGAACGCCACGAAACCATACCCACGAGATCGGCCTGTTTTCATATCCCACATGACACGAGCTTCCGAGATGGTTCCAAAGGCGGAGAAGGCCTGCAAAAGGACCTCGTCATTCACTTCGTTGGATAGATCGCCAACGAATATATGGAAGTGACCGGACGTGTCTTCCTTGTTGGAGGTGTTAGATTGATAGGCCCAGTTAACTCGAATTTCCTACAATCCCAGTTAGCCATGGATTTGCGTTAGTATGGGAGAGCAGTCTCACAGCTTGGTGCACACGTCGTCCATTCAATGTTTGCATAGCACGCTCAGCTGCACCGGGGTCATCATATTCGACGAACCCGTAATTGTAACCCTTTTGCTGTTCCGCGGTTAGCGTATTCATTAATAATTCATGGATCTATGATCCCAGAGCAATCATATTTGAGTAGGTCTCAAGGTGATCTTACATTTTTGTCGGGGATTATCTTCACGTTCTGGACATGACCAGTGGTTTCGAAAATCTGGCGCAGCACATCTTCAGTGACACGAGGATCAAGACCGCCAACGTAGAGAGCACGCTTGTTCGGTTCGGGTGCAGCACGGCGCGTAAAGGGGCCACCACTGGTAGGAGACATGACATTGTTCTTGTCAACGGCCGACATTGGAGAGGTGATGGCGGTAGGAATGGGGTTGGTGTTCGGCGGGATGTGGAGAGGAGGCGGCGGCATGTGCGCGGGATTAGCGTTGCCATTCTGGTTATCGAAACCAGGCGCGCCAGCGTTAGGCTGCGGCGGCGGGGGAAGCTGAGAAGGTGCGGAAGTATCTGCCATTGTGAGCGGGTTGATGGCTTCGCGAGTACGATTTTGCTTTGGTGGTTGTTGATAGTGAGTGCTTGTCGTGTCTAAGGTTAAATGTGTAATTGTCGCGCAAAATTGAATTGTTTTTTTAGAAGAACAATAAAATTAAGCAGGCGAGAAAAAAAAAGGTAACCAGTTCGACTTGCGAAAAAAAGAGGGGTGCAGCCGTATCTGAAAATTAGTCGCAAGGGTCCAATATCTTGCCTTGGAGAAGTTGTCGTAGCTTTCGTTCGGGTCGTGGACAAAAAGTTGAGGATAGAAGTGGGGTACGTGAGAAAGGGTTGATCCGGTCCTATTGTTTCCCAGCCTGGCGGTTTTCCTTTTATTTTATTTTTTTTTTGTAAAAATCGAACTCAATGCAAATTGGTTGCTCACAATCGCGCGCTCGTTGTCGGCGAGGTCTATCGGTATCGGTATTGGTATTTTGCAAATAGCAAGACGTAAATGCGCAATGACGATTAAGAGACGTTAAGGACGCAAGCTCAAATAGAAGAAGATGGTTATCTCAAATAGAACTTATTCGAGAATATGGACGAGAGATAATAGGACGCCGATACAATGCGATTCTAGTCGAGGACGCGCAGGGCAAAGCTCTTTACAACCTAAGGACCTAAGGACGATATGGGCCACCGAAGGGAAGAGACCACTAGCAACAAGTGACGAGTGACGAGTGACGAGTGACAAGCGACGTTTACTTTTTGCTGTCGGTAGGGTGTAGGTTGCAGGGGGAGCAGGGACATAAGAATATGCAGCTGCAACACGCACTTTAATCAACCGGCGACAGTGGGAAAAAAGTACAAAAAGTGAACCTTGACCGAGGAGGAAAAAAGACGACTACGACGACAAGGACGACGAGGGGACGGTGACGACGATACAAGAGACGAGAGACGAGAGACGAGACGAGACGAGATGAGACGAGACGACAACAAAGATAAGAGGGAAGAGAGGAAAAAAAAGGAAACTGCCTTAAAAGGAGGAGTCCCCCGATTTTCAACACACGGCACCGACGATACGTGAAGATTAATCTGCACACGATACAGGAAGATGGGAGGAGGGAAAGGAAAAGCAAACGGGGACTAAGCAAGATGCGGCGTGTGGGATTGGGTTTTTTTCAGAACAAGAGTTTGATGGGTACCTTGGGTCGGTGGAGAAGCCTTGACAAAATTTGTGGGGATAATCCAGGTGCTTCCCGTCTCGCAGCTACCTTACCTACTACCTAGGTAGTTAGTCACTTATAGTGAAGTTAAGTATGGGATAGATTCATTATGTAATGCCCTATGCCATGTAAGTATGTAGTTATTGTACTACTACCTACCTAGTAGTAGTACCTACGACGTACATTGTGATATAGTTAGGTACAAGTACATAAATATACATATTCCCTCACCTAATATGTACTAGGTAATTCAACTCTTCGATATATGTTCAATGTGAATATTATATAGCTCATATCATAGTATGCTACAAAGTGATTATGTGATGGGATCATGTCGTCTAGATGGTTTACAGCTTCTTATAGGCGGTAGCTCTAAATTGCAGGGCTACCTACGATGCATGCAACATGCAATAACAAGTGGATTGTACCATTGACGAAACACATAATGCCATTCAATTCAATGTTGGCCAAAGAAACTTCCGTTAGTATCTACCTACCTAGGTACATAACTACTAGGTATGTAGATACAATGATGTAAGTATGTACATATGTAGGTACTAAGTAATTATGTATATAAGCTGATTTCTTCATCTGTTCATCTCATGAACTTGATAGACTTCTTGATCGTTAACAACATGAAGATACATATGCAGGATTTAAGTTTCAGGGTCGTTCTAGCATTTTAGAGTCTGCCTAACTTGAATATACCTAGTCCCTACCTACCTAGTACATATGTACACAGTAGCACCTAGGAACAATGGAACATTGAAGTCAGCTAGCGACACAGTGGGGATTACATAGTTTGTAGGCCATAACCTTAATTTATGTGGGTACAGAATTGGTTACTACAAACTAGAAATGTCCCAAATCAAAATGTCAGAACGACATTCACACATTCACACTTTCAGTCTTTCTTCACAATAAAATATGAACGCCAACACACACATCCACATTTGGAAACTACTTGGTATCTATATATGAATTTTGAATAACCCACTGTGAAATTTTCGCATTTTTCGTACAAGAGAACGCCGAATGCAATGGCAGCCTCAAAGCCTCAAGATCCCCTACAAATCTTGGACCAGATGTTCAACGAAGTTGTAAGTGGTTTATACCTACATCGGCTATCAAATAGTATACCTAGCTAACCAAGTTATATCTATAGCTGGTACAAACTGGAAAGCATCTGAGAGCAACTACCAAGGATCGCCAGAATAACACGCCCGGCGCAAACAGCGCTATCCGCGCCAACACGTCAGAATCGTTGACTACTTATCAGTATGCTCTAGACGATCTCGAGAGTGAGATAGTATGTCTTAATCGCATTACAAATCTCATACGCTTAAGGCTAATTTCAGCTGTAGATAAGGGCTAAGTCCGTCATACTCCGAGATCTAGAGAAACTGCGCGCTTCGCGTGTTCCTATTCCGGCCCCGGTCCCGGCTCCGGCTCCTCAGCTTATGGCACCACCGGCGCCTATGATGGAACTGCCGTCTTCTGCTGCTCATACCATGAGCTCACCAGCTTTTGTACTCAAGGAGACGAAGACAGCTGCCCCGTTCCCCGACATGGGCATGGGCATGGGCATGAGTATGGGTATGGGTACGCCTATGGGCATGAACATGTCTACCGGCATAGTTGACCTAGCTTCGAGTGAGAAAAAGAAGCCATCACCACGAGTTCCCAGTGGTGTTATCAGACCTCCAGCCAAGTCGACTCCTCCTGTTAAGAGCGAAGTAAAACCTTCCCCAAAGCAAACATTCAAGCCAACGCCAAAGATCAGCCAACCTCCCAAAGTGACCCCAGTCCCCCCGCCGCAGATCCCTCGACTCCAGCCCCCTCAACCCGCTACTATAGGGCCAGGGGCCAACCCCCAGTCTCAACCGACCGCACCTAACGTACATCACAATAGACCGCCTCAGACTGCATCAGCCGCACAGGCAGCCCAGACAACCCAGGGCGCCTCTCTCAACGCCATGTCAATGCCGGCTAATGCTGTAGAAGCCAATCCTAACGCGGTGGGAGGGAGGAACTCACTGGGCTTCACAGACATGCAATTCTCTCTTGCCCCTTCAAATACGGAGACCACAGGTGCGCCTCCAGCTCCAATGCCCGAGTTTGATCTGGCGAAGTTCGCACCTCAAGATAAGAGCAGCAAGGTTCCCCCCAACAACTCTAAGCCCAGCAATGCAGCAGCAAGCAGCCAGAATACGACTGGAGCATCACAGCCGCCACCAAAGGAACAAGGCAAGAATGACTCAAACCTTGATGACCTTTTTAACCTAGGTGATAGTGGTGCTGGCGATAACATGTTTGATCTAGGGGGTGGTGGTATCAATGATAGCACGTTCGATGACATGATGTATTTTGATAACAACGACACGGACATGGCGCAGTTTGACGAGGCATACTTCCTCCAAGAGTAGGATAGGTAAATTACAGACTTTGCTAATACCCCGAGACGAAGGGTGATATTTTAAAATGGTGGAAGGTAAATGGATAGATATGTAGCAAGCATATTCTGGCGTCACTACACCAGATGCTCAGACAAGCAGTCATTATCATCATGGATACATCAACCTTGGAAGCTTCTAGAATCATATAAAGACACGAAGAAGTTGTCAAGGTCTCAATAAGATGTTCGCCTTGTAAACATGCTAGTACTCGACTCGAGTAGTCTAAAATAACATATTCAATATTTGTAACAGACGTGTTTCCGGTGCCTCATTATCTACTTATACACTCTTGGCTAAAAGAAAACATCTATTACTATGGTAATTCATGAAGGTGCAATGGGGGTGGAGTGTGCTGAATAGGAGAGAATGATGTATCATCAACAGGGTTTAGGTAGAATGAGAAAATGATGATGAAGCCATATCATATTCAGGAGGAGTAGAAAGGACGATGGAAAAATAATTGAAAAAAAATAATAAAAAGAAAAGAATAATGGAAAAAATGACAAAAAGCTCAGGCTCAGGTTCTATCCGAGGCAGTTGACCTGAACAATCAGCCAAATTGCCGCCATGCCTCGGAATCGAACCCTCGCCTTACGAAAACCCCCCCTTCGAGAAAGAGGGATTTTCATGGTCCTGTCAGGTCTCATACCACTGCGCCAAGTGGCGATTGACACTGCTGTATGAAATCGGGGTTGTAAGGCATCACATTTTTAAGCTATTTAAGCTTTACTCGGGGGGGCAGGGTGGGTAAATAGGTGGGTGGGTGACGACGGTGAGGTTTGGTATGGCTGCCTGGGTGCCTGGGTGCCTAGGTACCTATGTACATACCTACCTAGTACCTAGTAGTACACACTACCTTAGGTACCTAGTACCCAGTGCCCATGAATGCCTCTACAGCTAGCAGGACTTTAGTCGAAGCCATTACCTACCCGGGCATATCTTTTTCGATATATGGACTGATACATGCTACCCAAAGACATCATACCTACATAGAGAGAGTTTTTGTCTGTATGTACAAAATGTACCTAGTATTATGGTGTCTTATAACTACTATATACCTAAACTAAGTAACATATATCGACTCATAAATAGCTAACACAGAAGTCGTAACAATCGTATACAAGAAAAATAGGGGTATCAAAACCACCCAAACCAACTTCGACCATACCTGGACTTGGAAATATCCAACACGACCCTCCATACTACAAACCCTTTAACCACTCCCTCATATATACACGTCGAAACAACCAAACCCGCATACACATACACATATATGCTCAAGGCCCCTGGGTAACCTTGAACATATCTGCCAGCAACTCCGGCACCTTCGCATTCCTCAAGTTCTTCCAATCATTATCGAGCAGCCCCCAGCTCTCCTCCGCATCCACCGTGCCCTGGCGTAGATAATACGAGCCCTGGACCGCCCAAAGCGACCACTCGCCATCATTACCCGTAACATAATCTCTCAGGCACTGGAAGTAGCTGTTATCATCATCCGACAGCCCATCGTTCGGGCCCCCCGTCATCCCAAACCCGAACTCCGACAGGATCAGCGGCGCGGTGTAGTCCCTGCCCTGCTCGAGCACGAACCCGTCGAACAGGCCGTACGCCTGCTTCAAGAGATCGCAGTTCCCCTTGACGGCGGCGAAGGTGACGGTGAACGAGTACGCGTGCCACTCCCAGACGTGCTTCCCCTGCCACGCGGACCAGTCGATGTTGCGGTTCGCGCGGATGTGCGTGAGGTCCGTCGACGACTGCGTGCCGCCCATGACGACCAGCAGCTCCGGGTTCGCCGCGTGCACGCGCGTCGCCGCCTGCGTCATGAAGTTGTACCAGTCCTCGCGCCCGTTGGCGCCCTGTAGCAGCCACTCGCGCACCTCGTTGCGCAGGCCCATGCCGATGACGCCGGGTTGCGAGACGGACCACGAGGCGATTTTCTCGAGGCCGGAGAGCCAGTCTTGGGTCTTGAAGAACCGGCTGTTCATGTCGTTGTACCCGAAGCCTTCGTCCCACCAGCCGTTGCCGTCGTCGATGTTGCCTGTTTATTGTACATACTTCTTGTCAGTTACACATACACATGGCTTATGGTTTGCCGGTTACTTTAGTTGGGCTTGTTACGAGCTAGGAGGTTTTGGGAAAACAAAAAGGAAAAGAAGAAAAGGGGGGAGGGGTAACTCACAGCACCAGCTGGCCTTGCTAACATGATTATCCAGAATCGTCATGACGCCCCTCTTCCAAAGCGCCGCAATGACCGCCTCAAAGACGCCCCGCGTCGTCGCATCACCCACGAACGGGTTCTTCTCCGCGACCTGAGCGTATACACCGTTCAGATCATCGACGCTGACGTCTGCGGACTGGGCGGCGGCCACGAAGGAGTCGGCGACCTTGACGTCCGGGTTCAGCGCGTGGTCGATCGAGTACGTCAGGCGCACGCAGTTGAAGCCCTGCTGCGCGATGAAGTCGGCGATGTAGTCGACCGACTGCTTGTGCAGGCCCTCGGGCAGGTTCGCTTCTTGGTGGCCCGCCCAGTTGACGCACCGCAGCTTCACGCGCTTGCCGTCCGCGTCGACGATCCAGCGGGAGGTGGTGGAGAGGGGCAGTTTTTGCGAGGATACGAAGGCGGCGGGGAGCACGACGGTGCTGAGGACCGTGAGGAGCGGGAGGAGCCTCATGATGAGGTAGGTAGGGATCTATAGAGAAGGTAATGTACAGTCGTATCTGTGTGGATATAGTATATAATATATACAGAAGAAGAAGAAAGAGCTCAAGCGTTAAGTCGAGACTGGCTCTAAGCTGGCTCGGATAGCTTCACAACAAGATGTAAGAGGACGACGTCGTGTAAAAGACTGGTTAAGTAATCCAATGAGGATCACAGTGAAGCAACAAGTGAGTGGCGTGAAGGGTATATGTATAACTCCTTGCTCGCCCAGCGACTACTATAATCAACAAGGGTATGGCGAATCTAAGGATGCTTAAGCCAGATACCAGGATCGCAAAAGGCAAGCCAAGCAGATGTACATGAGGAGCACCCGTCGTATATATAATGACGACAAGCTAGATCGGTAGGATGGATGGACTAATGAGAGCACAATACATATTAGTATGATCTGTCGGGGACCACGAAAGTGTGGCTCCTTCACCCATGAAGCTCTCGGCTCCAGGGCCTGACCTACCTTGCCCGCATACACCGACCTACTGACCTTCCTGATCCAACCAGATGATATACGGCACACCCCCGGACCAGGAACAGATATTGGCCGCCACGGGGTCGGCCTGAGCCGAGAGAGGCTTCCCAGGAAAGACTGGGGAGGCTTTTCTTATGTCTTTAAGAAACTCGTGCCCGGCCTAAAGGGAAATCTCACGCGGTCTTCTACCTACGCCCCGAAAGAGAGCGCAAGAACATGAGAATTCACCCATATTTCGAGGAGGGAAGATAGGTAGGAAGCCAGGCATGTTATTTTTTTTTTCGCCTCTGGGCGCAGGATAATACACATGGATGCAATGCATTACTATATTTGGGGGGAATTATCATATAGGCAGGATCAGGGACTAGAGACCAATCAAGCAGGTTGGCAGAACGAAGGGGATAGGGGAACATAGAAAAATAAATAGAAAATATGAGGTTAAAGATCTAGATAACACCACAAGTGGCAATGGACGCGCCTATCCAATAGCTAAGACAAGGGGTCTCATATAGAAGATCGCATGACTGAGACATATGATTGGGCAGTATACTACAAATGAGGGTGGATTAAGGTTGACTGAGGTGGTATTGGGGAGGGAGGAGGTAGGCAGAGAGTGTGTGTGGAAGTGAGTGAGAAGAGAGAGCGGAGAAAAAGAAAGCCAAGTATTTTCTCCAAGGTCCCGCCAAGGGAGGGCGTCAGGGGATAGCCGTTCACTACATGCCGATCTAGATAGGTATGTACATGTAGGTACAGTACTATGCCATATCCATGGATGTGAATACTACCTACTATGGACCTAACATATGTAAAATAGGAATCTAGTGGCTGACAGCGATTAGAGAAGCGCAGTATTAATAATTACAGCACTTGGAGAGGAAGAGAGAGGGGGTAAAGAGACAACATTGAAAGTGCCACATACAGAAGGGTAGCCTGGGCAGGTAATGAAAATGTATCGTTGCATCGACTACCCATCGAACTGACCGACCCGAAGGGGGGGACATCACCATGAAATCCATCACATTACCTGCAGCTGCCCATACAAGCAACTACCGCATCTGATAGGTCGTGTCCATATGACCTACACAAAGCGCCCCCTTTTGCGGATTCTGTACAGTTGTACGTAATAACTTAATTCTGACCGTAGAATGCGACACCGCGAAGTGAGGGTCGCTTTTCGTCTCTGAGGGTATCGCGACAGGAAATACTTTAGTAGGTAGTTACTAGGCTAGGAATTATGGATCCCATAAAGATCTTAACAGTACATATAGTTAAGTAATACCTACCAAACATGATAGCACCAGGCACCACTCCCATATCCTATAACTACTCTACAGAGTCTACACAGCAGTAGCAAATCCGTAGCGTCGGGCTACGCCGCTAGCTAGCATCAGGGTTAGGAAGTAGGATCGACAACTACCTGTTTTAGGTAGGTTGTTAGACCATAGAGCTGGTCTTCAGCAAGGGATAGTTATGCCGTTAAGTTGTAAGCATGTGCATGACACCATGCTCATCCTGCCTAGGAGGGCATTATGACAGTATCTCAACTTTCGGGCCGTTGTATCGATAGTCCAAATCTCCAAACGTCTCCAAACGGAATACCGAACATCCTCAGTCGACTCGGCGTGAGATAACTAACCTGCCACAATGGGCTGAATGCGCCGCAACACCAGAATCCCTCTGTACCTTGTATGACCACGATTAAGTATGAACTTTGAAGCTAGCTCTCTACCTAGGTAGGTAGCTACTAGTTATTAGCTAGTCATCAGGTGTAGATCTTACTGAGGACGTTCATCATTCTTATATACTTAACCTAGTACACTAACCTAGGCATGTGGATAAGGAATACAGAATCATTAAATTAGCGTATGGCTATGGATTACAAAGTCTAATGGTAGTGTAGGTATTATTAAACTGTACAACTCTGTATCTGTCTCCGTCATTATCATAACGCAATTATACATGCGTAATACACGGGAAGGGAAAAAAAATGTTGCTTTTTGTATCGTAAACCGGTCGTGAAAGGGTAAGCAATCCAGCAAAACCCCCCGTTACCTGTACGAAGTTCAACAACAATAATATACTCCTAGCCCCGTAGCACACCGCAGAGACAAGTCTCACGCCATCGTGCCTTTTGACCGTCCCACGTTCCGAATGCGGTCCCACCAATATTGACTCCTAGGGTATCACGAAAAACAATGACTTGCTGGCAAGATCATCCATGTATGCTTGCTTGCTAGCTTGTTAGCCTGCTCACTGGGTCGCCACGTTCCCTGAGGCAGCTGCGCGTGCTTCCAGCTCTCTGCGCTTCGAAAGGATGCTCTTGAAGGCACCTAGGCAATACAGCAGTGTTTCTTCGTCGTGAGCGCAGAAACGGTAACTCTTTTCATCCGTGATGATTTGGAAGCAATGCAGTTTGCTCTTGCTAATCGGGTTGATATCCACGACGTTAACAATAACCGCGAGACCCAGGATGAAGGAGGCCTTATACTCCGATTCGTCCTTGTAGAGAATAATGTTTCGCGGCCGTAGCACTGCCCAGCGATTCTTCCACTGCTTCACGCCACGCTTGCTGTTCAGGAGCCAGAGCCAGCCTTGCCAAACGATGCGATCCGGGTCATTCTCGAGATTCAGGCCACTTAGTTGGCTAGCATTTCTGTTGACTAGGCTTGGGCGATCTTTCGAGCTAGAATCTAGCTGCAAACCAGATATGCCGGGAGAACGAGCCGTGAAGCTGTCAATGGAAGCCCCATGAGCTCGTGGGCCATCATTGTCGGAGAAATCGGAATGCGAAGCCAGTTCGTTTGCGGACATCCCGGAGTAGTCATTATGGGAGAATCTTCTCGTTGCTGACGTCAGAGATCGAGATGAAGGGGGTTCAGTAGACGAGGGAGAACTTGATAGCGGCCTCTCGATGTCCGGCTGTCGGGTCTTTGTGGATCCCGAGCTATTTGGAGCCATGCTAATAGGGGCAAAGGTTTGTCGGCGCACAACGGCACTTGCTAAGAACATCTCCTCCTCCTCTTCCTCAATTCTACCGTCCTTTCTAATCAAGTCGACCCATTCTTGAGCATCCTTTAGAGTTGGTGCCTCAAGATGGAAGTTTCGCGACGGCGAGAACAGACCGAAGAGATTATGGCGCTTGTTCTTGGGATCCTTAAGAAGCGTGACGGCCGAGAGCTCCGAGGTATAGATCTTATGGCGAAGCTTGCTCTCCTTATCCGATTTGTAGATGTAGAGCTCGCTGGGCCGGAGCACTAGAAAGACAGATTTCCAGGTCTGCGTAATCAATAAATGTTAGCACAATCTGTCCACGATAATGATGATGTAGGCTACAATAAGATATTAGTAAGCTAGCCATCTACCTTTGTCTTTTGGGTGCGCTTTTGAACATAGCCAGACTTTATAACACGATCGAACTCGAAGCTACCATTTTGGTTGACCGGGTTGGCTGCCGATAGACCAAAGTGACTTCGGAGGCGATTGACTTGGGTATTTGCAGGTACAGCCATGGCAGATAAGGGAGGGGTAGGCAGTGTCGCGCCGCGGCCTGGCAGATTTGTTGATGTGGAATCAGGAACGGACTGAGTCGCTGTCTCAGCCATCGTGAAGATTTAGTAGCGCGTCGAGAATAAAAAAGTTGCGTGACGACGCCGAGTGTAATATTCTTAAGTATTAGATTACCGACTTCGATAGTCTGGCTGAGATTAAATGAATGATTATTATTATCGACAATAGGAAATCGGAGATGGACCGGAACGTCAGGGGTTTGAAGTATTGAAGCGATCAAGCAAGTGTCGAGTGGGTGGGTGTCAATAAAGTGGTTTAGAGTTCGAGTAGCTCAAGACAGGATGGAACACGATTCATTGCCGGGCAATAGATTATCATCAAGATATTAACCTAACGAGTCGCGGAAAAGTTAGGAGTGCGTAATGTGTGTATTATGTGTTTGTTGGTGTGTGTTTGTCGAATATGTGAAACAACACGTCGAGTATCGATTGACGTCCAAGAAGATTGATGACAGAACCAACCCGAACTGAGCTAGAACAGTCGAGAGTTCGTTGTCACCGTCAGCCAACCAGTCAGCTAGGAGTCAGTGGAAATCGATCAAAGGTCCGAAAAAGGCGGTTCGTAGTAACCAATAATAAAGATAGGCCCTGGAGATGTAGGGAAATACCCCTCTCAACGGATCAACAATAAGATTCGGGGATTATTGCTCAATGCTTCTGGAATGGGGGGAGTAGGGTAGAGCTAGCTTCGCCGTCAGCGAATGGCGCAAGAGTCGCCATAAACAAATGTGGACAGACAGATGCAGAACCACAGAACTGGACGGGAGAGGGGGATGGGGAACTTTTTAGTTCGGATCAAGGATGAAAAATGTAAAGCACTTGAGAGTGTAAAACAGCAAAGTGTAAATTGTAGATTGTAAATCGTAAATTGTAACTAAAAATTGTAAGTTGAAAAGTGAAAAGTCACAAAACGAAATAAGAAATGGCCGTAAGGGGTATGCATGTATGCATGTATGTACGACTAGTACAATACAATACAGTTGTAGGTTTAATAAGGTTTAATAAGGGTTCAAATGCCCAGGTGTTGTAGGAGTACCGCGGTTTTAGGTTGTTTATTGGTTCTTGGTTCTATCTACAATCCTTGGAAGCTTCCAAGGTTCTGCAAGGTTGAGTGATATTTTTCTGGAAACCCCTAAAATGAACCTTGAAACTATGTAAAATAGCTGGCTTGAAAGGTTACGCAAAGACCAGGTGTTTCAGGAACTACCGTTGCTTAGCGTATCACTAGGACGGTACTAGCCACCAAGTATGGGGAAACTACATCGTACCAAGCCTGACTGGCTGACTGGGTTAGTCACCGTTAGTCACCGTTAGAGGAGGCTCGTGATTAATACATATGTACCAGTCCAATGTCAGATGCAAGTCTTTCAATCGTGTTTCCCCTTTCCCACCTCCAATCATCAGCCCTATTTGTACTTGTACAACTCAGATTAACACTACTAACCTACATATATGTAACTTAGCACTCTACTTCTAAATATACAACGCCCCCGTATAAAGATCAAGTATCGCGTTAACAGTTGCGCTCGGGATTACATTGCTACAAATACAGAGCTCATGTCGTCCTATTTCCAACCTGCCACACTCTGTCTATAAGTAAAGCGCACCAACTTACTTAGGACCTACATGTAGGTATGATACATATGTAATATGTATTAGGTTAGTGGGTTAAAGGCACATTAAGAGAATAGCCCATGATTAAGTCTAGTAGCATTATCTCTCTCGTGTCCTGGTAAATTTTGAATTTCTGGGTTAATGCAATGGTAAAAGAGCATGAGCATGTATTAATCCCTTATTACACCAGTGAAGAAGTTCGCCGAGGCCACGGCATATAGGTAGGTATCAATGATGTGTTAGTCACAAAAGACGTCAACTACTCTGGATCATCCGCATATGACTCCGACGCAGCTTTCTCTTCCATCTCTTTGAGAAGCTTCTGGCCCTCTTCCGTAGTAGCATCGATCAACTGTTCCTCCAAGCTCAAGACACCGGCCTGCGGCATTATCAGTAAATAGTCCTAGAAAATCTGCAACAAGAAATATATTTAGAAAGAGTACCTACCTCACTTAGGAGGCCAACTATATCTTCGGCTTCTGTGACGTTCATCTTGCCAAGCACTTCGTTGACCTTATCCAAGCTGCCCGACTCTAAAGCCTTTTGCATCTCTGGGGAGAATCCATCAAAGATTTCGCGGCCTCTCTTTTCACCCTCATCCTCGCTGTCTTTGGGTGGGATCTTAATCTTGATCTCGGTGCCTGGCTCGACGGCGTGCAGCTGTATTTGCTCCACTCCCCCGCCAGACTCGCCCTCGGCCTCTCGTTGGGCGTTTATCTCAGCGACGCGATTCTTGATCTTATAGTATCTTTCTTGCACGTCGCTGTAGAAAACTTCTTGAGCCTTATGACCCTTGGTGGTGATGCACTTGAAAAAGACCGCAACACCATCCTTGCCTAACACACGGCAGTACTGTATAAGTAAGGCCTGATGAACACACTGTCGGGCAAAATCCTCCTTTCCATCAAGCTGGGCATCGAAGGCCATGATTAAAAGACCATCGGTTTCCTTCTCGGTGAGGATATGCGGGTGCAAGCCAAGGAATGCATTGCTTTCCCGCAAGTTGTTTATTTTGATGTTGGCGAATTTGCGGGCGTCTGGGGAAGCTTCAACTTCATCATCATCGTCACCATCTGCTGCAACGGTTGTATCCGAATCATTCGGTTTAGACAATGCGGAACCAGGGTTAAGAAGCTCCACCTTGGTGTTGTCTGCCGCCTTCGTTCCAGAGGTAGACGCAGTGGACTTGTTGATTTGTGAACTGTCAAATCCTGTATGGAGGTTCTCGCTCGTAATCTTGCGACCTTCCTCCTTCTCCAATTCTGCCAACTTCTTGAGTAGCTCTTGTTGTAGATCTTGAACTTGCTTTAGATGTATACCGATTTCTTCGATCATGGCATTGTAGCGATTTTCGGGCTTTTTCTCGTCGAGCTCCTTGTTTACCTGGTCCAACAGAGTCGCCATCATCTTGGTGTACGAAGGGGGCTGCTCTACATTAGCGTGGACGCCTTCAGGCCTCGGAGGTGGTTTGTCGTCATCTGGATTGCCAGCGGATTCCATTACAGCCTGGAAAGCAACCTCGGCTGGGTTTCGGGTCTCGGCCTCAGCAGCGTGAGCTTTGAGGGCGTTGAGAAGGCTCGATATTCTCTTCAGTAACCCATCATTGATCTGGCGTTCGTACTTCAGGGTCTCGATCTGATGTTTACGCTGCTGGCGTTCCATATGAATCTGGTTCTGCTTGGCACGAATGAAGGAACGCTTGTCGACATTTGGGTGGACTTCAACATCGGAGTCATCACTGAGCTCCAAGGCGTCCTATGTAAGATAAGATGTTAGTCTTATTTGGATATGCCTAAGAAGAAAAAAAAAAGAATAGTATGCTTACCCATTTGCTATAATCTAAAGGCATTGCGGCTTAATCTTGTGCCAATTATTTCACTGTTTCCAAGGTTCTCAATTACATGTATGTAACATTGAAGAATTGAGAGAGGTGAAGGAATGCTACTAGAGGTACATATGTAGGAAGACGAGCTCTGAGTTTGGTATTGCCCCGCGATTATAGTGGGGTGAACGAGTTTATCGTTATCGAGAATGTTCCTGCAACCTCCATATGATACATCATACATGTGCATAATTATATACACTAATGCCATTATTATAAATCCCAAATTCGATTTATAAAGATCTAACCTTACAAAGTAGTTAAGTAGGTATGTATGCATTTTTATTTAACGTTATAACTCGCTCTTTAAGTGTGTATGAACCACGTCTGATTTAATAAACATGGCTCCTAAAGATGATTATGTCTTCACCCGAGATATTCTCGACAACTCTCGGTTTGTCCCCCCTTCCCCTTCCCCTGAGCCATGTTTGACTATTCCCTCCCCGACACCAAAACTGATTGGAGTGGTTCTTAAATAACATCAGCTTAAATTTGATGCACACTCATTGGGTGAAAGATTTCGGATTCCTTATCCATCCTAGAATCTCTACAGAGCAAGAGAATCTACGAATAGCAGATATTGGCACAAGCACAGCGTGAGTACATATAACCCCTAGACTACCAATATTGTACCTCGAGCCCTGGTAGTACCATTTTGACTCATTTACCCATGAAGAGGCAGCGCCTCCACGTGATGTTCTTCCTCCTAGCATCACCCTTAGGAAATGGAACGTGAAGGGTCTGGTCCTCGAGGAGCTTGTGGGTGCCTTTGATATCATCCATGTCCGCTTCTTTGTCTTTGTTCTATTGAGGGAGGAGGTTCCTGCTGTGATAGATAAGTTCGTCACGATGTTAAGTACGTGTGCTAAGTATTCTTGTGTTCTAATACTCTTATCCTTTCTCATCCTGTGAATCGCAGCACTTAAGCTAACGATGAATATGTCGGCGCCAGAACCTGGTGGTTACTGGCAATGGGTTGACCCCGACAACAGAACGGTACGCACTGATAAGTCGAGACCAGAGAACAAGTCAGAGAACCTTGCCGCTCTGATGAGTCTCGTGAAGTCACAAGATCCGCGCTTGAATCCAACATGGGTCCCTGAGTTACTTGATATATTCTCAGGGAGTGGTTTAGTAGACGTTAAGACAAGAAGTACATGAAACGCCACCTCATCTGGCATTCTTGATGCATGAGCTTATCGCGCGGAAGACCGAAAATGAGGAGATGGCAAAAGAAGTGAAAAGGCTACTGCCTCTCGTGTTGGAAGAGACTCGGAAAGGCGCTTGGTTGAACACTACTAAATACTGCATCACTGGAAGGAAGCCTTAGCTCCTAGACCATCCAAGGGGTGAAGGTGTACATAGCTCGATTCAATGAGCCAACTCCCAACTAATGCTAGTCAATAATATGATCAGAAAAAAAGGGGGTAGGTATTAAAGGCAGGGTAAGAGACTATCAAGAATATCCATGAAGTTGGAACTTGAAAGAAGAAATATAAAAATAACAGAATGATTTAACCTTAACCTACTATGAAGGTTAGGTTACTAGTGTAGCTGCAATGCACAGTCATATGCTACTAGGGGTTAGGTACTAAGGTTAGTAAGGTAGTGCTACCTAGTACCGGCAACTCGGGTACCTAATATGCACTAATGCAAGTATCCCTTACTTTTGGTATGCCAGTATGGACCTTAGAAAGTGGAAGCTCCACTAGGATATGTTAAGATTAACTAGTATGATTACCACGCTGATTACCACGCTGTTTATTCCACGTTACGTCAACTACAAAACATCTTTTTGATCCCAGAGAGCAAACACTTTATAGAGAACGGCCAGATGGCCACAACACCGTACGTATCCAACCCTTTTCTGAATAAGGGCTTTACAATTGACGATATATCATAGACCCGAATGCCTTAATTACCCCCCCGAGAACTACCGTAGTCCCCCGTTTCCCTCCCTCTGCTGGCCTCCCCAGAACAGCTACTGCGCCTTATACACAATATGGGACTCATGGCGGTACACGCTTCTGTGGACCTTGATCCTCTATGCTCTGTTTCATCTAGGCGCGACTGGAATCGCTTTGTCGATGCAGATCGGAAAACCACGATCGGTATGGAAATACTTGCTGGCCGTCCCATTTGTCTTTGCCTTGGTCGCAGGGGCTGAGGCGCTATTTACTGGAAGCGTTGTTGGGCTGGTGTATGTAATCCCCTTCGATTTCGTACTTGCGCATATGCGATTGCAATTGTAATGGACCTGACGTTTATATCTAGACTCGGCGCTATCTACACTTCCGGATGCTACCAGATGCCAACGTGGATACCCTTTATCTGGGCATGGATTAACGTCTTGGTGTTAATCATCTCGTCTTTCACCATCCAGGGAGGTCTTTGAAGCGACTATTAACTTTTTGGTGCCTCGTTCGAGGTATGAGTTGGAGTACTCTATGGGTGTATTACTATCATACCGCGAGCCGCAACGGCCACCACAGTTAAACTACATATCGGATAGTGTTAGTATCAATTTGATGCTGGGCTTTTCATGTCGGGCTTTAAACAGATGTGAGAATTGCTTTCCTAAAGTTAAAAATATATGTAAATGGCTAACGATGGGCATTGAATTAGCTATGGCAGAGCCTTGAGGTTTCTCCTCATCTACCTATCTAGGTACACTTGCCTTTCTATCGACTCTATGGATACTCTACACCTAGTTAGGACTGGGGAAGAGTCATTGCTACGGGTTGAGAATAAGTTATAATCACTTTGACCCAGAAATTACAACGAGGCAGGCTTCGTCAGCGTCAATGCTCCCTTCAATGTTAATCACATATGTACATGCAGTATATACACCTCCGCAGCCTGTGCTGGTGTCTTCATCTACATAAGGCACTTAGGTATGCATCTATGTAGTACTACTATGTTTGACATACATATGCAAGTACATATGTAGGTACATACTACCATGTACATATGAGATGAGAGTGGTGAAAGGTATGTATTAAAAGAGAATATCTACCTAACTATTGCTGCGGGGGATGACGCACTAGCGGGGGGGTAAACTACCGTAGGTACTTAGTACTAGGTAGTACCTATCTGGATATAAGCAACATCATGATTGAATACCCTAGGTTAGGTACATGTAGTATGCATTATCATGATGAAACTTTTCTAATGGAACTTTTCTAATACACCACCAGTTCAATATTTCACAAATATTTTTACTCAATAGCCCAACATTGATCTGATTCCTTCAGGGAAAGAAAAAACTTCAATCGCTCTTAAGCGATCATGTCATCAATTATGCAGTTGCCTACCAATCCTACACTCGAAAACCTTTCCCTCTTCATCACAAAACTTGGGAAGCTGGATGGTCTGACCGATCAGACCATAGATGGAATCCCAACCCAGGACTGTATTAAATTCCTTTTCGAACATATACAGTCCCTTACCAAGACCGAAAATGGTGGTGAGCTCGATGTGCACCAGCTAGAATATGATTTCGTACATGCCGTCACTAAAGCCTTATTGAACCGTCGCCGTATTGAGGGTGTACCCAGACTCCAGCCCAAGGAAGCCCAAGTAGGGTCAATCCAGCGTATAGTATTCCGTCGTGGTGATACTATTCTTATCGCCTGGCCTGGGTACGGGAAGACTCTCGTCTTACACACTGTACCTTTTATCATGCAAGACAAGGTGACCATATCGTTGTGTACGATAAAGCAACGAGGTGAAGATCAGTTCAATACTGTTCGTCAGATACCCGGCTTACGTCCACTTCTAATAAACGGCGATACCAAAAAGGTTAGTAAACATCATTCGCAAATACTTAGGTACCTTGATAGGTATTATGTATGGATTATTAGTTACTGACTTTGCAACAGGATGATCACATGTGGTCTGACTTAACCCAGGGGCGATATAACCATGTTATCATCAGTCCTGAGGAATTAACTCACGATCCCTTCCTCAAATTGCTTCGGAATCCTACATTTAATCAGAAGATAGCGTTCGTGGCCATTGACGATCTTCATACGGTATACGATTGGCAAAAAATGCACATAACTCCAAAAATTGGCAAAATGAGAGCATTGCTTCCCAAAGACGTGCCCTGGTTTGGATGCACTGCTACTCTAAGCAAAAAGACCGAGAAGTATGTGTTGACTAAGGCTGGCTTCCGCCCAAAAGGTGATTCGATAGGCGAGTTGTGCTTCATACAAACTACCGTCGACCGACCCAATATATCTATTGTTGTACAACCATTGGTACAGGGCAAACGCCCCGATTTCCGACGATTACGTTTCCTACTTGATGGGATAAAGCCTAAGGCCCCTCGAGATATTGAGAAGACTATCGTCTACATGAACGAGCTACATGAGGTTGTCGGCGCTCGCCAGTACCTAATGTCCGAAGCTCAGGATCTTGGGTTGTCTCCTTCTCAGGCCGAAAGCCTTATCCGAAACTACCATGCGGATATACGACCAAATGACCGACAGCTATTATATGACAACTTTGTGCAAGAGGACTCTCCTTGCCGAATCATGGTCGTTTGCCCTCCTGTGATCGACCTGGACGTCCCCGACGTGAAAAGGGTAGTACAGTTCGGGCAAATCGCATCTGGCGATCTCGCAGACTTGTGGCGGAGATTCGGCCGAGCAGTCCGGGACGGAAAGACGCAGGGAAAGGCATTCTTCTTTCCCCCTTATTGGTACTTTGATCGGCTAGGACCCCTGGGCGATACTGAGTGGGGATCAATAGAAACGCCGAATCTGAACGACGGACCTGTGGTAGATGCAGAACTGGGGCAGTTTGGGGTAGCTCGTAGAGGCTATTGGATGATGCCTGATCGAATCTTCAGGGCCGATTTGAGAAAGGCACAACCCGACATATATGGATTCGTTAATGCCAAGTGCTTCAGGAAATATGCCCTTGAATTTCTACAGGAGTCAACAGACGATGGCATAGAGGATAAGACGGTGGTTTCATTGCAGTTATGCTGTAACGGGTGTCATCATGAACTCGGCCGGATTTCCAAGGTACCCCCTAGGCTACCTTTTGGAACTCAGCCCGAAGAAGGGACGAAGGCGTGGTTTGCATGGCAGGAAATTAATGCCTTCTGCGAGGAGCAAGTGAACAAAGCGTTTGCGTTTCTTGGAGACCCTATCCGCATGCCTGGGTGTGTTTTAATGCAAAGCAACATGCAATGGGAAGTAGCCAAGGTTTGTGATGGGATCGTTGCTCCAGATAAAATCGCTGAAAAGGTCCGAGATATCCTACGGAATAACAAGTGGGACTTCCTTGAAGAGTTCGGAGATATGTTTTGCACTGAAGCTCTCGTTATCCAACGGAAAGCCATGGCTAAGTATAAAGGACACCTCGAAGCCCAGGAACGTGATAAGAAGGCCAAAAGAGGGGGTTACCCCTTTATTTTCGAGGACAGTGAAGAGGACGATTACATTTGCAGCCCATGAAAATACACTACGAGACACATGTGTATGGCATTTATTATAGTTAATCTTTAGGTGTGGAAATCTGGTTCTAAGGTTGCTGTTGTTGTTGCTGTTGCTGCTGCTTCTTTCAGATTCATGATAGTAATTAATGAAAGGAATATCTTAATGTTTTAAGGTTGTGTGATGTGTGATTGGCTGAAACTCGCTGTGACAACTTACAAGGTCCATTTTAGTTTTATGCAGGCGTATAAGGCGGACAAGGTATTTAGTTAACGGTTAACCTAGGAAAGTCCAAGGGTCTAGACTTAAGCGGGTCTGGACTAGACTCGTAACAGAACAAAAGGGACGAAGCGAAGCTGTCATCACCTTCGACTCAACCTACTTCTACACTATGGATGGAAACATCCGATAATACTGTCTTTGTCCTTGGTATACAGTGGGAAAGCTTTGGTAAACGATAAAAGGGAAACAAGGACCACTGGGTAATACAATGGAGTCGCCGCCGGATAGGTAAGTTTGCTTCTCTCTTCTTCTGTTTCTGTATTCATCAAATCGGGATTTCGAACGACAAACCAACCAACGAACCAACACGGAAGCTCTACTTGTTTACGTGAGATTTACCTTGGACTGTGACGCTTCATATTATTCCGAACTGGTTAGACAAGCCATTTCAAACTCGGCGCGCTAAAATGTCGGATCCTACCTCACCGTCGACGCCTACGCCAACTCTCACGGCCACCGCTGCACCGACACCGACACCGACACCTACCACGCCCAGCTTCATCGGGTTTACTCCTCTCCAAGAACATGACGAAGATGATATATCATGGGCCACCGGTTTCAACAGTCGCCGTCGCACCTTGGCCAATCTGGCTTCTATCAACACGCGCGCAAATGGAAGAAGTGCTGACCATTTGCTTCCTCTCCTTAGCCCCGTCGCGCAAAGCGCTCAGATGTCGCCCGACAGGGATTATTACCCCGGCCAGACTAAATCTCTCGAAGGCATCGCAGTCCGATCGTTCTGCCTTGGTTTAGCACTTGCTTCGTCTGTAATCACGATGGTTCTGACCCTTGTTTACACATCTTCTCCGTTGTGGCGCCTGCCTTTCTTCATCGGCGCCTTGTCGACGTTCCACTTCCTCGAGTTCTGGACAACCGCCAAATACAACACCCCCGTTGTGAGCATTGGCTCTTTTCTGTTGACGGCGAATTGGCCGGCTTACGCGATTGCACATACGGCGGCGATGCTTGAATGTTTCTTGACAAATCTACTATTTCCGAATCGGTCTTGGGCCTTGTTCTATAGCGGTCATATCATCTTGCTGGTGGGCTGTATCTTGGTGCTTGTTGGGCAGTTCGTTCGTAGTGCTGCGATGATCCAGGCCGGCCAATCGTTCAACCATACTGTCCAGCACCGCAAGAAAGACACCCACGCTCTAGTTACTACGGGGCTTTATTCGTTCATGCGCCACCCGGCGTATTTTGGGTTCTTCTACTGGGGCATAGGCACGCAGATGGTGCTGGGGAACCCATTCTGCTTTTTCGCCTACACGGTTGTGCTATGGCAGTTCTTCTCGAAGAGAGTAATACACGAAGAGGCGTTGCTGACTCGGTTCTTCGGTGATGAATATCTAATTTACAAAAGGAAAGTTGGGACACTGATGCCGTTTGTTGGAAACTGAGTCGGTTATATGCCCACTACTACTATGTACATAGTGGTCTAGATGTAGTTTATCATGTGGGTAATGGCGTTAAGGCTGGTGGTTACGATATAATATGAACAGAGTCACAGTACCCCTTGCACAGGACATCCAAAAGCCGGAAATCGTTGTTATGGTCTAAGGGTGGATGAATTAATAGTATGGACATAATTGGGAATTGGTAAAAACTGTATTGATATCACTATGGATAGTCTATAATAATAGGCATCATGATGTATCACTGGCTGTTTGATAGGAATCATAGGATGTATCCATTATCCAAGGGTTTACATATTCCAGTCAGGGATGAGTACCAAGTACAATCCTCATTGATGGCGGGCACTTTATAATCAATTGATACGCCACAGATGACATATGCATGCAGTATCGATACACTTCTAAGACCCACATAGGCTATATTTTGTACACCGGTGCCTAACTTTAGTACGCAGGTACAACTTTAACTAGCCACAAGGAAACTTAGAAGGCCACGATTCAAGACAGAACGACCCTGGGGACAGCTTGCTTAAGTGGCCGCCGCTACTTTTCTAAATTTAAAATTGAACATTGAACAAAACATCATCCAAGTTCAACACATTTGACCTTAGGTACTCAACTCACTCACCAGTACATCTCAGTCCTACTGTAACTCTCAGTGCTGTCTTATTCTTGTCTTGCACTGTACTGTACTTGGCTTTTCCCCTTTTCCTTTTCCCTTTCCTTTTCTTTTCTTCATTCTATTTTCCATAATAACAACCCAACATATACTGATACGATACAAACCCTTCGTCGGATTATCTTGGGATATTCTACAACCACCTGGTCCAAAGACCCTGTCATAGGGCAACTCTTGCACCATGAGTTCAGAGTATTCTTATGACGAGCAGGGTCAATTCTATCCCTTCTTCGTCTTTACTCTGACCTCTATCGTCACCCTTCCTCTTACTTATAACCTCCTCGCGCCCACCAAGGATGCTGCTGCTCTCGCACCACGAACGAAGACCTCGTACCAGCCTGAGCATGCTGACCTAATACAAGCATTGCGCGCTGCCCAGAAGCGGAAGCAGCGTAAGATCAAGCGCGCAATTGCCGTCGTGCTAGGCTGGGCTATGATGGCCGGCATGATGTATCTGATCATCACTACCCAACGAACGACGGCCAAGTTATGGAATCCTTATGACATCTTAGGAATCTCCGAGGTAGGATTTTCATGAATCACACCCCTCCTATCAGCCCCTTTAGCTAATGCAGTTCATTGCAGTCAGCTACAGAGAAACAGATCAAGTCCCACTACAGGAAGCTCGGTCTCAAGTTCCACCCCGACAAGGCCAAACCTGATCCAGCCAAAAATGAGACAATCGAGATACTGAATAATAAATGGGTTGATCTTACCAAGGCTTACCAAGCCCTTACCGATGAAGACATCCGTAACAATTATATCCAATATGGACACCCCGATGGCAGGCAAAGTATGAGCATTGGAATTGCTCTTCCTCAGTTCATTATATCCGAAGGAAACGGGAAATACGTCGTGCTCGTCTATGCGTTGCTTCTAGGAGTTCTGTTGCCTTACTACGTCGGATCATGGTGGTACGGCACTCAACGCATGACCAAAGAAGGAGTTCTTGTCGAGAGCGCCAACAACCTGTTCCGCGAATACACCGATAATATGGACGAGGGAGATCTCGTAACTGCTTTAAGCGCTGGCAAGGAATTTGAAGAAGTCCTGAGAGGAGACAAGGCCGAGTCTGGTCTCTCGAAGATCGAATCGAGGATATTAGCAGAAGGCAAGATTACCCCCTTTGCCGGTGGACTATCGGTTAAGGATAAGGAGAAGCTCGAAGATATAGAGGGCGGCGTAAGAAGAAAGGTCCTTTCTCTGCTCTGGGCGTACCTCGGCCGTGTGGAACTCGACGACCAGGCTTTGGACAGTGCTAAATATATGGTTGCGCCCATCGCACAGAGCCTTTGCAGCTCTTTCCGGGCTATCGCGTTGGCATACGGAAACACTGGCCCCATTCTATCTTCGTTCCATACTAGTCAACGACTCATCCAAGCTGTACCACCCCAGGCCTCTCCCCTCTTCCAGCTTCCTCACTTCACGCCCGCCGTAGTAAAGGCTATCGAGGGCGACTCGAAGACACATCTCACTGTCCAAGAGTTCATGGACCTGCCCGATTCACAACGTAGAAGTGTGGCTGTTGGAGAAGGGCTCTTGAGCGAAGAGCAATACACGACAGCCGTCGATGTCGCACAACAGCTCCCGTACTTCAGAGTCGCAAAGGCCTTCTTCAAGGTTGCTGGTGAACGCTTCATTATCCCATCATCTTTGGTTACCCTCGTTGTAAAAGGCCGATTCATTCCTCCTGGAAGAACCGATGTCCCAGAAATTGACGAACTTGATTTGGAGGATATTGACCCGGCCGAAGACGATCTCGATGCTCTGATGGGCCGCAAAAAGGCAGTAAAGGATGCAAATGGGAAAATAACCTCACGAGAAGAGGGCAAGCCGGTATCGCCCCCGACTACGTATGCGCCCTACTACGCCCGCGACCAGACGCCGCGATGGCACGTGTTTCTCTCGGATAGCAAGCAGGGTAAAATGGCAGTACCGCCATTTACTTTCACTACGTTTGATAAGCCCATATTTACTGATAACGGAAAGCCGACATATCACATGCAGACCCTGAAAGCGCAATTTGCTGCTCCACCTCAAGCAGGAATTTACACATTTGTTATGCATGCTGTGTGTGATAGCTTCATTGGGTTTGACTCCAGGATGCAAGTCACTCTTAATGTGGAGGATGCTAGCAAAGCTGCAGCGATGACGGCGGAAGACGAGATTAGTGAGCCGGATGAAGGTACGTTTCCCCCTATATAGCCCCACGAACATTTGTGTTCTATTTTTCTAACATGATCTGTAGATTCCTTGGCTGGCCAGATGAGCGCACTCAAGGGTAGTGGCAGTGTTCCGGGCACAACCAAACCCAGGAGGCGGAAAGACGAAGACTCGGAGGATGATGACGAAAGTGGCACTGAAGAGGATGAAAGCGACACTAGCGCGACGAATACCGACACGGAACCCGAGTCGTAGTAGAATCAACGGAAATGTAATAGAATACCCCCCCACCAAAAAAGAAAGCTCTGATTGTACTATGAAACATTTTAATTTGAACTACATACTACGTACATTGTGGATGCTCGTCGTTGGCCGACTCTGCGCTCAAACTACCTTTTCTCCCTGCCGTAAGACTCCCATGGTAGATATACAGGTAGTGCTCAGAAGAATACCTACCTACCTACGTTATAATGCATGTAAAGATACCTACTTAGCCACCCCCCCTGACGTTGTATGATACATACATAGTAGGTACACATGCATGCCTCTAGATACTCCGTATGTTACACCAGTAGACGGTAAATAAATACTCTTCTCACGATGAATGTTCATATTTTTTTATTCTTTTCTTTTCTTGTAGTATTGGTACAAAACCGGCCCCAGATCCATGGTCTCTTGTTGCTCTTCATAGTACATAGGTATCTAGGTATGTAGGCTAGGTTAGGTAAGTCAAATACATGTATACCTGATAGTACTATGTGGTTAACCCCCCCCTAATTCAAGTATACCTAACTGACTACTTCTTCTTCGTCCTCTCGTCCTTCATCCCATCGATCGATCGATCGATCGACCAACTCGTGATTAGAATACCCCCATCCCCCTCCTTCCCCTTTTACCTAGGTACCTAGTTGTTTTTTTTTAGGTACCTTGGGAGTTCAGTTCCTTGCTCTCTGTCTCGACAAGGAAAATGTAATGTACACGTGTCTCACCTCCTATTTCCCCCTCCGTATCGACAACCTACAGCCTATACCTCAACCGCAAGGCAAGCATGGCCCTGTCCGACTTTCTCGCCCTAACACTAACACACCCTAACCCCACAGACCTCCACCCCTTTCCCCTCAACATACGCGCTGCGCTCAAAGTACGTCTTCGCGAGCGCCTTGACGAACTCGGCGTCCGTCTCACTCCAGACATCGAGACCCATCCTTGAGACCTCTTCGCTGCTGATCCGGATGCCCCGTCCACCACCACTTAGCTCCGCCCCGGCCTCGGTAGCAAGTAGTGCCGTGTCCGGGTCTTCCGGCTCGGTAGCTTCCTCGTTGTCATCGTCATCGTCATCGTCATCGTCATCGACATCACCGCTGCTCTCGACAACTTCGGCGAGGGTGGTCAGGGTCTGCGTGGTGAGGCGGTGGAAATACGCTATTATGGCAAGTTCCACACGCGCCTCGTCTGGACCTAGGGGAGCTGTGCCAGCTGCAGATGTAGAAGCGTGGCGTGGTGTGAGCGAGGCCATGGAAGTCGTCAAGTCGGCTGAGCGGGGAACTTCCATGCGCACGGAGGACGAGGACAGGTCCGCAAGAAGCTCAGCGTCGCGGGCAGATTCTTCGGCCTGCTCGGAGCGTGCCTGCTCGCCAGCCGAGGCCCACCACATGAAACCGTTGTAGGCGAGGGCGGTCCAGCTCAGGGGCTCGACCACCTCCCTTTCTTCGGCCTCGTCAAGGAATGGGTCGTTTGTATCCTTGGGGGTTATTGTTGTGGGCGTGACAGGAGAATTGCCTGGACTAGCCTGGAGGCGGGCTAGACCGGTCTTGAGGGACCGATAGCGGCGTAGATCACGCTGAGTAGCTTTGATAGGTACGCCGGTCGAGCTCTGAATCTTAGGCCAAGCGTGGCGTTTTGCTTGAGAAGAGTAGGCTGGTGGCATAGTTATGAGCAAGTCCCACAGTGTGTCTTTCTTAGCGAGAATACTGTCGGTCGTGCATGCTATCCATCCAGTCCCTATTTCATTGCGTGCCTCTCCTGTTTGATCGCCACTGTTTGGTGGGGGCTTCGAATCCTCGACGAGGAAAGGGATATCGTGGACCCCGATAGAGAATAAGGGTCGTAAGCGATGGGACGGTGAGTTAGGGGAGAGGAGGTCGAATGTTGGTTGTGGGATATTAGATAGGATAGAAATGTCGTAGACTAAGCTTTATCATTAGTAAACATAGTGCTTCGAGTATACAAAATACGAGAAGAGTGAAGCTCACCAAAATTACAAGCTTCTTGCACAGGAGCATGACTTGATATTAATATACGCTTGCGCAGTAATGCAGCACGGTGTATAGGGAAGATGAGCGGTCCAAATGTATCTAATAGTTTGGTAAGACTCCAGGCAGGGTGGAATGGAGATAATCTATGGCCAGGCGGTAGCAACGAAGCTCCGTCAGAGGCCGAACGGTTCCTAGCGTGGCCTTGGGATCGCTTCGAAGGGGTTTGAAGGTTGGTGGATGGCGAGTCGACGTCTAGCTCTTCTATACCTTCCTCCCGGAACTGATGCTTCTTCCAATACTCTTCCAATAAACCTGTCTCCTTGGCATTCGCGGCGAATGCCGATGCCATTGACTTCAGACTCTCGGCGTGTCTCCATGCTCTCCCCAATCGACCATAACTCAAGGGAACAAGCACACCCACGGCCAACATACGGGCGTTACGGGCTTCGCTATCCTCGACGGGTGTGTTTATAAATGCACTTAGCCCGGCATATCCATCATGCACGAAATATATTAGGTCTTCGGGTACGGTATGGAGCCCCGATGGGAGGGATTTGTATTCGACGACACCTTCGAGCTCGACGCCAGGCTTAGATGCCTTCCAGGAGACAGTGTATCCGGCTTTGACATCGAAATCGATCAGGAATAGAGCGTAGATGGGAGGCAGGTCAGGTAACAAGGTCGGCGAGGTAGGAAGCCTGACCTGCAGCTCCGGCTTGCCGCGGCGCGATGCCGCCATGGTTGTGGTTGGTCCCTTATCGAGTTACTGTCGTCGGAATTGTTCAATCTTTGAGTTGTACAGTACCTGCAGCTGTATTATTCGTAGTCCGACTGTGATTCGTGATTGAACTCAAGGTTGGCAAGTGTTAGGAATTAATTAGTATGGTGGTGTGGTTGGAAGATATGCAATGCAATGGTGTATTAAGTTGGATGATTGCCCAGTGATGTATCAAATGTCATGATCAGTGTGTCAGTGTGGCAGTGTGGCAGTGTGTAACATGTAACAACCGACGGCCCGCCTCGGGTTGTTAGTGGATACAGCTAGTTAACGCTATGGCCAAGTCTAGTGGGTCACCGTGGGGGGTATTAATACCGTATTATCATGGTCACATCGATGGTTACCACGTGATAATTCACTTTAACAGCTCTTTCCGTCGATTGATAAAGTTGAATAAGTCTATTCCAGTGTTGTACAATACAACAGGCCAATGGGCGTACCTGATCTAGCAGGGAATCCACGTATTCATGACATCAACACTGTCGACTTGTGTTGCCGACGGCTTCTCTTAAGGCTGAATGTAACCGGATAGCTACGTAACAATGCAAACCACATACCTAAATAAGTATGTATGAAGCTCAGGTAATTAATTATAACTACCTACGTACGCACAACTACCTATGTAAGAGAGAAATCTATCCTCTTTCACACTCTCATGGCGACAAACCCACATGTACCAGGAGGTCCCCTCCCACTCGAGGACAAGATCCTCGAGACAGGCGCATCCATGATCCAAGACTTCCAGCCCACGAAGCAGCTATGCGCACATCTGAACGCCTTCCACACATACGCCGACGAGCCGGGCCGCTTCGTCGAAGCGAACCACTACTGTGCGCACCTAACTGAAGGTACCAACCCCTTTCCCACCTCTCCCCCTTTTCCACGCTCCCCTTCTTATCCACACCTCCCACCCCTCCCACCCCTCCCTCCATCCCTACCCATATCCAAACCACCATCTCACAACCCCAGACGTCCGCCAATGCATCCTCTACGACAGCCCCGGCCCCAACGCGCGCCTCATCGGGGTCGAGTACATGATAACCCCACGCCTCTACTCCACCCTCCCCGCCTCCGAGCGGCAGCTCTGGCACTCGCACGCGTACGAGGTAACATCCGGCATGCTCATCATGCCCGGCCCTTCCGCCTTTCCTGGCGCCGTCCAAGCCTGGGAGGCGGCCGAGACGCAGGAGATGAAGCATGTCATTGGCTTGTACGGCAAGGTGTACCACCTGTGGCAGACGGACCGCGGCGACGCGTTGCCCTTGGGCGAGCCCAAGTTGATGACTAGTTTCACGGCTGATGGACAGTTCGACTTTGAAAAAGTCGTGGGCGATCGCGATGCGAGGTTTGGCACGGATTGGAGGCGGAAGAAGGAGTTGAGGAAGGGGATTGAGAGGCCTGAGGTCCATCCTGATGCTGATTTTGCTTGGAAGAGACGTAATTTTATGTAGGATGTCAAATGAGAACTAACTCAATGCCAGGGGCGCGTTAAATAATCACAAGATCTCCACGTCTAGATGTGAGTCGGTGCCCTCATATATGTTAGTCTCCTCCCTACTCATCACCTAAATAGCTTACTTAAAAAGGGGTTGATTATACAGTTCTGTGAAGAGCTGCCAAGCGTAGGATTAATTATGCAATTAGTCTAAGTATTCTAATTAACAATGTTCGTTCTCATCATGTCATCTCTCCAGCACTCTGACAATAAGTGTGCCAGTGGAACCATTCCTCAATCCAATACAACCTGCTCAATGGCTTATGAGAACAACCAGTAAGCAGTCCATGCGAGGCCCATAGAAACCAAGCGCTTCATAGCTGTTTCATGCTGTCTAGTTGCCAATCCCAGGAAGCCTTCGAAGTTTCTACCACCGTAGAACCCGACGGCGTAAGCCAACGCCTTGGTGTTCATTGTCAGGGCTGTCATGTTGACATTCCGAATATCATCTTCTGGCTGGTGGTAATTAGAGTCATATGGAGCATCAGCTTGACCCCCAAATATTCTCTCCTCCTCCTCAGTCTTGAAACCATTGGCGCCGGTGAAGAGGCCGGCGAATGGAATATGCGAGTCGAAAAAAGGGGCATAATCACTGCGATTGCTGACCTCCGCTTTTCCGTGGTTGATTCCCTGAATTTTAAACCCATCTGATAGGATTCCCATGGCGTGTTCAGACCCACGCGGGGCTTTGATATTGGTACCATTCGTGTCGTATACCTTCAGCGCGCCGTTGGGTGACCCAAGCATATTGACATCGAGGTAAAGACGTATTTTTCGAGTCTCCTCTGGATGGGCATTGGTGAGCCAATATTTGGAACCAAGCAGGCACGGTTCAGCGGCTGTCCAAAATGCGAACGTGACTCTTGAGTTTGTCTTGTACCTTGCCAGATGGGTGGCTACCTCCAAGAGGCTAGCTATACCACTACCATTGTCGTTGATGCCCGAGCTCGAGCTGACCGAATCGGTGTGGGTACCAACCAACAGCGTATTGTCCTGGTCACCATATTCCTAGGTTGCAAACACGTTGTAACTGTTCCAGGTTAATTGGCCACGTACTAGGTATTCTATAGTTTGGTGTTGCTTACCTGGAGACCGTTTCATATCGCGTTGTTATCTGAAAACTACTTGCCCACTTTGGTTCCTTGGGATTTCGTAGGAGTTGCGAGTCTCTTTCTGATATTCTTGCTGACGGGATATGATTGTTGTCTACTATTCCCAGGCTTGGGGTGAGTTCAGTGGTATCGTATAGGATGAGAGCATTAGCACCCGCCTTTCCAGCGGCGATCGACTTGGTAGAGAGAGAGCAATCGCCTCCACCAACCAATACAATCGACCCAACAGCTTCTTCTGGGTAGTCACCAGATTTGCACCCTGTTCCATTCACAGATACCAGAGGACGATTGGCCAAGTTGCAGCTCGGGGACCATCCCATTGCTTCAGCTTTAATGACCCTGTTCTGTACTTTTAGAAAAACCTCGTTCTCAACTTGCATCAAACCTTGAAAGTGTTGAACCTCGACGTAGTATCCCAGGGAACGAAGATGGCCTTGAATGTACTGTATCAACGAGTTAGTTGTAGCACGTTACGACTCCAATATGTAGGATGGGCTCAATATTGTGTACATCAATTGTTTGGTTATGGCCCAAAGAGCCAGCCATTCTGTGTCCACCGCACTTGAGAGCTTTGTCTTGTATCACTTTTAGGTGGCCGAGAAGGGAGTCGGAATTAACCATGACGGCAAGTGACTGTGGTCTCTGGTCAGCTCTTTGTCAGTTTACTACTAGGTATATGCAGCCAACTAGAATCTCACCTCTGTAGCATTGACTCCTCTACATTCGTCTATGGCGGCATCGGCTATGCGAGGACATGCTAGCAGAGCGGTAGCTATGAGTCCCCAAGCGAAATGTATTGGTATCATCGTGAAGTTGTTCCAATTTTCAGGTGGATTTAATAGCAGTTATAGTGAGTAGCCTCGAAGGGTGGAAGAGTCAGAGTCTTTGAGACTGGGAGATGAACAAGCGAGAGTCAATAAAATGAATGATGTAGGCAATATATTACGCCGAATAATAAACTTGTTAATAAACTTGTTAAACGATGCTACATTGGATCTTAATCAATGAGGACCTGTACTCAATGCCTAGACCTTGACATTCCAGAAAGACACTCAAAGTTGGAGAACAGACATCAGACAGAGAGAGATGTGTTGAGATTATGTGTTGAGATTATGTGTTTGATAGTAGGTACTACTAGGTTAGGTAGGTACCTACATATTAAGTATAGAGGTAAGCATAGAGGTACAAGGTTTTTATTGTGAAGCTCTTTCCTACTTGAGCAGAACAAGAAGGCTCTCAGGTATAATTACTGGGTGCCACTTCTAAATCTGTAACTGTGAGACGAAGTGTCGAAAGTGCGAGTTGGAAGTGAAGGAAGTTGCTTCCGTCTCCTACCCCTTAACAATACAATATGCATTTAACAATGATATTTAGTTATATAGGTGAGTATCTAGGCAAATCTTACTTACCGATATCCATCTGAGATCATTTTCTATACCTAATTACTACCTACTCTAGGTACTCTAGGTATGTACTCCTCTTCCAACCTTGACTTCTCCAACACTGACTAACCAACCATTGGGTATGTATATTCCTTGAAGGGGCAAAAGAGATATGCATGAGTCTAGCAAGACTCCTAATTCGTCAACATTCCCCCAATGAAGAATAGGCACTAGGTTAGGTGCCTAGGTAGTGATCAAGATATCCACCTAGGTAAAGCATCGGCATCGATGCCTTCTCCAAACTCCAAGGGGAACATGAATGCTCGTCAACATCTCAATCCTTCGCGGGGTTGAAACGGCGCCCCCGCATCTGAGCCATGGTTTTTCTCGGTACTGAATAGCTGGGGAAGATCTGCCGACCCGAGCTCTAAAGACTAGCTATCGCTTGTTCAATCTTGTGACTTAGCCGTTACGACGAAGGCTTACAGAACAGGGCTTTTAGAGGACATGAACGACAAGGTCTGGGTATAAATATGCCTACTTACTTAGCTAACTATGAGGCCAAGTTAAACATCACACGAAGATCCCTACGAAAAAGCATATGCCCAACTAATAGCCTCAGAGCCTTTGAAATATATTTACGCCCACCATGTCAACTGACATTGAAGATTTGAAAGAGCAGGTCGCTCTACTTCGTAAGGAAGTCTCACGCGTCTCAGATGAGGCCGAAGTACGAAAAGTCCACTTCAAATATGGATATTATCTTGACAAATGTCTCTATAACGAGGTAGGCGATTAAACAACCCATGATCCTACGTATTGCCACTGATTGGCCAACTAACCTGAATCTAGGTTGTGGACATGTTTGCAGACCACCCAGATACTTATGTCGAGTTTCTCGGGTCACGATATCGGGGCAAAGCAGGCGTGAAGCGGCTCTATCAAGGCCGTTTCCAGAACACCTTCGTTAACGGGCGCAATGGACCCGTCCATGGTTTTTTACTCGACCACATCATGATGCAAGACATCGTTGATGTTGACCCTAGCGGTACACATGCCTGGTGTCGCATGCGCGCGTTGATGCAGGCCGGGACGCACGAATCTGTCAAGGACACTCATCCGCGCGGACACGTTCAATGGTGGGAAGGCGGTCTTTATGAGAACGAGTATATCAAGGAGAACGGTGTCTGGAAGCTCTTCAGATATCGCTACTTCCCATTTTGGCACGCCGAGCACGAGAAGGGATGGTCTTTGACCAAGGAGAATTATGTCCCCTGGCCTAAAACGACATTCCCTGAGGACCCCTTAGGGCCTGACGAGATCATTGAGCAGAGAATGCTCTGGCCAGACACGCGCGTGGTGCCCTTCCATTACCCACACCCAGTTACGGGGATACCAACGAAGGACGACGACCTACGCGCGCCGCATTATGGTAAGGATGCGAGCACCGCCCCTGGACCACTCACTTTGGCACTGCCGGAAGGGCAAACTCGACCTGGAGCGGGGAAGACGTGGACAAGCGAGGGTGCAGTCAGGGTTCTGCCGAGTCTGGTTGAGAAGTCGTAAAGTTGGGTTGCATACGTATAGCCTAAAGGAGGATAGGGGGTTGATAAAATCTGGGGTAGCGTAGTCCTTGCAGATAGAACTGACTCCACTTCCCCAACGCCGAGCAAGCTATTTCTATACAACGATCAATGTGAACTAGACTGCATGCGTAAAAACCATCATCATATTGGACGGTCATATGTCAATTCATAACTGCCGACCTATAGAGGATCGTGTCAAAGTCTCTCCCCACGGCTTAGGTAGGTATCCAGGCCTAGGTAGCGAAGCAACAACATGGAGTAACTGTTCTGTAACGCATGATCGGGACCTCGCATCGGTTGCGTCCGCACCCGGTCGGAGATATGTAAGGCCAGGGCGTGGCATATACAACGATGTAGGAGAACGTTATAACAACCTCCCTGAAAAACGCGGTTCCACAACCCAATCGTATTCCCATGATTAGTAACCAACAACCCAACCTGCATACCCACCTTACCTACCCTACATATCAACATTACTTTAGTGGCATGTAGGCAGTCATGGCTCACCTTGAAGCTATCGCACCCGAGGTCTCGCTCTACCCCTATACCAATGGCAAGCGGACGGGCTCGCGGGTCAAGTTCCCGAATACCGCCGACTTCGCGTCCATGAACAAGCCGTCGCGGTTCGAGGGAGATATAACGGATCTCGAGGTCACGGGCGTGATTCCCAAGGATATTAACGGGACGTTCTATCGCGTGCAGCCTGTAAGGAGAAATCTATGCATATGTATTTGATTATAGGCGAGAGGAAGGTAGAGACGTACTGATATGAGTGCAGGATCATCGGTTCCCGCCTATTTTCGAAGATGACATTCATTTTGTAGGTTTTCTCTGTTTGGGAGTTTCCTCTGAGCTGCTGCTATGACGACGCATACGCTGACTTCGACAATAGAATGGAGATGGTACGCTTAAGGAGAAAACAAACTCGTTTAACCCCTAGATTCTGTCCTGCCTACGCTTAGGGGGGAAATGGGGGGATCGAACCCCCCCCCCCCCCCTTTTTTTTTTTTTTTGAAAAGAAAAAAGAAAACTAACGGAAACGAAATAGGCAGCGTAACCGCAATCCGCATCCAAGACGGTCACGCCGACTTCAAGCAGCGGTACGTGCGCACAGACAAGTTCAAGAAGGAAGACGAAGCAAAACAGGCGCTGTTCGGGCGGTACCGGAACCCGTTCACGGACAACGAGAGCGTGCGCGGCGTCATCCGCACCGTGTCCAACACCAACATCACCTTCTGGCGGGGCATGCTTCTCGCCAGCAAAGAGGACGGGCCCCCCTACGCCATGGACCCCGTGTCGCTGGAGACGATCGGGCGCTACGACTTCGAGGGCCAGGTGACCACGCCGACGTTCACGGCGCACCCGAAGTTCGACCCGGACACCGGCGAGATGCTGTGTTTTGCGTACGAGGCCGGGTCCGACGGCTCCGACTGCGGCGTCGACATCGTCACCTGGACTTTTGACGCAGAGGGCAAGAAGACGGAGGAGCTCTGGTTCAAGGCACCGTACCCCGGAATGATCCACGACTGTGGCGTTTCGAAGAACTACATCGTGCTGCCCCTCACCCCGCTCAAGTCGTCGCTCGAGCGCCTCAAGGCTGGCGGGAATAAGTTCGCCTGGGACCCGAATGAGGATCAGGTCTACGGTGTGGTGCCGAGGCGCGGCGGGAAGCCCGAGGATGTCAAGTGGTTCCGGGCTGATAACGGTACGTACTTGACCTAGCTTCCACTGAGATAACGAGATATCCAGCAGCGAGCATTGGTTTCTGACGATGCATGCAACAACACAGGCTTCCACGGCCACATAGCTGGGTGCTACGAGAACGACGCCGGACACATCATCTTCGACCTGACCGTCGCCGACGGCAACGTATTCTTCTGGTTCCCGCCGGACGGCGAACGGCCCGACTTCGCCGCGCGCAGCCGCCTCAGCAGCCCCACCTGCCGGTGGGTGTTCAACCCGTCCGACCAGACGGGGACGCGGTACAAGCCGCTGCTGGAGTGGTCGACGAGCGGGGAGTTCTCGCGCATCGACGACCGCTACGTGACGAAGAAGTACGAGCACTTCTGGCAGCTGCGCGTCGACCCCACGCGCCCCTACGACTTCGCCAAGTGCGGGCCCCCCGCCGGCGGCCTGTTCAACTGCATGGCGCACTACACCTGGAACCCGGCGGACGAGAACAAGACGGGGAAGGAGGACGTCTGGTTCGCGGGCCCGACGGCGACGTTCCAGGAGCCGGTTTTCATCCCCAAGGACGGCGGGAAGGAGGGCGAGGGGTACCTGGCGGCGCTGAAGAACAACCTCGACGAGCTGCGCAATGATGTGGTTATCTGGGACGCGCTGGACTTGGCTAAAGGTCCCCTTGCGACCCTGCACTTGCCGCTGAAACTGAGACTGGGCTTTCACGGTAACTTTGTGGATCATAGGGATATCGCGGCCTGGCAGGAACGCAGAGCTGGTGAGCTGGGGCCGGTTCAGCCTGCTAAAGAGCCGTTGCCTTGGCAGAAGGCTTTTGAGGCGAGCAAGAAATAGCATATTAGTCCACAAGTCGAATAGGGGTTGAGGTTTGAATGAGTAGACACACTATATGATTCGGTCAATATACTTGAGGCTGTTTTCATATACAATATCTGATAGCATAATGCTAAAGATCGAACAAATAGACTCGTGAACCCCCCAAAGATCATATCCTACATTCGTCTTTGCCCTGAATTAGAGTACTAGTGATTAAAATATCCGTGGATGCCAATTTACAGATACAAGCCCTGATAAGCGTACGCTGTTATACACTGTCAGGCTTTACCAAATACAAGCCCACGTAGAAACGAAAAAGGTGCTTCTATACGTGGACGAACAGCCCTTAATTTGCGAGTTCCTGTCATCAGAGGGGATAATAGGAAGGCATCTAGTCTCTCGATCTCTCCGTCATCCTTCCCCTCTTCAACAGCACGGTCCAGTTTGCCGTTGTCGAAGGCGATGCCATGCCACAGCAATATACCTAAGATTTGTGCCTTCTTTACAAGCGCAACAGTTTTAGGCTTTCGAGCCAGGTCCGGAAGGCTTGCAAGAAGCTCGCTCCAGAATAATCTACGAAGCTGTCTTGCGTCGGGGTAGAAGACGAAGTGGCCGCCCCTGTCCTCTCCCAGGAGCTCTTGCAGCCCATACATGCCAATTCCAAAGGGTAGGAACTCTCCCTCCGTCCAGTCGATCAGTCCCGAAAGCTTTCCAGACGTTGGGTTTACAATGATATTCGAAGGAAGAAAATCGCCATGGCTTAATGTCCAGGGCAAGGCTTCTATCTCTGGAAGATCGAGAAGGATAGATTTTGCGATGCGGCGAAAGCGAAGGGGTAGGTTATTGGCCATAAGCTCTAACCGCCAACGAATCGAGGAGCCCACCGTTCTTCTCCTCGAGATATTTTCATGACTTATCGCATGGTCCCAAGCAGTGGCTTGCAGATGCGCAAAATCTCGGACTATTAGCTCCCGCTGGGATCTCACTTGCAGAAAGTCGACTTTTGCACGAAAGTCTGCCAGTGACACGCCCGGTATCCTTCTCATAGAATAAATGTAAAGACCAGTGCCTTCCAACTCCCCGAGGCACTCGGTTTCGGGAGCTAACGACCCAAAGATCTCGCAGGCGGTGTTAGAGATTTCCACATCGAGCTTATGAGCCAGCGGCCTGAATTGGACAACCGTTTGCTCGCCAACAAAGACTGTGTATGAGCAATAACCCTGGAACGAGGCGGTTCGTGTTGGCTCGGAGTACTTTAACTTGACGTATGCATCGCAATCATTTTGGACAATTGGCGGGAGCTTGCAGCGGTCGAAAAATGGCGTGAGTGAAACGCCGGAGTCTCTTGGTTCACATGTTGCCATTGCTGCATACGTACTACATACCTAGGTAGTACTACTGTTTGTATACCGATGAGAGCTTTCATCGGAAGAATAAAGCCATGGTGCAGACAACCGCAAGCGAAGGAGCAGGACTTAGCTAGTCATATATATCCCTCAAGTTCACTCTGTTTCTTGTTCAGCCAACAACCCATGTGAACGGACGGCTGGATGAGGGGTAAAGAAAACGATGGCTGATAAGCCCTCGCGTCAACACAATTTGGGGCTATAAAACAGCTGTTGGAGATGCTCAATCCGGGGGCCTCAGCCGAGCTCACTACACGTGCTACAGCGTGCCTCGCTGAAGGATCGCGCTATCGGTTTGCTCTATGTGCAGCATTGAGGCTCAGAATGATTGGTTAGGACAATAACACCATCATGCATGCCATGGCGGCTATGCATGAACGTGCATATCTATTTAGGTAGGTAAAGGCAGTTGGTTTCCATACTACCTTTGCTGAGCATTGCTTATGCCGGTTACTGTTTACCCGATGATCTCCGAGCCGTTTCGTGTTCATCTCTCATCAAGGCTACATATGTAGGTGAACGGCCAATAATGGGCAATGTGACTGGGTACCTAGTATTTCTGAGTCAGGTAAACAACTATTGGAGTTTTGGATGATGCTTTAATTGACAAGGTGTAAGAAGTATTAGATCAGCCCTACCATCAAAGACTAACGTCGATCTTTGTTTTCTAGTATCGTGAAGGAGTAGAAGAGCGGATATTTATTGAAGAATTGAAATACATCTTTTAAATAGTGACCGCCTTGGTTAAATGCATATTTACTTATTAGGAAGCTGATCATTCATTTACCACATGGCAGATGCTTCTAAGAGAATAATGCTTCAGCATAGAGTTATAGATATGACAACGCTGGATCTCAAGTCTTCGTCTTTCTTCAAACATATTATCTTAATTAGGTATGCATACGCGAAGGTCTCATGTGAAGGATCGTCGTAAATAAATTGTAAAGTTACTCTGTACCTTTGTGCTGAGTGCTAAGTGCTAAGTGATACATGTCAATCAATAATATTATGGGCATCAATAGTCAGAAGAAGTATTAACCCCTTTATCCCGCGTGACAAATCCTACTCGCTGCGCCGTTGAAGTTGGTTACCTAGAATAAAGTTCAGGGGCTGCTACAGACTGGACAGTCTAACAAGATTAGTGCAACATGTTTTCTAATGGCGGCTTCCCCGTACATGTCAGATTGTATGGGGTAGGTAAATAGGAAATATTGATTACTCTAGGGTCTAGGGAGGCCACGCTCGTTATTTAGGTGATACGCACCTTACTCAATACATAACACCTACTACCTAGTACCTACCTAGGGCAGGAAGGAGGGTAGGTGTGTAGTATCATTGATCTTAGACCCCTAACTCGCCTCTTGCCTTGGAACTATATTTAGGTGCTATTAGGTAAGAGCAAATTTCGTGCCTACCTGCTATGAATTGAATTGAGTTCTGTGCAAGGCGATGACTTCATCCGTTGGACGTGACCTTCCTTCACCATCACACGGGACTATAACGAAATTGAGTTGGGGGGCTTGGCCGTCATCCTCATCCATTCGTTGTTTCGGCCCCCTTGTGTTCCCAAGGCTTTGCGTGGCAATATATTCTCACCATGGCCTCTCTGGCTGTGGGATACTGGCTACCTGGTTGAAGACTATAAACATATTCAGTATTGGTATCCTTTATTGTCCTTTATGTCTATTTGATTTCTTGGACTACCGCCTCGTGTACAGTACCTAAACCAGTTTGCTGTTGTGGAAACTCATTCCAGCATGAAGAAGCGCATCGTCATGTGCTGCGATGGCACATGGCAAAACTCGTACGTACTGTGTAGCCTATAATCAAACTCACCATCTAACCCCCTTTAGGGATAATGGCTACATAAAGCCAACCGCTTCCAATCCAATTCCAACTCTCCAAATTCCGTCGAACGTAACGCGTATCTCCAGGGCCTTCAAAAGGGGCTGCTCCGACGGCACTTTCCAAATTGTATACTATCAGTCAGGCGTGGGTAGTAGATCAGGCATCATCGACAGAGTCCTCGGCGGCGCATTTGGAATAGGCATAGCAGAGGTCTGGAAATAATCGCTCCTCTCCACCAGTGGGCTGAGACTGACACGAGTCTAGAACATCCGGGAAGCCTATGCTTATATATGTGCCAACTATGTTGATGGGGATGATATCATCCTCCTCGGGTTCAGTCGTGGAGCCTTTACGGCAAGATCTATTGGCGGCATGATATCAGACCTCGGCTTGCTCACTCGCGAGGGCATGGAATTCTTTTACCCGGTCTTTAAGGACATGCAGAACTGGATGAATCCCGACTATAAGGACCAATTTCCTCAAATACCATTTCCCGACAAACCGAAAGGATCACATGCTATGGACGAGTACCGAAAGAGGCTTGTGGAGGTACCGTCCAGCCGTTATTTTATTCGTGTTTCGTGCCTGCTAATAAGGAATAGCAAGGGTATACCCGAGTGCATCAAAGGAAAGGCCAAGGTGATTTGATTAAGGTCAAAGCCATTGGTATGTTCCTGAGTGTCTCTACGCTGTATTAACGCATAGGAAGTTAACTTTCTCAATAGGCGTATGGGATACTGTGGGCTCCCTAGGAATCCCCCAGGGGAAACCAAGGGAGATACTAGCTCGTCTCGGGATCAAAATGCGCAACACAGAATACGTATAGCCCTCCATTCACAGCTTGGCTATAAACTGACAGTTAGCTACGTATCGGTTCTACAACACTAGGTTGTCGAACAAGATCGAGCATGGCTTTCACGCTCTCGCCTTAGATGAACACAGGGGTCCATTCAGCCCAACCCTGTGGGAGCGACAGCCAGATTATCGGGATACTTCAGATCTTCGTCAAGTTTGGTTCCCTGGAAGCCATGCAAATATCGGCGGTGGTTGGGCCGACCAGGGCGTTGCTAATATCACTCTTGCCTGTCAGTATTCCTCTCTGTGAAGTGACCAAATATTAACATGGCTGAGCACCTAGGGATGATGGATCAGCTCTCCTCTGTGGGCTGCGAATTCGTGCCCGACGCCCTCGAGAGACTATACGACCGTAATGTGCAATACTATCACAGTCTGAAGCCAGGCAGAAGCAAACGCGAGAAATGCGCCAAATGCTGCTGTCACTGCTGTTGTGGCATGGGAAAGAAGGAACCCCTGCCATGGGCAGCAACACCTATCTACAACCCGAACAAGCCAGTTCGCCCTTGGTCTCTACACAATATTCAATCAGTCAATAGCCCAATATACGACCTCGCTGGAAAGGTAACGCGTTTGCCCGGTATGTATAAAAAGACTAACCCAAAGCATGGCGGCCGTTTACGCACCTATCTCGAGGATACAAACGAGCGCATTCATAGCTCGGTACGTGTCCGCTTGGCCTGCGAAGGACTGGGCCTCAATGATTCCAATCTTTGGGAATGCCCTGCATTGCTACGGATGTGGCGTCCGCGTCGCGTAGTTCAGAAAATCGCAGACCCTGTGCCGTTTAATGCCAGCTGGGGTCCAAAAACCGGCAAGGCTAGCGAGGCTCCGATATTTGCTACCAACGAGGCCGCGGGAGGGACCAACGAGGTTACTCCTACTCCGGATACGGTAGTTCATAACACAAGGGAAAGAGATGAAACTGATACAGGTTCATTGACGCAAGCAGAGAACTCAATGCATCAGCCGCGTTGGGTTTGGGAATACATAGGTCCTGAAGTAGGTGCCCCTTTTGTTCGAACGCTGGTAGAGGAGAACATGGGTCCATGGGAACGACATTTGCTTCAACTGTCTACCGGCAAAGTACACGTGTGTGATTATGCCGATGCACAGAGGGTTGAGAACTATAAGGCGATCGTGAGGGAAACATTGAAGAAGTCGAAAAAGTCCAGGAAATCGCATAAATCAAGCCCATGAGGCAAAAGAATCCGCAAAGACCGGAATGGCTTGGATATCAATTAAATTGCATTACTTGGCGTTAGCATTAGTAGGCCGGTAGCTTTTTTTTAAAAAAAAAAATTCAATAGATAAATAACGGCTCAATAGAAAAACGGGCGATTTTAAAGACTGATTTGAACATGCGATGTGAAGGAAATCTCTTGGATTGAATGTAGTGGTGTCGAGTTGGGGACATCACGTGAATTGACCCAAGCCAGGCAACCAGCTACCAGAAAACGAATTTCTTTAATGGAGAGGTCTGACGAGTCGAATTACAACTCAAGCACAACGCATCATCTATTTTATATCAGCGTCGTATTTCCAGGAAAAGAAAAATACAACGACTAATTTCTCGAAGGAAAGTCAATTTCAAGATGTTGTCGATCCTCCGAAAAGCACGGGTGAAGGATAAGGAGATGAGGATCTTGATGTTGTAAGATTTGCCCAATTAACAGTAAAGAGCGGGTTGGTCTGTGGCTTTTGCAAATGGAACAGTGTGCTAACGGTCAGTGAATAGGGGCCTCGACAATGCAGGCAAAACCACCATTGTCAAGAGGGTAATGAACGAGGACGTCAATACAGTCAGTCCAACGTTGGGATTTATCATCAAAACTATCGATTATGAAGGGTGAGAGGGAATTCCCGTCCTACGTACCATAACTCCAAAAATTAACTTGCCATAGGTATAAATTGAATATTTGTAAGCCGCTCCAACTCGTCCAATAATACGTCAGGCTGCCCAGCAAGTTGTGAAGAGTGGAGGCTAATGAATTGAGGGGATATGAATAAAAATAGGGGATGTTGGCGGCCAGAAAACGCTTCGATCATATTGGCGCAATTACTTTGAGAAGACCGATGCCCTTATATGGGTCGTGGACGCAACGGATAGGCTGAGAATCGACGACTGCCGGGAAGAGCTCCATGGCCTATTGCAAGAAGAGGTTTGCTTGCGTACCTATTTCTTTCTACCGTCTTGTTAATTTCGTAGGGATGAAGGCTAACTAAATTCTGTACCAAAGCGTTTGTCGGGAGCAAGTTTGCTAGTATTCGCGAATAAGACCGACGTGCAAGGATGTATGGACGAGGCCGAAATTCTTCAGGGACTGCAACTTGAGGCGATCCGGACTCACCAGTGGCATATCCTGCGGTGTAGTGCCATGACGGGGCAGAATCTCAAAGAGGGACTGGCGTGGGTAGTTGAGGATGCCAAGGCCAGATTGTTCTTATATTGATAGGCGAGGGTTCTCTTGGTGCAAAGAACAAAAACCCAAGGCACTACTATGCACTGCGTACGTAGAACATAGTAGTACTAATACTGCCTAGTAGGTACTACCTACATTATTATACACATGTATAGGTAGGGAGGCACGTATAAAATGTATGTATTATACGGAGTCCGAATGTGATGGATTATTGAAGATTTTAAGACATCGATGATTAAACTTTATCACTGGAGGTTGCCGACCTCCGAATCACGTTACCCGTTACCTAGTACCGCCCAAGTATATTTCTTGGATTAGACAGCGGGATAAGGAGGAGGCTAGAGACGGGTAAATTCCCCGCTCGTGTAGGAGACAAATGAAACTCGTTATACCCGTGAACAAGGCTTCAATGTAGATTTCAAAATATCAATTGAATTGGTAGTAGAGTTTTATTCTTATGCATCATATCGAGAGATAGGAGACCGGAAATACTTCAAACATTGAAGTCTACGGTGTTGGTACACTACTAGTAGTACCTACCACTACCTGGTTATGGAGATAAAAAGATTAGGTAGGGTTGAATATTGGTCCAAGCGTCAGCACCAAACCAGGAATAGTCTAGCTTTAAGCTTTCTGGGTCAAGTTTCATCAGGCTGCGGCAAGTGTCAGGCACCATACAAGTGGACGCCGGGCACCAGGCTCTTGCCAGGATTGGCCGTAACAGGTTCGTCATTGGCTGGAGTGGCCTTTAGGGTGGACATCACTTGATCGCACAAGCTGACAAGGAGACGACTACCTGCAGGGATTTAGGGACTTAAACGATGACAACCGAATAAACACGAGCCCACATCAATGCTTCTTATGCCTCTACCCGCAGCCACTACCGACACCGTCCTTGTTTACAGTAAACGTCCATATGTATTGTATGGATGTTTTTATTTTCTCTGTCAAGAGTCCTTGAGCATAAAGTTCGGACTGCTTTAGATATTTAAGGCTGGCTCTTAATTTTTAGGCTTGCTACAATTACCACGAATATTCAACTTTTTTATTTCCCTTTTTTACCTTTCTTCTTTCCCACGAATTGTGTCCCCCACCGAAGAAAAACGGTGTAATCAGGGAAAGGGAAGAAAAAGAAAAAGAAGAAGACAAGCTTGACTCTCATTCTCGTCACTCGTTGCCGTGTAGTAGATCTATTCCTCGTCGTTGTCGTTACCCTTTGGACCTGTCGGTGAAATTATTAAAATGTCCGAGGACGTATCCAAATTTTTGATGCAGGTTAAAGAATTAGGAGACCGGCGAATTGAAGAAGATGAGGCCCGTTCACGAGAATTGGAAGAACGAATATTACGAGAAAGAAAAGAACGAGAAGCTCGCCGCGCAGGTATGCATACATTTCTCTTCGTATACCGTGTCAATTGACTACTCCTTAAAGTCCATTATCTATGGATTTTGTGTGGTGTGTGGTGCAATTTTACTCATTCTTCTTTTGCAGAACGCGCCAGATCTATTTCACCTCAGAAATCATCACCAGCAAATACCCCACCGCCTTCATCCCACCGAATCGATCACAACACCTCATTTTCTCACAGCTCCTTTTCCAACCGCCTTAACTTGGAATCGTCTCCCATCCTCGATCCGCCAAGTCCCCGCTCACATTCTCCGCCTAAGGCCGAAGAAATGGGTGCCCCAGGAGATTTTAGTTTAGCCTCGAAAGAGAACGAATTTCCAATTGATTCGGATCGCAAACAGTCTGGGCAGACTTCCCCCACACGATCAAGAGGCTTATCGTGGCAAAAACGACCTACTTCTCAGGCTTCCGAACGCTCACGAACCCGCCCATTGTCTGTCGTTGCAGCTGAGAATGCGGCTCGGAACCCCACTCTTGAGCCTACATCGGCAACCGAACCCAACTTTAGAGACCAGTCTGCTTCAGCACTGTCCTTCAAAGATCCCTCGTGGTCCCGCCAAACTGCAGATATTTCTGTGACAACAACTCAGCAATCGGGCACGCCACGTACTCCGTCTGGCGAAGCACCAAAAGAGGATATTGGTCCATTACTGGCCTCCCCTACCATAACGAACAGATTGGCGTCACCCTTGTCTTTATCAGGCCCTCAGAAATTAGATCCTCCTATCAGTGACGCCAAGTCGGACACTGAATTCGATCAAGAACAATCAGGCGTTATGTCACCTACATCCGGGCGAACCTCGCCATCTAGGGCAGACCGATCTGGCTCACCAACAAAGGGCATGGGAGGGTTTGTACAGAGTGCTATGATGAAGCGATCAGATAGCATTAAAAGATGGAGCGTCCAGTCGCCCACTGGCGTGCCGCGTACAGAGCCGGTTGTGTCTCATCGTACCGGAGGCTCTAAGTCGAGGCCAGCAAGTATGATTCGTGGCACTTCAATAGACCTTTCGCCGAGCCAACCCCCAGAGGAGGAAGGAGGGCAGCAGGGAGAGGAGGCTTTTCCCTCGGAGAAGCCTGCCGAATCGCTTAGGATTGAGATCAAACCTGCACCAGCGCCGCAGGAGGAAGATGTAAGCAAACCTACGCCTCCTGTTAGTCCATCCAAGAGCATGGACTCAAGGAGATGGAGCCCTACAAAGTCTAGCTGGCTCGAGTCTGCGTTAAACAAGCCGGAGTCTCCCAAGCCGAGGTCCAACACCACATCTAGCCCGCCAGCTTGGATGGCAGAAATCCAGAAAGCAAAAGCCGAAAAAGCAGCCAATCCTAGCGCAGAGAGAAAGAGATCACCAACTGTTGGGCATAGACATCAGGTGAGTATTGGGGGGCTTATGAGGACCTCAGCGCCTGGCACTACAGCGAAGCCAGTTGGACTTGGTCTTCCCAGCCCAAGCATTACACCAAGTGTCACTACGCCAAGTATCGCTTCGCCAAGTATCACTTCACCAAGTGTCAGCACCCGGCCAGAGAACATCAGCGCCCCGAAAGAGTTGCAAAGCCCAATGATACCAAAGGTGAAGAGTCCCAGTCCGGAGTACAACCCTATGGATTCGGCCTTGCCTATCACCAAGCCAAAACCAGAGGTCCCGGCCAAGTTGGCAGAGGCCCCAGGTAAGTTGGATTTTCGGGCCAATTTGAAGCCCAGACAACCATCAGCCACCCCGAATAGTGGTGAGGATACCGAGTTCAAAAATGTCTTTGGCAAGCTTCGAAAAACTACGACCCAGAACTACGTTGCCCCTGATGAACTTAAGGGCAATATCTTGAGAGGAAAGGCATCACTCAATAATACTGGAGGCCCAAAGAAGTCAGAGCGTGTTGATGAATTGAGGGAAGCTATTCTAGCAAGGAAGAAGGATTTTGAGAAGGCACAATCAGAAGGTCGTGGCGTCGCGCGAAACGATAGCTCCGCAAGCGAGAAACCAGTTCCTGAAGGTTTACTCAAACGAGTCGAACTTGGACGATCGAATATGATAAGGCGAGACTCTGCGACTTCGGAAACAGTAGATCCACAAAAGCCAGCTGTGACGCCAACCCGCGAGCCCTTACAAGCGCCGCCTTTTGGTAGTAGGCTGCAACGATTTAATAGTGCTGAGGATCGTGATCCTGCTCTGGACCCCGATCGCCCGATCATCCCGAGGAGGGGCTCAGCTCTGGTGGGACTCGCCTCCAAGGATAGCGATCCACCCCCTGCAACTCAAAAGGAAGCAATCACTCCCGGAAGATTCCAAGTAAAGCCTGGAGGGAATGCTTTGGCAAATCGGTTTAACCCTGCTCTTGCCGGTCTGCTCGCTAGAGGACCCCCTGGGGCTGCCCCTGCATCCTCGACTGGTAGCACGTCGATATCGAGCTCACGACCAATAACCTCATCTGGAGCAGACGACACCGGATCTGGCTCAACACCAAAATTGACACATATGACTAAGGGTCGTGCCCGAGGACCAAAGAGGAAAGCCCCTACCTCCGCCGCTACTACTTCAGTAGCGCCTGCAGGTTCAATCGAACCAAAAGAGAACCCTACCCGAGATTCACCACCACCGGCCCAGTCTCCTATTTCTACGCCAAATCCTCCCAGAACCCCATTGGCCGATTCTTCGAGGATAGGGCAAGATGCACCAACGGGACCAAGGCCATTGCCCATTTCTTTAGGCAGCGCCTCTAAGAAATCATTCGAGCCAAGCCCAGAAGAGGTCCCCAGCAAAGTCTCAACGTCCCCCAGCAAAATCCATGAGCAGGTAGCTGCATTCCCTGTCCAGAGAAGACCGCGATCACCAACGAAAGTTTCCGAGGAACCTAAGGAATCTACCTCACAGCCATCTTCGCCGAGAAAGTTAGACATGAAGCGAATGTCGCGCTTTCTTGACGACCCCAACGTAGTCGCTGGAAAAATTGGCGATCAGGAACCCAATGATGCTAAGAAAAGTATCGATCTACCCTCAGCGGGAAGACCCAAGTCAAGCTACGGCAAACCTCCCAGTCCAAGCGCATTAGAAAGTCAGCCGCAATCGCCCTCATTGAACAAGCCGAGGACACCATTGCAGGAATCTATCTCTTTAGCGTCCCCAAGACGGCCATCTGTTGATGCCATCAAATCTACTACTTCCTCCGGGCCCCCAAGTACTGTCGCCTCGGGTGGACGACCCTTGCCCGCCGTCCCACCAACTTTGGGACGAGATTTACCGTCACTCAACCGGCCATTGCCAGCAGAGCCAAGGGGGCCAAGATCACCACCTATTCCATCGCCTACGCGCTCTCCCACCAAGCAATTACATGATGCATCTACTTTACTTGGTGATTTCTTCGGCCGTGAGCGCCCCAAAGGGACATATGACGTGGACGCTGCTGACTTACTAATGCAGCGGCCGAACGTTGCGCCAACTAAAATTCAGACACTGAACACCCAGTTATTCCAATTCTTGTCAGACGGCAAGAGAGTGCCAGTCCCAACTCACTACGAACGGACTCTATTTGAACGTGAGATGTATATCTGTTCTCATACGTTCAAAGAAGAGTCAGGCAAGAAAGTTACAGAGGTCTACTTCTGGGTGGGGGACGACGTCCCTCATTCGGATGTAGAGGATGCTTCAGCATATACCTCCCGTGAAGCAAAGGCTCTGGGCGGCAAGCTAATAAGGCTTCAACAGGGCAAGGAGACACCCGAGTTTCTTCAAGCACTGGGCGGTATAGTCATTTTCCAGCGAGGCTCAAGTAACAAATTCGATTCACTAGCTCCGCACTTGCTATGCGGAAGGCGATTCCACGGGCATATTGTCTTCGATGAGCTTGATTTCACTCCTGCAACCCTATGTTCCGGATTCCCGTATGTTGTAACGACGGGTATGAAATGTTACTTGTGGAAGGGTAAGGGTAGTGGGGTTGATGAGATAAGCTGCGCACGCCTCATATATGCGCCTGAAGAAATCGAGGACGGTCATGAGCCGGAAAGTTTCTGGGGCCTTTTTGCTACCAATTCCAAGCCCGTATCAGCCGACCATTGGCGTCTGAAATCTAACTACGATCAATACTGCTGCAGGTTGTTTTGCTCGAATGCAGCCTCCAAGCAGCAAGTAAGTTACACGCTCCCCTTCCACCATCACACACAGACATGTATGTATTGACGCTTGATACCCCGCAGATCGTCGAGATATCTCCTTTCTCGCAGGGGGACCTCCACCCCACGGCAATCTACGTACTTGACGCCTTCTTCGAGTTGTACATCATTGTAGGCTCCCGTGCCCAGGCCCAGTATTTATCATTCCATAACGCATTGGAATTTGCTCAAGAGTATGGAATTCTCGCCGCGGGTATGGAGGACAGGCCTTTTGTTCCGTTCTCGACGGTTGTCTTCGAGGGTATTCCCCGAGACATGAAGAGTGTCTTCCGTAAATGGCGTGACGTTGACAGTCCAACGGTTACGAACGTGAGCACTGGATTAAAACGAGGACGCAGTCTTCGCGTCGTACCCCTCAACCAGGCACTACAAGCTCTAGGCGATTAGGAGTCGTTTTGGTCTAAATCGTAGTTACCTAGGTACCTGACTTATCAGGAATTAGAGGGAGCTGGAGGAGGAGAGAAGATAGTTTGAGGGAGACTAGTGATTCAATACTGATACCCTCGCATTGTGACAAGCTGCAAAGCCATACCTCTACTATGTAATCACTCAATTCGTGTATCTAATAGGGGGTGTACATGTCGGATTACAAAGACGGGCAACGGTGGTAAGGAAGCACGTATGATATTATGTACGCTACCTAGTATACAATCGGCACGGAAACCTGTTATTCGTGGCTGGTTTAGTACGCCATTAGATATCACGACGAGATGATTCACAAGAGACAAGATAATATTACGCCATTCAGATCTCGACGTTTAGGGAAAGAGGAGGATAAATCTTGTCAATCCAGATTTAAGCTCCTTGTGCTCGCTCGCCTACAATGGTAGCCAGAACATTGAAGTAAGATGGTGTGATGTACTGGCTCCAAGGCTGCTGTGGGATGGCGCTAGGGGGTTGATAATGATAATGGTGTTTTCGTGACCTAGGATCTCGAACTTGTTTTCAAAACAGCTGCTAGGTACATGTACAGTATCATAGTATGTAGGTATGTATCACCAAGAGATTGAAATGCGATTATGTACATGAGGCGATGTAGTTAGGGTGGTGTGGCATCTACCTATCATTCCAAGACTCGAGGAATATCGTCAGCAGCCTCTGTCGTCACCACCGCGCAGGTACGTGAATACAATATAAGCAACCTCGGTAGGCGTCAGAACATTGGCGAGTACATACATACATAGTGTAAGCGGAAAAAAAGAAAAAAAAGGAAAAGGGAGGATAAGAGAGGCTGCTTATTTGTTTAATTACCGACGTGCAGATCAGCCTTGTGTATACTACCTAGAAATTGAATAGGTACTTCTATCTCTCTCCTCTTCTACGTAAGTATGTAAGCTTATTCGCATCGTGATCATATGTATTGCACTATAGTCGAGATATGCACAGTACCTATCTAATCTGTGTTGCTACTTACCTAGGTGAAGCAATTCAAACACCGGCACTTTTGTTTACCTAGGTAGACAGGCAGATTCTGTTCCTGCGCAGCAGATCTCCGCCAAAGTAAACAAACTGTCAAGTAACAACAGTAATTAGTTCAGGTAACGATCACAGCAAGCTGCTTGTGTTACCTGGAGGCTGGCTGGGCTGGCTACCTACCTCGGCAGATCAACATGGTAGTCAGTAATTAGCTCAACATGTATAGGTTAGGTAGACCGTAGTGTTAGTACGTAGATAGTCAGGTGTTGACGCTCGTATACGGGTAGAAGAGGGCTCTTATTTAGTCTCGACTGTCATGATCCGACTTTTCTTTGTTCTACATAGCTGCTAGACTATTGGTGGGACAAGTAATATGTCAAGTATGTATGTACGGCTAGCTGGAGCTTTTGCTACTGCCTGTATACATGCTACTAGCAGTGAATGAGGTAAGGTGACATCTATACTTATTACTGGCATCTGCCTAGGCCCATAGAAGCCGGTAACCGAGTTGAAATTCACACTACCCACCTAAAGCTAGGCACTGAAGTGAGTAGTACACTACTAACTAGTGGCAGGTTATGGCCCTAGGAAATCCGTGTAACCGCAAAAAATAGCTGGCAAATAGGTACGCTAGCCGGCAGGAACAGCACTCGAATCAGGGCACAGCAACAAAAAGAACCTGGACGGACGCCTAGATCCCGAGAGAGCGGCTTGGACCGCTATAATCAAACGATTGGGGTCCTTTTTTTTTTCTTTTGTTTTTTCTTTTTGCTTTTGCTTTTTTTCTCTTCAGGTTTTCCTTGTAGGGAAGGACCTGGGTTTATGGGTGGGGGGTCTTAGACTCTTTTTTAGTTATCAACATTGAAGCCTGGGAAAATTCGGCAGGGAAGTGGGATGTACAACACGTAGGTAGTATACTCTGCATATAATGATGTCTTTGACGTTTTTGTTTAATTTCGGGTACAAGTTTCCGACGTCGTAGGGCTTTTGTTTATATTTGTTTGTGATTATCGTAGGGCTGAGAGGGATACTGTATGTCTGCTTCGATATGCTGGGTACATAGTGTAGGTGGCTATGTGTGCTGATTCTGAAAGGCAGACTGCTTGCCATGTGCATATGCTATGAGATATTATAAATATGTGTACCTAATATCTACGTGCAGGTGAAGAAGTGGTTACGTACAGGATCCCTACATAGGTACTATGTATGTATTATCTGCAGGGCTTGATTCTTCAGTACTACATATGTATGTACGACAACAAGCTTGACTCAATAAACAAGGTACGTGCATAAACACTTCGAACCCGACAGAAAAAAGATCTGAACAGGGAGGGAGAGTCGATATACTAGTATTACCAGCCCTGGTCGATGATGTAAGTGTATCTTAGACTCAACTCGATCTATGAAAATCCCTGCACCAAGGAGAGGGGAAGAAAAGAAAAGAAGGAGGGGTGCGATGTGTGTCTTGTGGAGCGTGAAAAAAAAAAACCAGCCTTTTCGGATAGGTACGATAGGTAGGCTAGAAATAGACACTTACGTATAAGTAACACTTACGTGAACGGTTGCGTGGTGCAACACGCGGTTTGTGGGTGTTGTGTGAGAGACGCTAGCTAGATGGGCCACTAGGGGAAAAAAAGCCTAGGTTAGTTGATGATGGAGGCTCCATAAACCGGCGGTAGGTGATGCCGAGTACCTACCAGTGACTGTTGAGACCGATTTTTATAGAGAAGGAGAAGGACCAAAGGGAGCTAAGAGACACAAGTAAGAAAAAGAAAAGGGAGAGGAGAAACTCGGCGAACCGTTCTACTTTTTGAGGTATCAGGAGGCTAAGACTGTTCGTTATTCAGGGGGTTTGAGACACATTGGGGAAAAGGGTATTGTGAATTAATTAAATTAAACCTTTCGTGAGAAAGGCTTTTTGATGAATAAAATGTATATACAAGAAGTTTTCCAAAAAAGACCATGCCTACACACAAACACAATCGAGAGTCTCCTGGAGATTATCCAGGAAATCCTCTCTTTCGTCTCCTGCTTTTTTTACCACTAAATATTAGTAGAAAATGGCCATTTCCTATGTCGTTCGAATCAAAATCGTAAAGAGGTTTCTACCACACCCCTTCTCTCCGAGATCAGAGATAGAGAAGGGGGAAGAAATAAAGTGAAAAGAAGCTCAAAATGTTCGTGTTCCCGTCCCATGTTTGTGTCGTGAATGAATGCCGCCCGAGATTTGAAAAGAATCATATCTCTCTCTATAATAAATAACCCATACCATAAATTACGCCCCCCAATATCCCTTTAGGTGACTAAGCATGTGCGCGTTAAATCCTTAGACCCCCCAATTGGTGATTTGCTTGTTTTTCAAAGCAAAGCAAGTTGGTTCGTTTATAGAAGGATGGCAAGACCAGCCAGAGCTAGGACAGCCGCGGCCGGGGTAGCCCGATGGGCGAGGCCGGTGGGGACTGCGACTTCGCTGCTGGTGGAAGCAGGGGCCGCGGAGGAGACGGTGGAGACGGTGGTGGGGATATAGGTCGTGCCGACAGAGGTAGCAGCGGAAGAGGAAACGGGGACAACGGTGGAGACAGTGGTGGGGTAGGGGACCACAGTCGTCGCGGGCTTGGTCTTGCTGACGACGGTGGTCTCGCTAGAGGTGATCCAGACGGTGGGGACAGAGGTGACGGTCTCGCCGGCGGAGGCCTCGGAAGTGACAGTTACGCCAACCTCCTTGGTCTTGGTGACGGGTAGAGTCTCAACAACAGTGTACTTGCTGGTCTGGTAAAGCGTCTCCGTGCCGGTCTCGGTCACGTAGATGGTGCTTCCCTCAGAGACAGTGGTGTGAGTCGTCTCCGGGCAGGTGACGGTCTCGAAAACCTCAGTAGAAACCTTCTCGGTTACGGTGTACGAGGTGTACTCAGTGGCGGTGGTGGGAACGGCGGTCTTGATGGTAGAGGTGGAAGTCCACGTAACGACGACCTTGGATCCCTCGATGGTCTTAGTCTCGGTGACAGGGCACAGAGAAGTTAGAGTAGTGTAAGCCACGGCCTCCGTGGTCTTGGTCTCTCCAGCTCCGGTGACAGTCGCATAGAGTGTGGTCTCGAGGTGAGTAACAGCCACACTAGTCGTCGTGTATGTAGTCAGGTAGGTCTTGCCAGGGGCAGTAACCGTCTCAGTGACAGGGCAAACCGTCGTGTAGGTAACCTCAACAGCGGTGGTGGTACCAACAGTCTGGGCAGGTGCAGTTACTGTAGCCTCTCCTGCGCATCCACCAGGGCACTTAGTAACAGTGATGGTCGAGGTAGTGAGGGTGGTCTGTTCGTAGGTTCTAAGATGTTATGAGCATTGGTTCTCCACAGTGGAGAGTCAGGTAGTAACTTACGATCCTCCGTAGGTGATCGTGTTCGTGATGGGGCAGACGGTGGTTGTCTCATAGGTTGTGGCAGTGACAACCGGCTCAGTTACATTATATCCTCTCTTGCCGACTCTGGCAACGACGGAAGTGGCCAAAGCCAAGATAGCGATAGTTCCCCTCATATTGATTAGAGTTATGGTAGAGTTGGCGATACTCGTAGTGAATGTGAGTGAAGCTAGTATGGCTCAACGAGAGTCTTAAGTAACCTTAACGAACGAGTTACTTGATAGCGAGGTTCTTGAGAAATTAGTAGGTTGGGAAGAGGTTGGTGATGATGGGTGAGGAAGGATCATAAAGAAGACGGGATGGGCGAACTCCTTATATGCTCGTCCTACCCTACATGCAAGAGAGCTGCACGGCGTCGCTAGTGGCATTGCCATGAGTCCATGACATCCTCACACGGCCTAAGTGCCCGGCCAATTTACGAACGCAGCGGGGAGGGTCTGCTTCGGGGAGTGCTGTCATGTCGAACAGTGGACAGTGAGCAGTTGGTAGAGAAACAGTGAAGAGAGATAGGAGTGGGTCGAGCCGACATGCTTACGGAGTTCAGAGATTAGCATGTACATAAGATAGAGATGGTGCCCAAAGAAAAACATGCTTCACCAAGCTTCACTAAACATAGCTCAACTGGGAAGAAAACGGACGATCTTAGAAGGCGACCTTGTCGATCAGCCTGATCGTTCCACTCTACCTAGCACTCCTCGTACTCCTAGCACTTATGATAAAGCCACTCAAGACGTAGTGTATGTAATCGGTCGAGTTCTATGTATGTAGGTGGTGTATGTAGGTAGTGTACCTAGGTGGTGTAGATAGTAAGAACTGGTTTGGTGTTGGTGGACCAGGTATTCCGGCAACCGGAAGGCTAGAAAGGACGGACGTAGGTCTGGTCTCCGGCTACCTAATGCAGCCAAGACTCACGATATCGCAGATGCAAGGGAAAGGCTGGTTGCTGCACCAGGGTGTTTACAGCTTCGATCTGTTTCGGGGGTCACCCATGTCCGCCGGTAACAATGATGTAGTCGAGGCTGAGATCATGGAAGAGCGCTGACCTGACAACGCACCCAACCCCTCATGAGCAACATGATTATGTGAGGTATGTATGTAGGTATGTATGTATGTACCTACACAAATAGGATGTCACCGCTAGAACCTGCGTAATAACGAGCATGCAGGGCGTTTACATACATGTATGTATGTATCTACCTAATACCTAAGGTAGGTAGTATGTAGACAACAGGACAATACCATCAAGTTCCACATGGACCTTTAGGGTTGGCCACTAGTTACCATATTCCGATATGAGGTAACGAACTTATGGCAACGATCCAGGAGAAAGTCGTCTGGTTGTAGCACACCTACGTATAACTATCCCAACTTTTACTCAGTGATAGTTAATACGTGGCAAAGGGTGATGACTACATGAACGCTGGTGTCTGAGTCTAGATACCCCAGATAGTTCACGACAGGTGCCACCCATTACTTGTCGCGCTGAGCATGTCCTCCGGGGATACCACGATGTTACGGTGACTGCGGTTATGGCCGGAAATTTTCCATAGGTATGCTAACATCCATGGGTAGCTCTTGCGATCGAGATTATGGGTGGTATGAGCGATACCTAGTAAAGTACCCAACCTAGGTACATATCTGGGTAGATAAACGCATGGACCTATATTGAAAATTTTGACGGCAGCAGCATGAGAATGGCAGCATGGATTATAGGTCGTCATAGAGCGGTTGCTAGGGTGTTTGTGTGCACCACCACCAGCAGTAGAGAGCAGCAGGTAAGCTCGTGTCCGTGTCCGGGCAACTAGCTCTTTAGCGAGCATGACAGGATCTGCGTGCTGTTGATAATAGGCGTCCAGTAAGGTGACAAGATGGATTTGTGACGGCATGCAGTTGTTAGTGAATCAGCAAAACTTGCTTTTGCAGTATTTTGCAGCACCTAGCCAATCCAACAGCCCAGTGAAATCGAATGCTTTCTCCACACCGGGCCTCACCCGTCTAACTAGTCCAAGACTCCCAGCCGTGTCTTGTCGTCCCTTTTCCCTCTCTAGGGCGGAAACAGCTGCATACTACTTTTAGTACGCCTCTCGCCTCTCGAAGCTCACATATTGTCTATATTTACCTATATGTAGGTTAGGTACTAAGAGGTAGACAGACAAGTTAGTCGTTTAGCACCTAGGCTAGATCTAAATAGTTTTCGTCTTTTTTTTTTCTCTCTGTCCGCGTTTCTTCTCGTGTCTGGTGGATTCTCTCGTATGAGGCTTAAGCTTCTTAACTAGGGGCAATTAAGGTACCGGTAGTCTGGTTTCCCACGCTCGCAACCGTATATAAGATGGAGGGGGCCACGGTAACACCACGAGGCCGGGTAACAGGGCAATACCTACCTAGGTCGGTAGTACATATGTAGGTCGGTAGGTAGGCCTAAGTAGATACTTAGAGTACATAATCGAACCTGAGTCTTGTCTCGGTTGGTCAAGTTAAATTAGGTGGCCCTTTATGAGGCCGGAAAAGATGGTCACACTGCATTGTTGAATGTATGTATTCTGCAATATGTGCCACTCTGATATAACCTGATCGAATTGGACAGCATCTGAAGTGGTGGGCAATACTTGCCGTGCCACGGCGTCGACGTTTTCTCTTGCTTCCTTCCCCTCCCGCGCAATTGGCATGCATGCCTAGTACGTGGAAGTTCTATAGAGCAATCATCTTGCTATAGGTACCGTAATACTATAATACCGAATGATCGTCCCACGTCATCGCAGAAAGTGGTTATATCAATGATTGAGTACCTAAGTCCGCATGGATGTGATTCTAGGTTGAAGGTTCATTCAAGTTTGATAATTTTAGGAAGATGAGGCTAGAATTCAATTGTTGGGCTGAGAGAGATATGTACATGTAATGGACAAGTTTCTGTGTACTAGGTAGATAACTATGGTGTGTTTTCTTTTTGGTCATGGAACTCTTTGGCGATAGCTCGGGTACGGGTACTTGCATATATCACTTTAACAGAAGGCTATGGCAGTGGTACATTTTATAATGGATTCAACACACTACCTAGTATCTTTATACACTTTAGTAGATCTTATGACTTTAGTAGAACTTATGTAGATATATTATGATGAATAGTGAGTCCATCCTTTCAGTTCCTGTACAATACGGATATCTAGTATCCCGTCCAAGACCACGCTCCACTATCCCTTTCTAGACCTCACAAGCGTTCTGCTCACTAGTAAATGCTAGATCAGTATCTAGAATAGCATCACGAGCCTGGGTGAATAGAGGTTCAAGGTTGTCTAGGTAAGGGCATGGATTTCGTTAGCTCTTTTGTCCTCAAGTGAGAGAACTCTGGAAACTAATAATAGAGGTAACTAACGCACAGGGCTATAGCATCTAAAATAATCTTCATAGCAAGATATCTATTGTCGGTTGATACGCCATCAACTAGTTAGGGCCGCTCGGCGTCACTTTTGCCGTTCTTGTCGATTAGCTTCCAGAGAACCTCTGACAACATCGTGGCCCATCCGGAACCAGCCGGATGCACATCTCCCAAGAAATTGTTGATCTTGGAAAATGTCTAACCTAGGAGTTCGCTTCCGTACTAGTCGAATGCATTGCCTCTCGGGCTGTCTGTGGATGAACTCAGTCGCTGTTTCGGCATAATCGGGACATCTTAATATCTTATATACTTATTATGGACTACAAGGACTAATAAGTATTCTTCCGACGGCCGAGGAATTCAACGTCACACTCGGTATATACTATAGCACGATATTTTCTGAGCCTTTTGTAAACCAAATGCGAAGAGCCCCGCAAGAAGTTGAGCATGTAGACGTTGAGGATTTGCAGCCCACCAAATGTTGTAAGAGAAAGGCCATTTGCCGAGGCATGTTTCTTTGCAGGGACAACGAAACCACAGGAGACTTGTCACAATGAACAAATAAATTGGCAATAATGGCACAGCAACCTCCCCGAGATTCGCAAGGCCAAGGCCAATGCCGTTAATCCCAATCGTGTTGTACTTCTAGTGTCGAGAAGCGTGCCGAAGTGCAATGAATACTCGAGATCACCACCAAGCCCATCATCCATCAAGAACCCGCATCCAAACCACCTAACCACCTCTCCAACTCCCCCGTCCATCCCCACCGCTCATCACCCAGCGCAAGCCCGAACCCGTGAGGCCCCGAGGGCAGAACCAGCAACCCAAACGGCCTCTTGTGCCTCGCCATCGCCGCCGCGAACCCCAGCGTGTTCTGCACCGGCACCGCGTCGTCGTCCGCCGTGTGGAACAGGAACGTCGGCGGCGTGTTCTCGCCCACGCGCTTCTCGGCACACAGTGCCTGCTCCGCCTCGCTGCCCGCTGGACACGAGTCGCCGAGGAGGTTCCGCCGCGACCGCGCGTGCGTCGTGTCGGCTGCCATGCTGATTACGGGGTAGGCTAGGATGGCGAAGTCGAGCTTTGCGTCGGCGTCCGTCGCTATCATGGCGGCGAGGTGCCCGCCCGCGCTGAAGCCCCAGACCCCGAGGCGGTCGAGGCGGCCCGAAGCCCAGATGCGGCGCACTGCCTCGAGAGCCTCGCGCTGCGGGGTTGGGGAGAGGGGTGCGGAGGGGTCGGGCGCTGCGGGGGACTTGGTGGCGTACGATAGGACCCATGCGTCCATGTTGCGCGAGATCAACCATCGCGCGGGTGCGAGGCCTTCCCTCTCGTAGGAGATGAAGTCGTAGCCACCGCCGGGGAGGACAAGGACGCCGGTGCGGTTGGGGTATAGGGCAGGGTAGAAGTCGAGCTTGATGTCTTCGGAGGCCATGGTAATACCGGTGCTCATGTGCTGTTGGGTGTGTGACGGGAGAGTTGTTGAGCTAGCTGCGATACTGGGGGTTGGATTATGTATTAGAGAGGGGGAGATAGGTGGGGAAGGAAGGGAAGGTCAGCTAACCTAGTGACTTGACTTAGATGGTACCTAAGCCTATCATATAACCCCTTTTCTATAGCTGATGATTATTTACTAGTTAGCAGATATTTGAGTCTATGCATAGTATGAAGAAACATTTGTCTTCATAGGTACTTACCTAGCCTAGATAGATAGTAAAGTCCTTTGTGGTGTTAAGTCTAGTATATAAACTATCAGCATTGAAGATGAAAAAAGCGTGTATCTACCCCTATACTGACTTACTACTGGTCCTGGTTGGTATTATTATTTACTCTAGATTTATTTTAATTAGCTTTCAAGGTAGGGAGACGGTATGTGTTAGTCATTGGTGTATAATAGGTCGGGGTCTGTCATGTTATAAGCGTTTCTTTGCGTGGTGTTAACCTGAGGTAGGTGCCTTTCTTCGCCCTCCTTCTCTTTTTTCAACACCAACAAACCCACCCTACCCCCCTTAACCCCCCTTAAACCCCCCTAACCCCCCTAACCCCCCTAACCCCCCTATCGCTCCGTCTATAACGCCTATTAGGTGTCCTACCTTCCGTACCAGGCGTCGAACCAGGCATCAAACCAGGCATCAACTTCGCTACGCTGCCTAGGTACCTAGGGCACAAAACTATTAATTTAATATATATATTCATCTTCTTGTTAATAAAAACCTTTCTTCCGTCAACTATAACGTGTTGCGCGGGGTCTCTAGGGCCATGGCCCTAGCCCTGTAGCAGCCTTATATATATATCTTGACACATCACCAGCCAGCTTCGTTGGGAATGAAGCAACCTTTCTTTTACCTCTTTTTCCTTCTTTTGGTCGTTGTGACCAGCAACACAATCACACACTATTCCTCAGCTTGCCAATATGTTTGGATTCTCGTTCACGTTCACCGACGTGGGCGGATATTAATTTTATTCGCCTCATCAAGAACTTCGCGACCTTCTGCTGTGAACACCTCCAGCAGCACACAAATATCGACCGCATCAACATGCGTGTTGAATAGGACGCAGGTATAGGTAAGTACTTAGGTATAGTTTCTTTGTTTACCTTAAATCTCAGTCGCCTCTTCTCGTCTTCTCCCCCATCAGCGTGTTGACAACTACCTAAGCGTCAACACATACTTTACAATCCCGATATTCTTTCGCCCATTTTCAGCCGTCTCTATTCACATTGATAACTTCACATTGCCTTGGACGCCTGTGCGCCTGGTAGCAACAAGGTAGAAATAATCATTGACTTTAACCTCTATTTTATGTAGAGATTTATCTTTCGTCCTCAATCAATTTCGCTGCTTTCTCTACATTACAGAGTCTTGCGAGTTTGATGGAACCTCACGAATAACGTCGACTTCCTCACACACAAGTACTTGGCCGGCATCTCCATCTCAATCATGCTGGCCGGCGAGCAAGGTACGTTTTCCTTTTCTTCATAGACAAACCTCCCCCATCTAGCTTCCCCCATGATTTTACTCTCTACAATTAAGAGGGTAAATAGTACATTACCTCGGTATTGAACACGCAAAGACTCTTAGTGCTGACAATCCCTCAATAGGGCAAGTGTATTATGGCCTGAGAGGAGGGCCACATCGACAGTGGCCGTCCTCTTCTGACACCAAAGTCTTGCCAACCCCAGACTTTCCAGAGATGTCTTAAACGCCCGAGGACCTTACACCTCTTCGAGGAGTCTGGTGAACCTACCGCACATCTAAAGATCCCAATCAAGTCTAACCTGTCCATCATGGCTAAGACAGTATACATACACTATCCAGACTTAACCCGTGGATAGGCGAAACAAGATTTCAACATGCTTGCTGATTCCTGGCAGCTAAGCATGAAGGGCCTTCTTCTCTCTCCAATTAGCTACAATGCTGACACAGAATGTTCCCGAGGGCCATCAGCCAACGATGGCCAAGCACAAGCCTCCCACCGCAATACACGGCTGTGGGAGGCTTGTTCCTCGGGAAGCACGTTATACGATGTGTGAATGATTGAGCTCCAACCCTCCGGCACTCGTGCTTAGGGTTTCTGAATCATATCACACCTGAGAAAGACGAAAGTACGAGGAACATCACTTACCGACTCTAACAATTCGCCTCGCCCTCAATAACATTTCTTGATAGCTACTCCTTGTCTTCACAAATGCGGCAAGAATCAAACAAGTTACACGACTCTAGCAAAAACCACTAAAGATCAAGATAACCGGCCTGGATTGTCGTCTCTCTCGTCTCTTCATCAGCAAAACACCTTTGACTAGCAGCTAGTATCCCTAAACGCCCAATCATACTCTTACACCTATGGACAGTGGAGCGCCGGAAGAAATGGCGCCATTCACACCGGGCTCCGGAGGGAGCCATTTACAATGTCCAAGGCATGGTGGTGGCCGTTGTTCAACCTTACTCCTGATACCATCATCATTCACACACCACCTGATGGGCGTGGGCCGGCTACAGAATCGCCATTTGAACGCAGGCATCGGCGTCCTCGTCCTCATGGATGCGTTCAAAACACCATACAGCCAGCACTACTACATGGTGTCCTACGGCAAGAACTGCGGAACCCTCGACCATGGCCTCGGTCGCAATGACGAAGAGCTGTTTGAGTGTGCAAAGTAGAGCACCCTGCGACACCAATTTGGAAGGAGAGGAACAGACGTGCGTGCTCTCAGTCTCAGACGACTCCAACAATAAGCGTTACCTGAGAACCCTACCTTATCTGCATCCGACTGTAGATACAGATGACAACATGCGCATCACGGCGTCGCTCTTGACAATGGCGAGATCACCACGAGCTACTACTCACTCGGAGACGGCCAACTCACCAACACCGACACCGACACGCACTCCTTCTACCGGCTGTTTTACTTAACCAAGAAAGCAGCAGAGGCAAGGCCGGGTGTTCTGCATCCGCTGCCATGATCCAAGTCAAACAATGGCTGAGCCCAAAACGCAGCTGATATCACACAATCAGCTGACGGCCCTTGGCTTTTCTTCTCTTCTCTCTTCTATGCACCCTGTCTGTCCCGTTAAATCCCACAAACCGCACCAAGAAACTGTGGCCGCCCACTGTCCGTCGTTTGCGAATGTCAATCATTCGTCGCATGGTCGTCGGCTCTACTATGCTTGTCTCCTTTCACAAATCTACCATCGGTTGCTGCTCGCTGCTCCTCGCTGAAGAAGATGACCTAACAGCCTCGGGGAAGCCCCAGAGAAGCTACCTGCGAGCTTCCCCATGGCTGCGTAGACGGCAGCAGCAGCGGAGCTTCGGTGGGACGATAGAGACGAAGCCGACGAATAGCTTTGATGGAAGTAGTGAAGATGAAGAGGAGGACAGTGACTCAGACCAAGAAAACTTCGGCGAATAGGCAAACGCGGTTTTCTGAGATTGAGATCACAGTTCGCTCAGGACACTCTCTTCACTCAAACTCCAGCCCGAGTCCGAAGATATCTCGTGGGCATCCTCGTCCTCTCCACCCGGGTTCATCGACGCGGGCGAGAAGGAGTACTTCAAGCGTTGTCAAGGATAAAGTTGAAGAAGAGTCCCATCATCCCGCGGCCGTCTGCCTCTGGGGGCCAGACGAGGCGATGAAGTTGCTCTTAACTGGGAGTTTCCGCTTGCGGATAGTTTCGCCAACATATCCTTTACCACTGTAACGGTAATGGAAAGGGAAAAAGGGGAAATGGTGGTAGCAGTAATATGGACACACACCACCTCAACGTGGAGACAGGCCAGGACAAACAACCCCAGCGGCAGACCAACTGAACTGGTCATCCATCGTGTAGCCGCAACACAGACTCGTTAGCGTCGGTTCGACCCAACGCCAACCTCATCGGTTGCTGCTCGCGCCCATTGCAAACATGGGGGCTTCGGGGAGCAGCGGAGAACCATCCCATGGCTCCCCGTGGCCGCGTGGGCGGCGGCGGCGGGCAGCAGAAAACTTCCAAGGGACAACGAAGGCGACGAAGGGCTTCTGTCTTCCCCGCCACAGCCACATCAATGACAACCGCAATGAAACTGGCAACAGCAATGGCAACGACAACGAAGCTACCCCAGAGCGTGAAGGAGGTCGTGACGTCTCTGCAGCCGCAGACTGCTCGTCGTTCGGGAATTCCCAAAGCCCCGACGATCGTCGGTTCTGCTCGGCTCTGCTTGGGTCTACTTGAACAATTTCCCATCGGCTGCTGCTCGCTGCCCACTGCCACCCCACGGCCTCCCCGTGGCCGCGTGGGCGGCAACGTCAATGGGCACCAACCAAGTTCGGTTTGGCGCAGAGCTACCATTCTTACCTCGAGCTTGAAGTCGCCAACGAAAAAGGCGAGAAGTCAACCGTGTGCCTCGACACCGGTACATCAAACAGAATGGTCTGCCGCCAATGGTCGGACGACTTTATCGTAAACTACAACTGGTAGCACCCTCTCCTGAGGCGCGTCCCAAACCATACCAATTCTTAAGCCTCAGACTACGATCACATATTCACACCATATGTTCAGCCTGCCCCGCGCCCGGTGGGTGGCGGACCGGACGCGCACGCTGTGCAACTCCCACTTCAATCCGACCTCCTGCCAATCTGTTCTAGCATGCCCTGCGTCCGGTCCGACACTATCCGGGCGCGCACGCTGTTCACCTACCACTTTAACTTGCGACCTCCCATTACCTCTTGGCATGCCCTGCGTCCGACCCGGCACAAGTCAGGCTGCGCGTGACCAAGGCCACATCAAGGATGGCATCCGAACAGGACAACGTCCTGCAAGTAGCGGCATTCCTCCGGTTAAATGGAAGACGACGAAGCCAACGAAGATTTTGTCTTCTTTGCCACGGTAACGGTAACGACAAAGACAACGACAACGACAACGACGACAGCAATGGAAACAATGGAAGTGGCAATAACCAGAAACACCCTCTCAACGTGGAAACGGGCTGTGGCAAGTATCCATAACAGCAAAGTGTTCGTCGTTCAAGAATGCACAAATACCTCACCCAAAAGATGATTGGGTCTGCTTGGGTCTGCTTGACCGAATCTCTTCTAGTAATCCGTTCCTGCTCATTGCTCGCTGCTCGCTACCGCTGCCGCTGGCGATGGCGATGGCGTAGGTTCGGGGAGCATCGAGTTCCAACCCCATGGCTTCCCCGTGGCCGCATGTGCGGCGGCAACGGGCGACAGCAAGCTCTCATGGGACGACGAAAACGACGAAGACGATGAAGTCGATGAAGGGCTTTTGTTTACCTCGCCACAGCGACGACAACGGTAATAAAAACGGCAACAACAACGGCACTGACAAGATGACCTCAGCGTGGGGACCGGCCGGGATGAGCATTAGAAGCAGCAATAGCAGATTGGTTCGTCGCTCGGGCATGCACAAATACCCCAGATGATAATTGGCTCTACTCTATTCTACTTTACTTGACCTCAGACTTCATTAGCTACTATTCGATGAGCTGTCGCAACCGCCTCTGGGAGCATCTAGAAGTTCGACCTGAGGGCTTCCCCGTGGCCGCGTGGGCGGCGGCAACGGGGAACAGCAAGCTCCAGTGGGACGACGAGGTTGAAGAAGCAGGGCATTTATCTCCCTCGCCACAACAACGAAATTGGTATTGGAAGCGGTAGTGGTAATGGCAACAAGACAGCCTCAGCCTCAGCATGGAGACAGGCTGGAACAATACGTTCGCAGCAGCAAACTTTCCGTCGTTTGTGAATGCGAAGATACCCAGAATGACCGACGGTTCTGCTGTCGCTCTGCGTTGATACACCCTCCCAAAGCTATTTTAATGTCACCACCTTCCACCAAAGACATACACCTGGCTGGAATGGATCCTGTAATCCTACCTTTATTCCCTTCCAAAGTCAGTCCTTTGAAACCAACTGCGAAGTGACCTGGACGACCTTTCACCCGCTTTGGCTTTACTCTTACCCCTACATTTGCAATCATGGACTACAAAGCCCAAGGTTTGGACGTTGAAGAAAGGCAAAGGGGGGGTCAGACTTTACTACGACATATGTCCAGTTATCTCGGGTGACAACACTTCAAGCCATGTGCGGCAGCGTTCGACAAAGGCGGGGAAGGCATTCTGCCCCATCGCTGTCTCCGCGACAAGCATGATGATCCTCAATTCGTCATCATGCATTCTGGTCTACGCATAGATTATGACATTTCCTATCCCGTACTACCCTCAGTTTGAAAGCGAGAATCAGGACTTCCTCCAGGGAAAGAACTTGGAAGAGTATATATGTACTCGCCCTGGGTGAGTGACGAGGATGGCTATCACACGGGGTCGGGTACCCATGCGGCCGGTGGAGTGCATAAAAGGGGAGTATTTGATGCTCCAGCCGCGTTTGCTGGACCCTTCGACCTTCGACGAAACATACAGAAACTACAAGGAATCCGTATATTCCGCCTCTGATGTTGCGGAAAAGAAGTGCGACTTCAGCCATACCGCCTTCTCACTGGCTTTGTGCTGTATCAACAATGATCGGGCATTTATCCAGGTTTAGATACGGCAGGTTCCTGTTGACCGGCTCTCCACATGGAAGGTAGATCGGGTAGATCCAATCACCCACCTTGCCGGCGTGAATCTCCTATCTCAGGTGAAGGTGGAATATCGCCGACTACTAATCCCTTCTCTTCGCACTACCCTAGCGAAATGGAACTTCACGTCGTCTGCCACTCTGGTAATCTCCACGTGGCCGCGCGGGCGGCATTGACGAGCTGCAGTGAGCTCTGTCGATACAACCACATCGGATTGCCTGGAGATCTTGTATACCCCCACCACGGCAATGGGAAAGGAAGCAAATTGAAAGGGGTAAATCAATCGTTGTGGATGTCTGCCTGTCGGGTACCTCACTCAGGTACCTCATAGGTGCCTGTTCCTGTTATTTGGCTAACATGTCACTTCCATGTTGGCCTTTGTTGCTTTCTACTACTACTGTTACTGTAATGGTTGGAAAAAGTAAGGGGTCGGTCAAGAGGGCGGATCGCGAGGATGGGCAAACGGGGCCACGAGGGGCGCCCTCCTCGGCCTATCTGCCTGTCTACCTATACAACCTGCACATTCATTGGTGTGTAGGTAGGTAGGCAGATAGGTCGATTGGGTGCCCTTTGTGTATGTGGCTGCTTTGTACGCGGGACCCACCCAGGTGACTGCTGCGGCGGCCAGCCGCAACAGCCCGAACAGTCGCAGCAGGCTCAGCAGTCGCATCAATCACATTATCACGAGGCGGAACCTAGTTCTACCTAGAAGAAGCAGGCCGAGCATCGTTCGTTGTTGCGCGAGGATCTCCGACATCTCCCCTGAGGATACATACCTATGAAAACTAGTCATAAGGAGCTGCATTCCAACAACACATACATGTACTTAGTATGCTGTGTTGGTTCTACACGGATCCAACCTTCCATATACTCCCCTGGCAGACCTCCGACGCCTCGATGAACATCAGCGACAATGCCAGTGTTCACAACGCTGCCGAACAGTTTGACCCCCACCACATACCTTTCTCTCGCCGCTTCGCCTCTAGCAAATTTCGTACCCGGCGGGTCTCCATCCACCCGAACGAGCGAGCGGGCAAGCAGGAAAACCCCGAGTATTACGCTCGTTTGCTTGCTTGCTTGCTCACTCGCTCGGGGAAGTGGCCTGACACACGTCCCACCCACATCCCGTTCCGCTCTCGTGTCTAACTATATGTTATACCACCTCTCGTGGGTTGACGGAACCATGAACTAAAGCACCTGCCTAGGTATTGAATACGCATCCACAAGAAAACGAGAAGAGAAGAAAAGGGAGTGGAGAAGGAAAGACGCCCGCAAAAATGCCCGAGATGACGGCCCGGTGTCCTGTCCTGTCCTGTCGTGTCCTATCCTACCGCAAACCTACAAAGCCCCAGCTTTTCGTTTCGTTTCGGACGTCATGTATCCTTTTAAAGGGAAACGAACGTCAAGTTTCCCTTCAGAGAGGTTCGGCGTTCTTGTCTTCACTCTTTCTCCTCTCTACAACGAAACAAGACTATCAAATCTTCACCTCACCCTTCTCTTTCTATAGCCGGAACCGGAACCAGACTACGAAAACATGGCAGTGACTAAGTACCTAACCCAGTATTTCCTGGGTTGGGGCGGGAAGTTATGTTTGACTACACACGCACACCCAATACCATACCGGTTCACCCGAAGGGTAGCAATAGCTTACCCAGAAAATCATCAGGCCTCTTGGTTGTTGGAGGGTAAAACAACAACCGTCTTATTTTTACTCATTGACCATATCCTCACTTCTTCAACACATCACTACTCATTGACCATATTGTATTAACCCAAATTCTTCCCTGCACGCCGTTGTCTTGCTCCCTTCCGGGGCACCACCGTTCGCGCTATCTCGTCGCTTTGATCACCATCGTCTTGAATGAGCGGCATCTATGTCTGGTCAAGACGAGAACTGCATTCAGGTAGCGTCGTTTTCACGAAATTTTCCCAATCTAACCGTCATAAAAAACTTAAACCCTTCGCAATTATCCCGTGTACAGACATACGCGGAAACCATAAACCATTTTTCTCGGCACACAACAGTGCCGGGCACAGCCGGAACACATCCATGAACACGAAGATGCTAGTATCGCGGCCTGTTTCGGGCTTGCAAGGAGTGATTTGTTCAAAAGGCACTGTCTAGGCATTACTGGCAGGTGGGGATATGAAGGAAGAGAAAAGGTGGGAAGAACTGGACGAACGAGCGAAAGAATGGATAAAAGACTCAAGTGGTCAACAACTCATCTCCGTCCTAGGGCTTTCTCTCTTTGGCGTCGGTATCTTCGCCGTCGGGCCATTGTCTGCTAACTAGCATTTGCTCCATTCCACACCGCGCACGCATGCTCAAGGAGGATCTGTCGTGCGTGGCGGGCCGGCAAGCTACCTTTGTCTCGGATGACCTGGCGCAGGAGAAGCTCGACGCGCGGTACTACCACAGGGAGCTGCGCCAGGTCATCCGAGACAAGGTAGCCTGCCAACCACGCACGCGAAATCCTCCTTGCCCTTTCTCGCGGCGGGATGGGTTGGATACTTAGGTACTGGGTAGTCAAGAACTTCACGCACTTGTGTTTACTATATTCGTGGTTTGTCTCGTCGTCTAGGTTACCTGACTCCTATATAGATAGACTTTAGAACGGCCTTACATTACATGGCCCATAAAATGATATAGTGCAATGCTTGGTCAACTGTTTCTTTGATTATGAAGGGGTGATGCTTAAGATTGAATGAATACGTAACTCTACTCCTACCTAGGGACTAACCAACTGTTTCATCACATATCATGTAGTTTTGTAGACGATATATACTCTAGATTCCTACTCAAGGACCAGACGCAGTGCCAGATATATAGTCAGTACTAGGCAAGTATTAGGTAGATGCCAAGGGGGTATTTATATAACCTAGCATATTTGACCATTCTATTGATATATAGATACGGATACTAATCGGTAGATACCTTTCATAGGTACACACCACATGACACGACGCGACACTACATATACCACAGCCAGCCTACAGCCACCTAGTAGGAAAGGATAAGGACTCGATATAGCCAAAAGAGCAATAGAAAAACCAAAAATGCTTGTAAAAAGTATCTCGAGATAGAGAGAAAAGGAGAGAAGACGTAAAAGAGCATGTCTACATAGCTACCTAATTCCTAAACGAAAAGCCAATAGCTACCCTAGTTGGGCAGGTAAGTATGCCAGGATTGATGGCACGGAAATAAAGAGACGCTGTCCATAACGCCTGCCTGTAACAGCCATATAAGACAAGTGTAGATGAACTCCAGTGAAATGGCCAAGCCCAGCTGTTCCTAGCCCGACGCCTGAAAACTCCGTCAGCATACCTACTAGGTAGGTACGCAAGCAAATAAGCAAATTTATCATATCATGGATGCGCCAATACGCTATGAATAACACCGTCATCACATCACAACGCAGGCTGATGCTACAGTCCGCGCACGCCGACGGCCAGCAGCAACAGCTCCTCCCTCCTCGTCTGCGTGCAATATTTGAGCTTCGCGGGCGCGTCTTCGCCGCCGCCGAGAGCCAGCACCAGCAGCGCCTGCTTCCTGGACAGCTTGCATATAATCTGCCCACTTGCTCTCTAATCTTGAAGCAGCAGCAAAGTCGCCTCTCAGCACACGTAGCGTATGTTGCTCCACCGTCTGTTGCCATCCATAGAAGCACTTTAGACTGATGATTTCGGTGGGGTACGATAGTGCGCTACCGCGAGATGGTCGGATTTCCGCATTCCAGGACATGATCTTCCTAATACCGGTCCATGTGACATTTTGGCAATCATATACCACGAGCTTGAGTCCAACGTAGGGACGTGAGCTACGCTTCAGCGTTCGAGTTGCACGAGACCGGACCATAGCCGCAGCCTCTATGAGCACTAGGTCACCAATTCGTGTGTTGTCCATATCAACACTCTTAAGGCTCACGCAATTCTTTAAGACCGGCAACATGCCAACGTCGCCAAGGGTCTCACAGTAACTCACGGACAAGTGTTCGAGATTTGGCGCACATGGTGCTTTAGCCAGATGCTCCGAGAGAAGATCATTAGTCAACTCCAAGAGCTCTTCCAATTCCAAATGTGTAAGACGTGGGGTTGTCGCAAGAACTGGCTGAAGAGCTGAGTCGGTCAAGGCTGTGCAACCGTTCAGTTGTAAACCTTGAAGGTCAGGGACAAGGTGAGCTAATGCCGCCACAGCTTCGCTTGTCAATTGTGAACATCGACTGAGATCCAGATGCCGAAGCTTCCTTGGCGGGACTATTGGTCGGTCCGTGAGAATATCTATCTCAGGTCTGCTGCCGTGGATCATGGTCTTGAAGGCATCTTCGTCAAGGTCCACACATCCGCTCAATACGAGCCGTTCTAGGCTGTTCGTAGCAAAGATAGCTTCTGCCACCGCCAAATTTTGGAATCCTTTCACTTCCCCGGCTCTCAAATCTCGTAGCCTTGGACATCCTTGGATCACCATCTTAACTCCTCGAGCATCCATGTGTTTACACCAGGATACATTGAGTGTTTCGAGCTGAGGGCAGTGTTGGGCAATAATTTTACATGTACTGTTTGTCACGGCTGTTATACTTGTGAGGTTGAGGTTGGCAAGCTTCTCGTTGGCTTTAATGAGGTTGTGCAAAGAACTTCGTTGGAAATTCCGGCATCCCTCAAGTGTAGCGTTGATTAAATTCTTGCAAGAAGTGACGATGACCTCAGCCCGTTTAAAATGCTCAATTTGTAGACAACCACGGATATTGAGGTCCTTCATAAAGGGGCCTGCCGAGATGACGATCTTAGCTAGAGCCTCCGCAGGTATTTCCATATAGAATTCGGTGGCATCAAAATGGGTCCACAGCTGACCGTCGAAGCAAAGTTTATGAAACTCTTTACTTAAGCGCGAGATACGAATGAGCTCTCGTGGCTGGAGGAACGACAATATATGGACTCGAATTTCGTAGGGTATTCTCGCCCAGAAGTCGAAGGGTAGTTTTCGGGCCGTGCCAGATCTCGACCTTGTAGCTGCGACCTCAGCTGGCAGGGACGCGGTAGTCGGGTTCAAGTGTGTCGTGGAGACATTTGTAACCTTGCGAGCAATGCGGGTTTCAATGCCATCGAACTTGGGGAATTCGACAATCGGGGTACCAGGGAGAGAAGAGTTGGTATTCGAAGACTCAGGCGAGTTGCTGCTGGAGGCATGCTGCCCAAAAGCGGGCGTTGCTGTGAGACTCACACATGACAAACTGCCCCGGGTGCTGTAAGGGGAGCTGGCAGACCGAGAACGACCAATTTGGACTAAGGAGGGAGAAGAGGATATTCGTTGAATGCCTTGAAGCAGTCTTTGTCGACGTTTGTCTTTTGGGGGCTGGTTTTCCAGTGGCGTAACCGCTGGCGATTCCTCGTCAATTGGGTTGGGTGGGGTGATGTCAGCCATGGCGGGCGTTGTCAGTCCGAGTTTGGATGGCTTCTTGGTTGGGAACTCGAGGTTCTCACCACCACTATAGGGAAGGAAATTGTCGCAAATAAGTATGTCGTTTCAGGTACCCATACGATAAATGGCAAAAGCGAATCGATCAAGGCTGTAGATTTCACGTTCCACCGCCGCAAGCACTGTTACTTGTTTGTTTCCAGAAAATGTCGTTTAAAGGGTGCGGGGATGTTAAATATCAACTAGTAGATCAATTAAGATGACTAGAAAGGGGTAATACATGGAACTACAATTCGGTAGTAGTTGGGAGAGTGACGTGTTGAGCAGAGCAAACAATGTAATCGACATACATACATGTGTGTGTATGCTCAACTTTAACGACTTTCTAGCCGTGTTCCTCTAGGTTAGAATCGTATATTGAAAAAAGGAGTGGAAGTCCGGTCTAGCTAGCCGTACAGTGCTGTTACGGCTCGAGGAAGACAGATACTATTTTGATACTAGGTGGGAAGCGAAGTAGCGGCCAGATTTCCTAATGCGGTTTGCGTTGAGGATTGATAAGAGGAGGAAGAAGAAGCACTTGATCCAGAACAAACATGCGACTCGAAAAGATCAAAGGACTCAGTGGTCTGGAATTAATAAATAAATATGAAGGGAGAAATCTTGAACATTGAAGCCAAGATCAACTAAAGCAAACCTTGTACATTTAAGTTTCACGGAAGGTTGAAAAAGACCAGTGCTGGTACGCTGTATGTACCTAGGTATGTAATATGTAATATGTAATATGTCAAGGTAGATAGGTAGACACTAGCTAGAGGGCAGGTAGGTGTTGAAGTTAAAAACTTGAAGGGTTGTGCAAGATAACGGAATGTCAAACAGCACTTAACACTTTTTTTCGATGTACTAATAACTACCCTATAGAACAGGAAAGGAACAACAGAAAGAGGGTTGCGCTGACCCTCACAACATGTCTTAGCTGACCTGCCCATGTGAGACCCCATAATAAATTCAAGGGTCGGGCTCTTATCGTAGAGCCCTTTCGACCCCTCTTCGTTGCACTCGCCAAAGCGGCTCGACCCCTCACCAGATCCATCTACAAAGTCCATAGTAGACTCCATACTGCCTAGGTACCATACTACTAAAGTAGTGCTATGCCGTAGTAAATGGATCCAACACCCCTGACCGGCGTCGATTCCCCCTCGTCTTTAGTGGACATCTTAAACATACTGCCCCACTGAAGATATTTTGGGGGCTGCTACTCGGCTACTACTCTACTGCTATTGTAGGCTCTAGGTTAAAACCTTTAGGTGCTTTTTACTGTGGTAGTTCGGCCTTAGCATCCCGATTCTTTCCCATTTTGAATTATCGCGACATTTCTACTACAAGTAGTACTAGTAGCATTGAGAGTTGTAGCCGACTTCATTGGGTCGAACTACCTGCAAGAAAGATGATCTAATCATCGTGGCACAATGCTGAGAGGTTTTTAGGAAATGGTGTCACATTAGATGCTACAGTACATACGCATAAGCAGTTCCCTTATTTTCCACTTTCCCTTTTCTTTTTTGTCTTTCCTTTTCCTTTGTATGACTTTTTGTATGACTTCTCGATCTAAAGGGGTTCGTGTTTGCTACCGGTGCGGACCTAACTAAGCTTACCTAGGCGTTTACTTCAACGTTTACTAACTCACTACTATCCCTAGTACTAGGTGGCCCGGGTCTAAATTGGGAACATAAAACGGACTGCCATTCGGACTAATCTATAGTAGCTTTGTCATTAGACAATGCCTAAACTCTTGGGACCCGTGGACGTTTTGCAAAATTCCAGCGGCCTTCTTTTTTAAGTCTTACATATCTCCATAAGCCCCATCCAAGTTGCCCAGTGGTTTCGCATCCATCCCCTCCGATCTTTACTACATACTAACTAACTACTATGTAGTATGTACGCGTCGGAGACCAATATACTTAAACGCGGAAAGACTAAAAGGGGGGCTGGCCCAAACAAAGGAGAAGAAAAAAAAAAGAGGAAAAATAAGGAGACTCGGGATTGTTTCAGTGGTAGTTATTCTAGGCTTTTGTAGCTCGTGTTTATTCAAGTTGCTAGCCTAGCCTGCAGTAAAGTCGCAGCTGAAGATGATCCATCGATGCAAATGGTCCCTTCGTACAGCTGCGGGCCTTACTTTTAGGTAGTTTAGGGTCTTACATAAAAACCTCCCTCCCACCCACACTGCCTGCATTGCGAGCCCCATATTTGGAAGTCGTGTGACAGAAGTCATCAGGTTGTGAGGCTCTTGTTCTATGTAAGTGCGGTAGTATTGAATGGCTATTTTATCGGTATCTAGGAACAAGGCTGGGACTTTGAAGTGCTATGATGCATGTGTGTTGGTGCTAGGTATCAACAATGTAGGTAACTAAGGGTAGGCATGTACAATTATTACAATACCTACCTACATATGATACTAACTTACACCGTACACCGTGAATACCCAGGCTGTCCAGGTCAAGCCCTTCTCAGCAGCAATTGTGCATTCAGTAAGGCTGTTTTATTCAAGGATTCCCCGCATCTAGAAGACAACCAGGGCTCGGCCATGGGGCTAAATAGTAAATACCTGTAATTCAGCCATCATGTTTCGAAACTTCCCGAGCTCCAGCCGTAATATTTATTTATCACCACTTACATAGTTACTTACATACATACATACATACATGCATCACTCACATAATGTGTCCGATGTCTCTTATCGGTTTAACTCCTCCATACTATGTAACCTACAAAGAAGCGCTACCTGGGTACTTAACCACGAACATTGAACAATTTCGCGATAGTTCGTCAAGATAACAAACTGTGTGCCCCAAAATCTAGAACCCCCCCCCCCCTTCCCCCCCTAGAAAAACCCAAAGATCCCCAAATCAAAAGGTTGCATTCTGTGATTGATCTACAGCAGCACCCCTTGCTCTGAACTAGATCGCCTGACTGTGTCACTCGTGCCACATCCACACCCGGCTGACCCACCCGTCCCGATAACGAGTAAAGACAGTGTGTGTGTGTGTGTGTGGGTGGGTGGGTGTTTTTGTGGTGACCGGCATGTGAATAGTCGCTTTGCGAAAGGAGGGTCGCGGATTCACTCGAATGGCATCGTCGAGATATACTCGTAGCTTGCAGGTGCTTGCCTACCTAGTCGGTGCTTGAGCATGATGATAGCTATGGGTAGGACTTGATGTTGATAGTTGTTGAAGACCCCGTTTAAGAAGGATTCCAGCTTCAAAGGGATCTACATAAGTATAGGCACCTACGTAGGTAGATACGCCGTACGGACCTCTAAAGAATGTGTCTATTTCCAGTAAATGTCTCATCCATAAATAGCTTCTTTAAGAAGATTATATAGATTACAAGGGGTATGTAATGATATCGAATGCATGCCAAGATAACTATCACCTACGCAGGCAATATCAACCTCTACAACTATCACAGCAAGAATCAACGTGCACGATAGTAGGCATTCAAAGAACTCAAATAGGGTGAATTTTCATCTCTCATAACATCTCGTGACTTCCATCATAGTTGCCTAATAATCTCTATCTATCCACCATATCCACCATATCCACCACACATCTGGACGTTGGGCGCGAGCCCGAATATTGAATCCCCGTACCTAGATCCATTCCTGTAATCTGTAACCTAGTCCTCTCTTCTCAAGCAATATTCCTTGTTCCTAGCAGCACCGAAAGAAGTAGAGAATATTGCGCAAGAAACCACACCGCAAGCCCTGTGAGAACGAGTGGACTCGTGTCATAATCTCCTCCCTCTTGACACGAAAGATTTCGTCCCCGACCCAAATGAAGGGTATATCTATCACCTAGCTGGACCGATCGGTGATGTGTAGCTATGCATAGGGTCTGCAGTCGTATACTCTAGTCGAATCATGGGAGATTCTCCTAGAGTCCATATACGAGAGCCCTAGCCTGGCGGTGGTGTTGTGTTGTGTCGTGTCGTGTCGCTTCTTAGTATGTATGTTGACCGCATGATACACGGGCAGTATCACGTTGACTAGACTCATCGCTTCTCAACGAAAGTCTCAGTCGACGTCGACGTCGACCTCGTCGTTGTGGTAGTATTCTGGCTTGGACTCCGAGAGCTCTTTTTCACGGGGTGAGTTATCTTAGTCCAGGCTCCATCTCTGATATCTTGGTCAGCAAAGCTACTCATTCGATCAAGGACGGTGTGTCTTACATCCAAGCCATCGCATACATTCCAGCGAATGATGAGGTCCTTTTGGCAACGGCATCCGTCAAGCGCGTCATGTTTTCGGTTGATTATATCTTGGAGTTGAGATATGGTAGGTGTTGAGGCAGACGTTGTGACTATCACGTGTGAATGTGATAATTGACGTAGTCGCAAATATCAGATCACGGATTATACGATCTTTGAAGAGAGTATAGGTAGGTACACAAGTAGTAGTGTACTATAAGTGTTTTACAAAGTCCGGCGGGTGTTTAAGATCAAGATGTGATACGATATGACAAATAGTTCCGACAGGACAGAAGACAACTTCATGGAAATTTTATTTGGCGATGCTCACCTTTATGGGAATCCAAACCCCAGGCAACCACAAGACTTCCTATAGGGCACAGACTGGGTAAGATACGGCACAAGAGGATTGTGGATATACTCCATGAGTCAAACCACGTCAGAAATCACTCATATATTCCCCTCTCTCTCTCTCCCCAAGAGGGAAGTGTGGAATCGGATTTGTGAGAAAAAGGAAAAAGGCCATTTGAGGCCCAATCTCATCACATTGGGCTATGCCTCGGTGCCGCCCAGTACCTGGGCTAGCAGCGAGCACAAGACCTTTCACGATCCTGCCAAGAAGAGGGATTTCACACCGGCTAGCTTCACAAAGGGCTTCATAAACATGCCACACAGCTGACAGGTTCGACTTAAAAGAAAGGTGCCGGCGTGATGGCGACATCGGGGTAAGCCTGGGCTGGGGATCGACTGTGACAGCCCGAAAA